ACGGTTGTACTCATCTCCCAATATAACACACTTGACCTGATCTGACACATCTACGGTATTTCTCCCTTTTCTCTTACACAGATGATGTCTTCTTGTGCATTTGAAAACATATTTTGTCCTTTGTGTTTTATCCTCCTCTTCCAATAGACATTTGGCCTAAAATCATGTTTTTTATCATTATGTCCTCAGTGTTTTTAGTTAATAATATTCCATACTCCATACTCCATATTTTATACTCCATAGTTTAAACTCTTGTGGGTTGCCTACAATTTGTATAGGCAAGTTAATTGCAGCGTAACATAAATTTGCGTGATACATTCTTCAACTTGTAGGGTAATAAAAAGAGTATTCAATTTGTAGGCCACTTAGTCCATTAATAAATCACCATTTATAGTTAAAAACATTTTTCTTCAAAACCACCAATTACCTCTTTTAACTCCAGATTAATAATGTGTTTTCAAAATTGAAATCAATATTGAATGGGTAAATTCCAGGTTTCTAGTAATCCTACTTATTGCGTACCGATACCCTAAATCAGCTGCTAAAAACCCCTGAATCAGCTGCTAAGTGAAGCGGTGATGTGATATGACTAGAGAATGGCCTTGCAGACTTGCCAACACTAAAACACTCAATGGTTGTATCTTTAGAATAATCACCTTTTTATATATGTCGCTAGGTTAAAACTTTCATGTCGAAACTGCTCCTTTTTATTTTCTGATGAATTATTTCTTCTGATGTTTTCATTAAAAAAAAGAGGTTTTAATAATTATAGAAAGTAGGCTACCTACTCATAACCACTACACCATGACACCAGATTTTGTTTTTAAATATCAAAAATAAAAAAAATATAAAAATTTTAATCTATTGTTTTTTAAATAATTTAGAGTGTAGGCCAAGTTATTTAATATCTGTAAATTTTGTTTATGTTACATACAGAATATGTTATTTTAATAAAAAGTAGTTTTTTTAACTGAAGAAGGCCTACAGTACCTGTTTAAAATTTGTAATAATATTGTTGTTTAAATAACTCCTAAACTTGCATGTAACCATCATGCAACGAATGGGATATTGATAAAATTAAAATAAAATATTTGGTCTTTGAGGTCTTCGTGTTACTATCTTTATGTTAAGCACTTCTTGTACTTAAAACTTACAGAGGTCTAGCATACCGTAATATTGCATACAGTACGTTAATCTGTGTACTTCTATCTTTACCGATGTCTCTTAAAGAATTAGCTTTAAAAGCATTTCATCGCACAATGAAAACAGACATATTTTGGAAGCGACCATGACTCACACACTGTGGCTTTACTATGACACTATTTATGATGACTCATATTTAATTGAGAGTTCTCGACAGATGATGCAAAACTGTAACTCTAACAAAAGTATTACTCACATGAGTATTACTCATATTCATAGTATTACTCATATTCATAGTATTAGTCATATTCATATTTTGTTTAGGTACAGAAAATTAAGCTTTAAAATGTATATGTAACAAACAATAATAGAAAATTTATTTTATTAGGCCTAATTAATTAAACAATACAAAACTAACATACATTCTTCCACAAATTGTAATACAAGACATAGTATGGAAATTTTAAAACCTGCTATTAAATTAAGTTTTTCCAGTTTCCATACATCTTTCATCATAATCCTAACAGCGAAGGTTCATAGAAAGTTAACTAAACTATGTTGTAACAGAATGAATAAGAATAGCTTTTTATCTCAGTCTTATCAACCAGGCCTTCTGTTGTGGGTGTGCCTGATTTAGTTGTTTTTTGCTAGCACTACTAATTGTATGAGTTATTATCTTCAATATATGCCAAGCCAGAAATACTAAGTGCATATTTTTTATAATATTTTTTTTCATTTGTAAACGTACATTGTGAATAAAGTGTAAATTAAGTAGATTTTATTTTAAATCCACCTTTTTAAGATTAATTTTGAATTGGCTTGAACTTGAAACTACTAAAAAGTAGTCGATAAATAGAAAGCAGATTACACCATAGAAATTTATTGAATATTTAAATGTCTTTCTATGTAATTTAATTAATTCAACCTCAATGGAATATTTACAATAAATATAAGTAATGCAATGTTATTCATATTAATCTGGAACAGTTGGTCTACCAAACGCATTGATGTTCCACCAAAAAGCAATCCTCTTAGTGGTTTGAAAGTGTGTTGGCGGTGTTTAGTTAGGGGAGTGCATTGTATGTAAAACAGTCAACAAAGGAATTGACCGGTTGACAGTACTGTCAGACAGAGATGGATAGCCTAACAGTTGGCTCTCACCACTTGTACACACACACACACATTCACAAACACAAATGTGTGATGCAACATGTCCAAACAGATGGTTTTACTCAGTTTCTTGTGTTTCAATTGATAATGTTTTTGGGTTCTTACCTTCTTATGTTAATTTCTTACTTCAATTAAATCCTTCCTTTTAATTGGAATTTTATTTTAGGCTTGTCTGCAGCAATTATTATAACTTTTGTTATTTCACAGCGCTTTTTTATTCAGTCTTTTTTTTTCTGTAAATAAACTATAACACGACATATATACAAAATTCAATAATATACAAAAAATAAATAACAAAGCAATCGTAGAATTGAAGTACTGTAGTAAGATTTTAACAGTTATTAATAATCAATGAATAAAGTAAGAGTAATAAACATTTGAAGCAGTGAACAACATTGATAAAATAGAATGAAAAACAGTTATTTTAAACTCAGATCCAGGCCTATGTATAAATCCCTAAAGGTTTTCTGTAAAATTCTAGAGTAACATATTCCTCAGCTGTACAGGCAAACTGTTTAACAAGAACGGAATTAAATATTCCCTTGTTCTTTCCGAATATTTATTTGTTGTTCTACGCACGATAAAGATTATTTGCCTTGAATTGTAACTATTTACATTTAAGGTTTTTAAACTTATCTGAAAAACAATAATCTGTTGAACTGTCAACCGGCAAATCTTGACTAATTGATAACCATTAACCTAGGTTGAGATTTTCAACCATCAGCAGAATCAAGTCTTTGTTTTGATTATCCTACTTTGCACGGTTCTCAGTTGCATTATAGCTGTGTTTTTTTACTATATTAAAGGTCTGTTAAGAGTAAAGATTGATGTGGCGTGCCAGTAAAAGGAAAGGGAAGTAGAGGGTAAAATAACCCCTGCCTTTTCATAAATCAAGTCCTGCCATTAATCTATCTTGGCATTACTTATCATTCAAACATTTCCATTGAAAAGTAAGTAAATATATAGCCAAAAGAAGGCCTAGGAAATCAATTATTTGTTATTTTGGCTATGAGGTTATTTTATTAGCGAATTTCCCTATAGGGAAGTAGCTATTACCGTAGGTGGCACGGTAAGACCTAGACCCGGGACCGATTTACTTTTTCATTTTGATGTCCCCAGAGGCCAAAAACACCATTCGTTCAAATTTTTATATATGTATATAGACTTATATATATATATATAGATATATATATATATACGTCCGTGAACGCGATAACTTGAGTAATTTTTGTCCGATTTTGATTAAATTTGGTTTAAAGGTGTAAAGCGGGATAAACTTGAATGAGTTCGCGAACCAGCACGATCGGACCATGGGAACGGGGCTTTACGGGGGGTTTTATGGGGTAAAAATTGGTTTTTCTCACTTTTGACCCTCAAAACACAAAATTTCCCGATTTCTCTTTAGACCTTTTTAAAGAGCTTAAAAAAACAAATTTTTTAGTATATAAAAGTATTTTTGTTCGATTATTAGTAACGGAGAAAATTAAAAAAATTGTAAATTTAAAATTCCCATGTTATTCTTATGGAGAATATAGTCAAATGTTGTAGTTTGCTTGTTTATGGATTTATTTTGATCAAACTTGGCAAATTTATTTATTTTGTACTAAGCTATCAATATTTTACTCAAATACACACTTTATTAGTTTCCTTGTAGCAGCAAACCTAGGTACTCGTTAAACCTAATGTTATTAAAATATATTTAACTGAAAATCAATTCAGACAAATGGAAATTCGCTTAGTCGGCAGGTTTGCTGCGGCGGGGGTATTTTTGTAAGTTTAGTAGGGTTATATAAGCTGTTTTAAAGTTACATAGGCCTACAATAATAGTATTAGAAGCATAACGTGTACATATTATTTATTGTGTTCATAATGGTGTAAAAAGTGGTTTACTTATAAAGTTTTATTTATCAAATTAAGTTAGTGGATTAAACCAATTTAAATGGGTTTATTTTTTTTTGCGATTTGGTAAGAAAGTTATTAAAATATTACTTTGGTTTCATTAGGTTTATAGGATTATTGAAAGGACTAATATGCTACAGTATGCTGAATGTAGGTCTAGGTATATGCTGTATACAAGTGTTAGTCAATATGGAATAACTTGTTCAAAGTTTATAATTAACTCATATATTGATGAAAAATAAAATACAATTTAAAACATTTCCTTGTTAACCTCGTAGCATCATCGTCTCCTGTAATCATGATGGCGAAATCATAAACATTTCCTTTGGCCTCGGCGATATTGTGAATTTTCCCTTGTGAAATTTCTTTAAACGCTTTCTGTAATAAATTTGCAATAATATTGCTAGAATAAAATTAGCTCTGATCAGCTTGATTCTGACTCGATGCTCGATCACTCATAAGGTTTTAGACGATGATAATCTTGAAAATAATTTAAACCACTTACACACCTCTAATCTTGTCACAACAGTTTATAATTCCTACCTAAAGTTTACCAACAAAAATTCACTGTGAAGCAACACAACTGGACCAGACAGTACAGAAACACATTGACATGAAAATCACTATAAATAGACCTTAACTGACTGCCAGATTACTGGAAAGACCTGGACTAGCGCACAGCTGAATTATTGAGATTTGATATGTATATATATATATAAACAATATATAAACAATATATATTACAATAACATCTATTATACATATATTTAGGATGTGATTATGTGCAGGCTGCTGGTCGGTGCGCCTCTGGACCAGAATCTTCAGCCTGGAACCAACAGGTCAGGAGCGCTGTGGAGATGTCCTCTCACCACCAGAACAGACGACTGCGAACAGGTGGTAACTGATGGGAAAAGAAGTGAGTCTGTGTGCTGAGGTATTCTTAGTAGCTGCTAGTCGTGTATCAATAGTCACATAGCAAAAACAATAGCCTGTAAAGATCAAAAAGAATGATATTGCTAGGACCAAAGTCATACTATTTTTTTTTCACAGTACACGTTATATTGAATTGAGTCAACTAAAAAGTAAACTAGAAGTTCTATGTTTGTATCACCGAATCTTTGTGTTGTTTTATATACATATCTGTAGTTCCAAATTGTTAAATTATGTTGTTACATGTATGTTTTAGCATTAATGCCTCCTACGAACAAGTTATATTTAAATTAGTCTTTTCCCACCCGTGACTAAGGTATGTCAGTTTCTGAGATAAGCCTATGATAGTTTTAATGTTGACAATCGTTTATTTTACCAGTATGCGTTTTTGTATCTGTGTCATCGATAAAACAATAACTGATAATTATGTTTTCTGAAGGGGGTTGTTTGATAATGGTTGTATTGCCTAAAACACTTATTCAAAATTTTTGATCTGCAGACAGTAATTTGTACTAATATAGAATAGAAACCAGAAAGATCCAATACTCTTTTAGAAGTATAAAAACAAAATGTGTTTTTTATAAAATAACGATGTAGATGGGGATTTATAAGTCAAAGAATCTGGAGGAAGGGGGGGGGGGGGTGGGGGAGGATAATAAGTTATACATTTATTTTCAAAGAAATTTTTTATTTAGTCATATTTACTTCATTTAAATGGCATAATCAGGTAACTGCATAATCAAGTTTTTGTCCTATGTAAGTTGTGGTTTTTCCATAAAATTATGAATTTTTTATCTCTGATGTTATACAAGTGACTTTCAAAACCATAGTTTTATAATAGTTTTTGGTAATGGATGGACTGTCAACATACCTAATTCCTTACATTTATCTATGACGTTCACTTATACCAACTTCATCATTGTAATATTAAATTTTATTACAGACTAACTATATTACAATCTCAGTACAGTATCTGATAAGAGAAGGATTTATAACATAGTGAAAGAAAGATCGTAAATTCATAAAATAAATCATCAATACAATCTCATTGTTCTAGTTTTGTAAACAGTGGATTGTTTTACTATTGTACAACTAAAATACTTCCGATAAACTTGATTTTAAATTTGGTTAGTTTGAATTAAATATTGATTATGAATTGAATAAAAATTTTTATAATTTTTATTTTACTGTAGGCTATTCTTTTTTGATCAACGAACCCACATCTTATATGCTGGGTTAGTGAGCGTTAAGGATTAATCGTCTTTATAGTTAACTACAACAAATTATGTATATTCCACTTTTAAGTCCCATGATGAGACTGTAAAATTTCAAAACTTATTATTAGGCCTCACTCAGAAAAAAAAATATAGAAAATTAAACAAAATTTGCATTGCATGTTGTATATAATATGAGGAAGATTGAGCATCTAGTAGGAGACAAAAAACATAATTAGTGTTGGGGAAGCTATAATATGCTAGAGCTACTACTCGTACTTCGGCTCTCTCCGAAGAAAAGTGGCGAGCTTTTCCCTGACATTAGATGTATTTAATGTTGTATTGATATTAAAATCTTTCTGTTGGTGAAGGAATTTAGTCTTCAAGCTTGGTACAGCTCTACATTTATTTAGTTGATGACCATTGTATGTGTACTAAGTATGAGTTAGTGATTTGCATTTTGTTTGAATTAAAATTATTATCAAAGAAAACATATATTTTTGTACTTGTTTTTACATTTGTTTATTATTTAGTATAGATTATTTCTGCAAAGCTCAGTTACTTAAGTAATGTAAATATTTGAGCAATTGTTATACTAAAATAATGGTTTTCCATTCATGGTTCTAGTTTTTATAAATTTAGTTATTTTAAAGACATTACTACATTGGTTTTTTATCTGTTTATATTTGTTTTTGTTGAAGCTTGAAGTGAACTTATGGTTTGAACCTTAGTTTTTCGGAGATGATCATATGCTCAAACTAGAAATATTGGCCAACATTTCGGAAGTATTGTGGGTAGCAATCCATCATATAGGATAATCAACAATTCAACTGTCAGTTGAAGCTACAAATTTTGTAAGTTGAATTGTAGCTTGCCCCAAAGGTGGTTTGCTACATGGCATTAAAAAAGCTAGCCAGTATTTTTGTCAGTTCATTGACCCAGTCTTATGTTGAAAACCAATATTTGGCAGTATACGAGGGTCGTTTTTTAAGTAAGGGCCGTTTTTGCATGTAGCTTAGTAGTATGCGTGTACGCCGCTAAGAGGCTCCTTGCCGCTTACTGGCATTATTTGCGAATATAATGACACCACTTGTAGCTATGTAGCTGACAAGTACGCTTTGCTGTGGGTTTTTAAAATTGTTTAATTATTGAATCTCCTGCGACTTGCGAGATAAGGTCAGGGATACGTTTTTGACCACAAGAAAATATCCGATGCCAACATTCCTCACCAGATGACTGAAGGTTATGTCCCTAATGCAATGAGTGAGTGTAAAGTGTCTAAATGGCTTATTGAGTGTAAAAATGGCTGTAAAAACCTTTTTTCCTTGTGCTCCTCTGTGAGTAGCCTGAATTTCCACCAAAAACAAAATTTTCTTCCAAAATAAACATTTTCACAGCCATTTTTTCAACTTTGCCAATCTCTGCACTTTCCCCTCTATCATTGCATTAGTTTCATAAACTTCCGTCATCTGGCGATGGATGTCAGCATCGGAAGTGTTTCTTGTGGTCAAAAAGAGATATGTATCACTGACCTCATGTCGCAAGCGGCGGGTAATTCAATAATAGAAAGTGTTAATAAAAGTGTTAAAATCACACAGCCAAGCATACCTGTCAGTTACAGAGCTGAAAATGGTGTCAATTTTTTTAAACAAATTTGTTCACAAATAATGCCAGTAAGCGGTGAGGAGCCTCTTTACGGCGTACACGTGAACTCTAAGCTGTACTCAAAAACTGCCCTTACTTAAAATACGACCCTCGTATTTTGACTATGTAAGCCCATTTTGTAGTTTGATATGACTTGATTAAGTTTATTTGGAAACAACATCTCTAAGATATTGATTGCAGTAAGTCAGGTTAATAATTAGAAATTTAATTCTAGCTCAAATATTTTAAGTTATATTTATTTAATTTTTGTATGAATCACAATATTTTTCACAGCTAACATTTCAACAGTAATTTTCATACTTATTCATATTAAAAGTCATGTGATATAATAGAAATGTAATATATTAGTCTACTAATACAAATGTACATAACTAATGGAGGTGGTAACTTGGGAATAGAATAGTTTGGTAACTAATTCTGTCTAACAGATCACTGAATCAAAAAGGTGGCCAAAAAATAAACCAAAACTCAAAAGAAGATTTTATTTCCATTGGTATTTTTTTAAGTAGGTAGGTATAGTAAAACAGAATATGAATAACTACTATTGGTATTGTTATAAAAACAGTCTGCTTTATCGAACAAAAAAAATTGGGATAACCTCAAAAGGATGTTAATTTTAAAATTATATTTGCTTGAAATAATAAAAATCGATCTATCAAGAATAATGTTTTTCCCTCTTTCTTTGTGTCAGTAAGGTTTTGTAAACAAACATTTAAATGTCGATAGAATAAATCAATCATAAATTAGTAAACTGTTGTGGCCACCTTTGATGCCTATGTCTAATCTAACCTAACCTACAAACTGTTTTGTCCTACAGAAGAGGCAGATGATGGCGATTATGATCCTTGTAAGTTGAGTTGCGATCGTAAGGGTTCTGTGTGCCGTGATACGATTGGCCAAGCTTCCACAAGTCACATGCATGTGTTACTAACACTCGCCGATCCTTTGATTAACAAGCTTGCTGCTAATTAATTTATTTGCTACCATTTCATGTTTCGGCTGGATTTCATTCACCCTGTAAGCTCCCTAGCTATGATATAAATCTCTTCATGTCTACCTATTTATTATTGTAGGCTAATAAAACGAGACTCTGTTTTCATACCATGATCACGTAAGTGCAACAACATTTTAAATTCATTTTTCATCCACTTTCCATAAGTGTTTAAGGTTTATTTCACAATTCAATGTTGGTTATTTTACTCTTAAATATTTTTGAATGTTGAATGTCTGACAGTTTGGTTGGTATAGATGACCTAGTAAATTTTGTTAGTTTCATTTCTAATCTTTAGGAAACGACCTAAGTTTTATTATAGTGATTTTGCATTTTAAATTATTTAATTGTTTAAGTTCTATGGATGATAAAATTAATTTTCATCCCCTAATAAATCAAATCAATATAGGCAGGTTCTAACTACCCTTTGAAAAACTTTATTGTTTAAATCCGTCATTCAATGTCAAAACACACACACAGTAAGCATAAGTAAAACAAAGCAAAATACTTCCACCTGGGCGTCTCCTACCAAGATCTGCCACAGCTAGTCAACTCCTCAAAAGTTGACCATGGAGACATTCAGACAGTGCTTTAGACCAGACCTAACAGTCTACCACATTAACAACACTGGATAGCTAAAATCCCAAACAAAGTAATTCACAATAATTTGACTTGAGGTTGCACCACATCTCATTTAAACATTTCAGAAGTTTTTGTTGTGGTACAGAAGTTACTCATCTAGGCGGAAGATTGGTTACGTCACTCTTGTGTTCGATTTATAGGATTGGATACTTTGGCTTCTCACTTTTCTTTTGGGTTCACTTATTCAATTCAAAACAGTTTCATCACTAAATGAAATTAACCTATGATTCATGCCTATTAAAAGAACTAAATTTCTGACAGTAAGGTTACTCTTTAAGGAACTAAAATAATTTTTGATAGGATTCAATGGAGTCAAGAAAATAGCGTAATTTTATGAAGATATTTCGATAACAAAGCAATCTGCAGCGATTATTCTCTGTATGAATAAGATGGGAGAAGCTATATTTCGACTGGCACACAATAATACACATATATATATAAGTTAATTTAAACAACAGCGCTTTGTTTTTATTTTTGGGGGTCATAAATCAATATAGTACAACAGTTGTGTTATCACTGATAGAAGGTAATGCCTAATTAAAATTCAAAGGAAATTCATCAGTATGTTAAAAGAAACACTGTCAAGACTCCAGTCACATTCTCATGGTTTCTTCAGAGACTACTTATTTTTTCGTTCATTGTCTGTCACCTTGTATATTTTACTGCTTGACTTAATGGCAAAATTGGGTTTATTTTGTTCATATTTATCCTCTTCAATATTGACTTTTTTTTATTAACACCGATGTGACAAAATTTAAACATTTCAAAATGTACGCTGATAAGTCCTCCCAAAAAATGTATTCTGTGGCAAGTCATACTATATTGAAGAAGTAGTCAAAAACATGCTAGCTTAGTTTATTAACATAATAAAAATTTAATTTTATCTATGAGTTTTCAAATTTATTCACTACTTGGAGAAAATATGAAACATTAAATGTTATTTGTTCATCTCCACCAATGAGCCTTATATAAACTAATCTAGTGCATTTTGTTTACTGACATACACTTTTTTTCAGCTGTGCCCGAGACTGCTGGTTTTTACTTTGAGAATGTAATATTTTGTATAGTAAATTGATTGTTTCGCTTTTAGTTATTATTGGTAGATTAGTTGTAATAAGTTATTTTTCTAGTGCTGTAAAAGTTCTATTTCCAGTTTATTTTCTTGATTTCTGTGTTACAGTAATTTTTTTACGTAATGTATTGTGTATTTTTAATTTAACAACTATTATTCTTCAGTCGTCTGTTTTGCATGTTGCAACCAAATTTTATTTTTCTAATTAGTATAAAACTTGTGAACAATTCAGTTTGTTTTTCACCTTGTCAATGTTTATAATAATTAAGAATTGGTAATTTTTGTTCTGCTGGCGATTGAGAGTCATTTTCAATTATTGTGATGGTAATAAATTTATGTTTCTTATTCACACAATATACTTACATGGGGAATGTATTGGTCACGTCAAAGTTTTACAAAATAATTTTGATGTGTCTAATTAAATAGTTTAACATATTTGAAACAAACTTTACTTGTTTTTTGTGACCTAGGATTTTGTAATTATTGTACATTTCTTGATGTTTCTGTCAAATCTTTTGGACACTCTTTAAACACGCTTTATACATATTTGCTATACATTCATTAACAATTTTTTTAGATCAAAAGTAGTATAACTGTCTTGTTTAAATAAACATTAAGAAAGTTTCATCCACTATCATTGTTTGTGTGGGTTATGTTTTTATTTTCAGATGTAGATTTTTAAGTTCTTAGGTATTTAATTCATTAATATTTAGTTCAAGCATAAAGATAGCTTCCAATGTTATATTGTTTCTTCGTTTATTGAACTTTGAGTGGTGGATGTGTGATTTTTACACAATTTTATCCAACCAACAAATAACATCCAAAAACATAAAAACATTTTTTTTATACTTTAAAATATTATTGTTGGTAAATAAAATAATACTCATGGAATATTTTACTGTTACAACAACCTAATCTATCTTTGCCAGACTAGTGTAGTTTGTATTAAACGTTTCATCAGCAGATTGTTGCACTAACTTATGTTGATGTGATAGCCACCGCAAAACATTTGTAACAAAGACTTAGATATTTATGGGGTTCAATAAAAAAGAAAGTTTTGGGTTGATATGTAAATACATCACAAACAAGGCAAATTATTTGATAGTTTGATTAACCCTTTTTGGTTGAATTACGTTACATTAAACCTATTTCAACTGTATAATGAAATGGTAAATAGAAGTAACAGTTAAACGTATTTGTTGTATTTCTACTCACCACTGCCTATGTTTACAGCAATTGACTCTGATAACTTGATGCCACCAATGAAAGATGAGATCAAAGACAACCAATGGTTGGGAGTGACTGTGAGGAGTCAGAAGCCTGGAGGGAAAGTCATTGTGAGTTTTCAACTTAACTGGTTGTTGCGTAATGTTGTCGAAAGTGCTGTAACCACGGGACATGTTGACGATGGTGTCGTGACCGCGGGACATGTTAATAATAATGCTAATAATATCACTTTATTGTCATAAAACATTTCAAATTTCCAGCAAAGCTGGTGAAACAGCTGACATAGCCATTTCTTAGCTAACAAGATCAAAAATTAAAACTCACTTTTTAAAAACGGTTATTTAAATACTCTTCTATTGTATAGTATTTATTTTATATAAGGAATGTTTTGAATTCTTTCTTAAACTTTACAATATTATTGATACCTTTAAAATAAGCAGGTAGACCGTTGTAAAGCCTCAAGTACGGTGATCTTTTGTAAAGACATAGCCGATGTCTTGAATACTGCAAATTATTTTTTGAACGTGTTGGGTATTGATGAATAAATTATTTGTTTATAAATGATTGCGGATTACTCTTGAAGTATACCAGAATTTTGTAGGCTATATATATAGTGAAGGCATTGTTAAAATTTCATATGTTTCATAAAGCTTTTTACATGATATTTTTGTTCGTGAATGATAAAATTCTTAAGAACTTTCTTTTGTATCGTAAAAATAGTTGAGGCATATGATGTTGAGCCCCATAACTCAATACCATATTGCATAATGGAAAACAATATGGCATAATAAACAAACTATAAGCTTTGTTTTATAATCAATTATGTTTCTTAACACATACATCTGGAAACAAACTGTATGTAATTTAATTTGTTAACTTTTATTTTCAATTTTAGTTTTTCATGTCAAATTTTTATCAATATTTAAGCCTAAAAATACTGTTTGTATGACAAACGCTAAAATATCATTTGCATACGGTAATCCAAAAACTATTTTTTGTTTATTTTGTGGTGTTTGGAATTGCATAATGTGTGTTTTAGAATTATGTGTCATGACCGCAGGACATGTTGACAACGGTGCCGTGACCACAGGACATTTTGACGATGGTGACCATGGGACGGAAAAAGGTGTAGTAACATGGAGAATGGACCGCGTTTTTGGTCGGGATTTTTGTTTTAAATGGTAATGAAAAGTCGGGAATCACATTTGAGAAATCTGGTAGACACCCTGTAAAGTGTTTGTGTGGTCGTTGCAGGTGTGTGCCCACCGCTACATACGCAAGGGTGAAGACTTCCAATATGGCCAGGGACTGTGCTACACGCTCACACAGAGACTGGACTTTGATGAAAGCTGGGAGCCTTGCAAAGGCAGACCTGTCCAATTGTAAGTCTTTCAACACCTCTGTGGCTTTCAATTTACCATCAGACATCAACCACATTAAAATTAACCTTAACCACATTCAAAAAAATATAACTTTCACTTCAATGATCCCAGACGGTGGAGTCCATTTTGATAGAAAAGGTCTTCTACAGCGTTCTTGACTTTGATAGTCTTGCAAAATCCTTTTACATATTGTATATATTGTGCAAAATTTGAAGAGTTTTCATAACAGTTTACTGATGCTTGAAATAAAATTGTAAGTAATAGTTGTAATATTTTTTAACAATACTTGGTCAAAGCATCATATTTGTGTGCTAATCCGGCTGAATAGTATCTGAGTAGCTGAGTGGTTATAGTGGTCCCTAGTAGTCAAAAGGTTGCTGGATGGATCCTGAGAAAAGTCAGTAGCTTTTTGATGGTTTGAAACTGGGCCCATCTGTCCTTGATCATTGCACTCCTAATAAATGATCCTAATTCATGAAACAGCTGCTCTCAGTCAGTAACAAATCTACGCAGACAATCTTACTCCATTCTTCACTCATCTTGCATTTATATTCAGCTTAAAATATACACTCAACTCACTGACTCGGAAAATTGATGTTTGATAAAAACTAATTATCTGATGTCGAATTGGAAGAGTTGTAACAGTTGAATTGTGTGCCCCAGAGCTCATGAGCAGTATGGCTACTGCCAGGCAGGCACCAGTGGGCTGCTTTTGTCGGATGACTCGGCCCTCATCGGCACCCCGGGACCCTACACTTGGCGGGGAACTGTGTTTGTCTTCAATGTGTCCGAAGACTACCTCAATAGGGACAAAAACTTCTATTACGGCCCTGTCCTGGAAAATGATGCACCTGTAGACAAGTACAGCTACCTAGGTGAGACACTAGTAGGATTGTTAGAAAATAATTTAAATGTAAAATAGGAAAATTCCTTTCACAATACATGGTTCTTTATGACACTTAATCTGACTAACATGTTATAAAATAAAGGAATTGTTTGAAGATATAGTTTGATCTAATATAAACCTTCGTACCTGAAAATATATGTAGGTTCTTTGGTGAAAAAGTAAAAAAACAAAAATTACTAAACACGCACAGCAATCCTGCAAAGCCCTAGGACACGCTAGCTGAAACTGCCTGCTCAAAATAAAGATTTGTCAGTGTCGCCTCAAACTGGGAACATTTTTAAAGGGATTCAATTTGTAGATTTATATCTTTCAGGTGTGTCACCCTCATACATATCTAATCCAATCCAACCTTATTTGAGTGAAACATTTTCTACAGCTGGTCCATAGGCTGTCCACTTAAGTATCAAAAGTAAATGACAAGTACTGTGTTGGTAGGGATGTCAGTGACGGCCGGCCACTTCCTATCTGATGATGAGATGGTGTATGCGGCTGGAGCACCCAGGTCTAAAGGCACTGGCGAGGTTGTATTGTACACCAAGAAGTCTTCCACCATCCAGACACTCATGAACGTGCGACAGATCATCAGCGGGGAACAGTTCGCATCCAGCTTTGGCTACGAGGTAGCTACAGCTGATGTCAATGGAGACAAGTGAGTCAATTGAAGAATAAGAATGCTTTATTGCCGTTACAAAAGTGTTCATGCATGGTGTTGTCACAAAATATACCTTTCAACGGAGGTTTCAGATGAATCTTCACATCGTAATCATCCTACTTCATTATAAATACATAGTTTTTATACATCGATTTTAAATTTTAATTGTGTAGTATGATTTACGCTTGTTCAAACTTATTGTGAAACACTGCCTTGGTTTCCCGTATTATTATTAAGCACATATTAATTTGTGTCTCAACTTAAAACTACAAAAAAAAAAAAAAAAAAACTAAACCTTATGAAATATACATTGCTTGTAGACTTCAAATACTTGATTTTCTAAATACAGTAATGGTCTACTGTGGGTTCTAAAATAAATTAAAAAATAAATTAATTTAATATAATAATAATTTAATAAATTTATTAAATTAATAAATTAATTATATTTTAAAACTAGCTGACCCGACGAACTTCGTATCGCCTAAGTTATAGGTTTCCCCTAAGACAGACCGATGGAAAGAAAGTACCGTTACGTTTAATTTTCAAGATGATCTCGTTCGCATCGCTCAATCACGTCCTGGTTGAAGTTCGTTCGCTACGCTCACTCACCTTTGGGTTGGAGCTCGTTCGCTACGCTCACTCACCTTTAGGTTGGAGCTCGTTCGCTGCGCTCACTTGCCTTCATTGATCCAAAATTAAGGCGAGGGCAAGGTAACAAAATGTCGAGTTTTGGCGTTTTTTTTATTGGAAATATAAAAAAACCTTAAATCATCCCATTTTTAAACGCTCACCCTGGCTTTAATTTTTGACAAAATTTCATGATTAAAGTGTCATATTACTGGAAATTTTGTCAAGATTTCCAGAATATCAGTTATATTTCCTTTGGGCGGATAGGATTCGCCCCATTTCGCATACTAATTTACATGTATTTCTTATGGAAGGAGTATTTTAATAAGATATCAATTAAATAAGTTATAACTCGTAATCTGTTGAACCAAAATAAACACATTATATACTTTTCTTGTAGAAAATTTAATCTTCTTCAATTTTATAATTTACTATAGTATACAAAAAGTTGATAGTTTTCGAGATATAATCAAAAAACCCAAAATGCGTACCTTTCCCCCCCTTTTTCCCCCCTCCACCCCCTGGCTCACCACCTAGGAGTCAGGACTTTTGGTATGTTAACACCCTAAGCCCCCTGAACAAGTTTCTGAAGGAATCGCTTAGTTACCTACTCACGCACTCTACACCTACTTTTGGATCATTCATTGACTGGACTAATTAATGTTTAGGCCTAGGCTTATACATTAAAAAGTTATACCACAATCATAGTTATAGTAAACTGAGATAAGAATGTACCATTGTATTAAAAAATATATACATATTTCAAGACCTGTCAACCACGTTAATCATGGAAATGCCTTTGGAAAGTTTTTGCAGTAAAATTTATATGAACTGTCCACAGCAATGAAAATCAAGGGTGGATGGATCCTAGTTTGGTGTTCACATTCTATCAAAACTCCTTAAAATGTAACTTACAGTAAAATATCTGCACAATTTTCTTTTCCTACAGTTCAAATTCAAATTCAAATTATTTATTAACTCATAACATCTTTTGGAGTACAATGTACATAGATAGGAGGTTTGTCACCTAACAAGTTACCTAAAAATGTACATGTTCTCTCACTGATTTGAGAAAGCAAAGTGGCCAATTCGCTCATCAATTACTTTGTCTCACTCCAGATTTGCAACGTGAAGGCACGTTTCTCAATTATTTGTTTTATGGTTACTGTAGGAAAAATAAAATGTGCAAAGTGCAATCCCCTCACTCGAGAATCCATTCCTCACTCTCCTACGGCTTGTGAGTAAGGATTTCTCTCGAGTGAGGCAATTGCTTACTTTGCTCACTAGTTGCACAAATAACTATAGCCTTGTCTGCCAGCCTTAGTCTGTCAATGTCTGTCAAAAAAATTGAAATAGTGTTGCCTTTACCCATGGTGGCACAAATGGTAATCATGCCTCGCTCTTAACTGTAGAAATGCTAGTACATGTCACTATAACTCATTATAATTTATTCCCAGCTTAAAAATACCTGGGTCTCCATTTCATTGAGTGAGTTTGTAGATCATTGAGTGATACTAATTATTGTAGATTATTCGTTACAGATTTATATTTGTCCTATTCTCCTTGCAGACTTCCTGATCTACTGGTTGGAGCCCCTTTCTACTTCACCAGAGAGCTCGGTGGAGCTGTCTATATTTATATGAATGTTGACCATTGTCTCAACTGTACCCAACCTCTCAAGCTGACTGGGAAGACAGAGTCAAGGTAATTGATGTTTGTGGAACTTGGATAGTTCTACACTAAGGGACCAGTAACAAAACTTCAAATATCAAGAGTAAATTTAATCATTACAGTTTGGAAATTAAGCACTCAAAAATAAAGCCACTCTTTTGGTTGGAAACTAATTCTCATACTGGAAACATGTGTTCTATTAATTTAAAAGTATTTTTTTTATATCTCTGCAATTTTTTCAGTCAAGATTTGTAGTCAAGATTTGTAGATTGGTTCTACATTTGTAACTTGATTTTATAAGCGTAAACAATGTCTGAATTGACTGAAACAATTAAAAACAAAAAAAAATATGACTCATTCTTTACGTGACATGAGAAGTTAATTTTGGATAATCAAGTGACAGACAGGACTGTAGAAAGAAGGGGTTTTGCGATATTTATGTCCTATTAATAAATCTAATGTAAAAAACTATTGTGGTATTGAAAAAAACCTGATTTCTTTAAACACTGGAAATGTTTTTATGGAAAAAATCTAGTTTATATAATCATTGTTATGTCATTAACTATAAGATAAATTATACTAGTTAACTGCCCTTGCTCCGCCACGGGAATATTGTCAGCAATAAAAGAAATAATAATTAACAAATACTGTTTATCTTTGTATTTTATTTAGGGGTTGTTTAATTTTTTACATGAAATAGAACTGATAGCTTGCCTGTATAAACTATTTTATGTAAATCAAACCGATACATTCTTTTAACCAAATGAATGTTTCATATTAATTCGAGTTTCATTTGAAAAATAAATAGTATACGAACTGGGCAATGCTGATAACCTAATAAGCAGCTATTTATGCTATTTAGATAATTTGCTCAAGTATATTCCTATATTTGTATGTTTTTTTCATTACATTTGTTGTATGGAATAAAGATAGTCACTTAGCCTACATGTAAATCACGCATCAGCAGTTGGTCGCATTTCACGAATCTTTGACCCATACTGTGAGTAAAAGCGGTGTTTACGTCGTATATATATAAAGTTGGGCATACTTTGTTCAATGTTAGAGGGTATTAAAGGTCCAATTTGATGGAAAAGGAGTCGTGAATTTTAAAACTATGTAGACTACCACTACCAGAAAGATGTTGATTCAAGTGAGACTTAGAACTGGCCATTTCAAATGCAGATTCTATACTTATTTAATACGCAATTTGTATTATAGCGTGTGGTATAAAAGTCCCGGAACGGTTAAATATTTTAAAAAATAATGCAGATAGAGCTAAAATACTTGGTACAAAGTTACAGGGCATAGAACTCTATTTTAACACATATTCAGTGATCCAATAATTCTTCAGTGGGACGGCCCACAAAGGAATCGGAAGAAAATCTTAAATGGAAGCATAGGTCAATATGCACATCAAATTAAAGGTCTTTTTTATTTTACTCAAATAGTTTTTGCCTCTTTTGACCCTTAATACTATTTTATAGTCGCTGTTGATAAGATTTTCCATAAACTCACATTTAACACCATCACTGCTCTTTACCTTTTTAGTTCGATGGTTCTCTACATGTTTTTTTTCTTTTTTTTTTTTTTTTTCTGTATGTCTCTTTACGCCCGGTTAATGATTACCTTTTCTTTTTCTTTTTGTACTTTTCACATCCTGGGGTTAATGATAAAGTTTTATAACGCTATAATGACCCGAGTCAACATTGCCATTAAACATCAAGTCAGATACTTCTTCGCCAGAACCGAAATCGTAAGTCACAGTTTCTCAAGCAACTTCCCTGTGTAGACCTTCTCGAAAAAATATAGTTAGGGTACCAACACTTTATAGTTCACTGATAAATTGTAGTTCAAAATATCCCAGCGTACTCGCCATCTCGAGAAGGTAAAATTTGGACGTCGAACACTGATCTTGAGTAAGATTTATCACTTACGAAAAAATGTTTGTATGTTTACCAATCATTAGCAATTATCTGTACAACTTGCAAGCGGATTTCCCTATGATTGTTCTGGTGGCTATAGAGAATAAATTATATTGATCAAAACAATAAGTTTCCGTCCCCTACTATGGGTATTATTTCACATTCCATACTCAAACTTAAACTCAACTACCAGTTTCCTTCAGATCACTTTGCAGGAAAACTAAAACATTTTTGTGTCCCAGTTAGTCTGTTCTGACTCGAAATTCATAGATTTGAAGTAGTGACAAATCCAATCTAACGACCCCAATTCAAAAGAGTTGGTATTTTTTGTAGGGACTTCCAGAGCACATTTAACACCAACACTGCTCTTTACCTTTTTAGTTTGATGGTTCTATAGATTTTTTTTTTCGTTCGGTATGTCTCTTTACGCCCGGTTAATGATTGATTACCTTTTATATTTCTTTTTGTACTTTTCACACCCTGGGGTTAATGATTCAGTTTTATAACGCTATAATGACCCGAGTCAACATTGCCATTAAACATCAAGTCACATACTTCTTCGCCAGAACCGAATGGTAAGTCACAGTTTCTCAAGCAACTTCCCTCTGTACTTGAAAAAAAATCACTGATATATTGTAGTTCCAAATATCCCAGCGTACTCGCCATCTCGAGAAGGTAAAGTTTGGTACCACTGAACGTCTAAAACTGATCTTGAGTAAGATTCGTCACCTATTATAAAATGTTTGTATTTTTCCCACTCATTAGCAGTTATATGTACAGCTTGCAAGCGGATTTCCCCATGATTATTCTGGTGGCCGTAGAGAATAAATTAAAATTGACCAAAACAATAAGTTTCAGTTCCCTACTATGGGTATTATTTCACATTCCATACTCAAACTTAAACTCAATTACCACTTTCCTTCAGATCACTTTGCAGGAAAACTAAAACATTTCAAAAATAAGTTAACAAATACACTTTCCTTGATCAAAATCGTTTGTTTATAAACAGAAACTCCAAGTTTAATAATTGCATACTGAAAGTGAGGTTATAAAAATAATAACAAATGTCTGACAAACATTAAACAGCTGACAAATAATTTATAAACTGTGTATTATATTCTTCACTAAGAATTGTATCGACTCGAACTTTAAAGGGCTGTAGGTCGTAGTCCTTAGAAAAAACGTAAATTCTAAGGAAGTTCGGCAAATCTACACACTATCCCCTTTAATTTGAGACATAAATCTTGTAGATCGGTCCAGTATTTACTGAGAAAACAGTGTTACAACTGTGTATTAAATATATAGATTAGTTTGTCTAAGAATAATTTGTTTGCAGATTCGGATTTGCTATAGCTAACCTAGGTGACCTCAACAAGGATGGGTTTGAAGATGTTGCGATTGGTGCTCCTTACGAAGGCAGTGGAACTGTCTACATTCACCTCGGGTCTAAAGATGGCCTGATCTTGGAACCATCACAGGTAATCTTTTAGACATCATAATCAATCGGTAATCAATCATTCTGTGTGCAATAGTGTTCAAAACTTGTTTCAAAGGCAAGATGAATAATACAATACCCATTTATCTTTCAAAGATTGGGTTTGTGAACACGTTCACAGCGGCATGTACATCAAACAGGCTCTCGCCAATGACCCAGGCCACCGAATCACAGAATCAGCTAACGCAATTGGCATTCAAATATTTCAGTCTGACGAAGCACAAAAAAGCGGTGATTGTGCTGCGTTACCCCGAGAGTGAACGTAGTTCACTGAAACATCAATAGAACTATCAATAGAAGTAGCCTATTAATAATCAGTTTTTTTTTATTAACTGTTTCACCTCTTGCTTACAATCACACTGGTTAAACATTCAACTGAAGGATCAGCTGAAAAATCACAATTCACATTTAAAACCCAGAAAGTTGGTCAGCATCACTGGATCATTGAAAGCAAACTTTAGAAACAAACCAAATGCTAGGGGGCAAAGCATTTTAAAAAATTACAATTTTAGTTACTATTTATCCCTCCAATAGATCATAAGCATCGTAAAAGCGGGTAAATAAGTTGGAAGAACGGCTGTTAAAGAGAAAACCCTTATTGTATGTAAAGGTTTTGAGAACTGATATTTGAGCTGTTTGCCAGTTTATTTTTATTGTGAACAGCATGTACACTATTAAATATGTAAATACAGTATATGAATACAATTTAATGTGATATAGGTAAACAGAATATCTGTGCAAATTGCTTAGTAAATTCTCAGAAAATCCACAAAACCCCAATTTTTGTATGTCAGGGGCTGAAGACACCTTGTGTTGGATGTGTGGACTAATTGATTTGATTTGACTATCTAGGTAATCCGTGGAGAAAGTTTCCAAGGTGTGACTACACTGGGCCACTCCCTGTCTGGTGGTATGGACCTGGACACCAACGGATACCCTGACCTGCTGATGGGAGCTTACGAGAGTGACAGCGTAGTCCTAGTGAGGGCGAGACCCATTGTTGACCTACGCACTAAGGTGGAGCCAGTGGACGACATCACCAAGATTGACCCCAACTCACACGGCTGTACTATGGACCCAGACTCTGAATATACTTGGTCAGTGATAGACCTAGTGAATTATTGATTACTGGTACTGATTCATTAATTATTTATTTATTAGTTATGTGTCGGTTCCAAAAGACGGTTCTTGGTTCCGACAGTTCTTGGGGAAACAACCATGATCGAGAACCTTTGGGAAATTGTTGGTTCTTCGGTCCGACGGTTCCATCAACTACTTTACATGTTTTTAAGTTCGTAATAAGATTAGGCCCTAGTTGTATATTGTTATTTAAATGTTAAATTACCCTGTAATAGCTACAATAATAAAATATAGAACTAAAAAAAATGCTTTTGTAGGGGTAATGGGCTCATGAGGATAGTTTAGTTTGGAGGCTCAATTATATTCTAAGATCACTTGTGCGTGCTACATCTACAAGTTAGAATTTATTATTGGATCTAATTAAATGCTCCTACTGAGTCCTTACTGAGCCAAGCCACATCTACCACATCCACTTTGATGATCTAATATGTTAAAACATGCAATAAATTTAAGATATAAAATTTATTTATTTTATTTATTTATCATTTCAACGGCTGACGCCAATACATAGATGATTGATAGAGATACAATTTAAAGGAACTAACAAGATGCAAATGTAATACAATTCAGAAAAGTAACAAGCTAACAAAATAAGAATGAAGTGAGTGATAACCTTCCACAATAAAAAAAGGCTACATCTGGTCCATATAGAACGGCTGGCTTACCTGAATGGGAGAGAGTCCACACCAGTACAAGAAACAACAGGACTTGCACCGTAAACAAAATTTAGAATATTTTAACGTTACTAACAGGGAAATATTTAAATTCCTGGCAGATAAATTGATCTTTATTTCCTCCAGGCAAAGGCAGGTAATTAGAGCAATGGTTGATCCAGGGTCGTTTAAGGGGTCCACTGTACATTAAACTTTTTAATCATATAACCATTCAAGAACCATTATTTTATGGTTAATTGTTGGTGGATAACCTGACTTCTGTTTGCAGTTTCTCGTTTGAATCGTGTGTGGAGCTGGAGTCGCAGGTGATGGTGGAAGGGCGGCCGGTGAGTGGAGAGGTAGAGCTTATGTACAAGGTGGAGGCCGACCACAACCGCAAGTTTCCCCGGGTGTGGCTCAATAACCCGGAGGACCCTGATGCGCGAGCCTCTACCATGAGGCTGGGTGTGTTGTTAACACTTGACGATAGGACTGGGAGACTGCGTCACTGCCAGGCACACACTGTGTACATCAAGGTAACATGGGCTGTGGGATGTAGGCCCTACCTTTCATATTAACTTGAACAATTGAATTTATTTTACTCAATTCAATTCAACTCATTGTAAAAATATAAAGTTACCCCAAGTACCCTGCAGGAGATTCATTTATTTAAAACATTGTAAAACAAAACACACAGCGAAGCAAACTCTTCAGATACAGAGCTGCAAATGATGACAATAATTGGTGATGAGCTTTGTTTTGGCGTACACATAAACTACGGGGCTATATGCAAAAACAACCCTTACTTAAAAAACCCCTCTCTTATGTGTGTTTTTTAATTTTATTTTATTTGTAATCGACAGAATAAATCACATACATGTAACTATGATATGTTGTATGATAAACTCTAGTGTTTGGGACAAAAGCCACTTAGTACACTTGTTTTATGCTTTTATTTTTACTTGAGTATTTTTATTTAATGCATTAACACAATTTCAGGAGAACACTCGAGACATCCAGTCTCCGATAGCATTCAAACGCAGCTATTCGCTGGAACAGAAGGAGCCGCAGATGCCGAGGGAAGGAGAGCCTCTACCGTCCATTGACCACCTGCCAATACTGAACCAACAGGAGGCAGACCAAGTGTTTAATGTGCACTTCCTGAAGGACTGCGGAGACAACAACGTCTGTGAGAGTCAGCTGTTCATAGAAGCTGAGCTGTTGCTGCCTACCACTGGTGAGGGCTTAGCATTACGTAAATTAATCAATGAGATCTGCAAACAGAGACAGTTCTTCTCATATAAGCCCTATGGTAGGTGTAGGTGATTTAAGTATTTTAGTATTATATGTCAGGATCATTTGGGCTGGTGTGTAAAAAGCCAATCGGCGAATGAGGATCATTTTCTTAGATGAACCTAATGAGAAGTAAGTGACAGATTTGAAATAATAGCACTCAAATATTTGAGCAAATTAAAAGTCGTGTGTCCGGTGCGCAGTACTTCACTAATTTATTCATCAATTGTGAAAACAAAGCCAAGGCTAGGGATTGACGGGATTAAATTTTGGGTTCGGGAAGGGACAGGATTTTTCCTCACTTCCCAATTTTGGGGACGGGAGAAGGAAATTTTCTTTGTGCAAAAAAGGCTTTATTAACAAATCTTGATTAAACATCATTGGAGATACCCACAACAAAAATGACAAACAAATTCAATTTTCTGCCTATCTGGCACATATCTACAAAAACCAACATTGGGTAAAAATACGGAAAATTACAAAAAGCTTTAACCAAAGATTTTATATTTAGTGCAATTTAATTGTAAAATAACTATCTCATTATAAAATGCCCATAGCTAACCACAAACAGGTATATAAACAGACTATCACTGCATTTTAAAAACTGTGTAGAGTGGCCTGCATTCGCGCAACCATTGTCTTGTGGTCACGGCACTTTGTCAACATATCCCACATTTGCGGCGCCATTGTGAACCTGGCCAGCGGTCGCGGCCCCATCGTGAACTTGTATTCTCACTCACACACATGGTTACAGGAGAGTCCAAGTCATCATGGGAGTTGATGCTTGGCCAACATGCGGAAGTGGCTGTCAACATCACAGCTTACAACTTGCGAGAGAGCGCTTACGAGGCCCAGCTCTTCATTTCCCACTCCTCCAGCCTCAGCTACATCGGCCGCTCAAAGTCCAAGGTAGATTTTACAATTTTACATAGGCTTTTGCGAGTATCATGATTTAGCAATGTTTTTCGGGGTTGATGTAATTCAGTGTGCCAGCCGTTTCAACCAATGAGGATGTGACTTAAGAGTGAGGATGAAACGCCTGGCAGGGAATTACATTTAATGATGCTATTGACTAAAACATCAATGGATTACAATTAGTGGTCTGTGGTGCACCGAAAAAGTCGGTACGGTGTGGTCCTGGCCTAAATACCACTATCGGCCAATATTGGTTCGGTACAGCCTATTATAATAAATTGCTTTCAATTCACTATCGTAGTCAAAAAAACGTTTTTCACAAGTCAAACAGTAAAACAAACTAATGAGACAAACCCAATTGCGCAATGGGATTATGGGAATGGATTTACGTAGTTGTCAGTTTCACACAATGTGAGCAGAGGCGATGTAAGCAAGAGTTGTTTGAATGGGTTATCAAAGGAATTTTAAAAATCAATTCATTAGCAGTATTATTATGTATGTTGTTTAATTATATACCCTTGTTCCTATTTTATGTTTAATGTCCTAGTTGGTAAAAATAAGTAAGTTATGTTTATTTTAAGTGGCAAGTTTTGTCCTGGAAATTTTAAACCTGAAAACCCTGGAATTGTCCTTGAATCTTATTTTGAAGGGACGCTGGGCACCCTGGTACTGTACCAAACCGTGCCGAATTTAAATTAAATCCTAAATTTTCTGTACCGCAGACCCCTAATTACAATGTAGATCTGCACAAAAATCTTTTAAATCATGAATACTTAAAATTTAATGAGGGTTGAAAAAATGCTATTCATATCTATACAGTCTAACCTTGATATAATGAATCATAAGGGATGGAACATAGGGGATTCATTCATTGTAGCGAGAATTTTGTTGATTTTGTTAGGTTTTTTATATTGAGGTTAGGTTTGCTGGTATTTCACCAAGTCGGTTTACATAAGTAAAGTTTTGACCTCATTAAAACACAGTTAAGTAGCATCTATTCTACTAAATTGTAAAGTAGAACCTCAATTATCCTGGGTAATATGGGGAAAGAAGACCACGTATTATGAAAACCATGGTTAATCCAACATGCTAATAATAGATGACAAACCCAAAAAAAAAAACAAAAAAAAAAACAAAAAAAAAACGCTGTAATACTGTACAAATAGCCATAATTTCACAATTTCCATTTTATACCAACAAAATACAACATTCCACTGTGTACAATAGTGTCACGTATCGAGGGAAAGACATACTATTTGTTAGAGGTTAAATTCACAATGTTCTGATAGTAATAGGTACATTCATTATATTGAGTTTACTTGTATTAGCCGCTATTGTAAACAATTCTCTCCATGATTTTTTCAGTTGATAACCTACATTTCAGATTGGTAGATGGATCAAGTTTTAGCAGTTTTTCTAAACTTGGGTTATAATTTTTTTAAATATAGTGATTGTTCAAAGTTTAAATACATAATAAATTGCAGGAAAAAATACTAAAGTTCTGGCCAGGATGGTTAGGTCAGGTCAGTCTCTAATGGGTGTTGAAATATCCCCCCTCGTCCAAATAACTGTGTAATAGTAATGTGTGAATAATGGTGTTAAAATCAAATTAGTTTTACCTTGAATTAAATTACTAACTATCCAACGAGTATGTTTGAAACTTTTCTCGTCATAGCTTTGCACATCCTTGTCTCAAACTAATTTTCCTCTGTTTGAAATTGTTCTTTGTTATGTTACTAACTGAATAATAACATCAGTGAAGCCAGGACCTGTAAACATTTCAATTGGCCTAATATAGTTTGTAATTTTTTTCTGTTTTTGTTTATTTACCTAACCCGTCATGTTAAACTTCCCTATCCCAAGCGTGATGTATACGACTTCGTTACTTCTCGAGTGATGTAAAGTTGAAAAACACTCACTCGGTGGGGTAATGAAACCCATTTAAATAACATTGAGTGGATAACTTAAAAAATATACCTCTATGGAGCCAACGACGTTCAACGTTTGAAATCAGCTGTGTGCTTGAATTTTATTGTTATACTTTGAAGAATTTTCCTAACCTAGCTTTTGTTTGTAAATGAACGTTACTGTTAGAAGATGAGTGAAATGGATAATGAAGCATATTGCTCGTAACCTCCTGTATATTGTTGGGTAGGTAAAATCTTGTACGTTACACGTTACGCAAGAGCGTGTTTACATCACTTCGGTGAATTATGCAACTCGCTTACGCTCGTAGCACAACATTCACATGCGTGATGTAAAAAGTCTCTTACTACACTTGTAATGTAAATAGCTATTTAATGCTCACTTAAAAAGCATGAACTGTGTAATAAATTAAGGTTTTATTACTGTAGAATACAAAATTGGACTACAGTTTTTGTTAAGCTGATAAATATGTTTGTAATAACCTGAACTTGAGGTTTTCGTTAGATACCTGAATATATTTTATAAAAGTTATAAAATTCTGATATTCTCTTGGATTGATGTCATTAAATGACACAAAATAAACGCAGAAAAAATGCATATTCATACAACTGAAGCTTGTATTATTGTGTATTTGTCATGTTCTCAAACAAGAACACCCAATATGTCACATTCAAATAAATCAGTCCTCTTGTTAAATATACCTTGGATAATCGGAAGTATACTAAAATAAGAAATCATGAAAATGTGTTTTGCCTATTGATTTTGAACTGACCAATCATAAACCGATTGGACGTCGTCAGATTTATCTGGAGTTTAGTTTAGTGCCATAGAATAGGATACCAGGTGTCCAAAACCACCCGTACACCCCTTTAAAAATGAGGGAAACGTTTTCTTACAAACAAAAAATAATACAGAACTAGATAAATTGGTTTTGGTCTACCAAATGGTGATAATTTCAAATCCAAAATCACACCGGAAGTGGACTTTTTTAAATGTAAACTACCAATTTTGATCACAGAATCGGATTCTACGTTAAAAAATACATAACTTTTGTCAACAAAATTTTTAGAAAAAACTTGTTTTCTACCCTTAATCCCCTATTAAAGTCAATAACTTTGGTCTATTCATCTGTCAAAGTTACTTGAAACAATAATAGATAAAATCAATAACAAAGATTACATAAAGACATATGATGAATAGGATCAGCTGTTTATTGTAAACACTATGGTAATTGAGTAACAACTAACTGGTCTACACATTACTTAGTTTCATTTTATTTTAAAAATAAATCATTTGTTTTTACATTAAAGTGGTCAAATGTAAAAACAAATGATAAAAAAAAATTAATTCAAGCAATGTGTAGACCAGCTGTTACTCAATTACTAAGGCGTTTACAATAAACAGCTGATCCTATTCATCATATATATTTATGTAATCTTTGTTATTTGTTTTTCTCTATTATTGTTTCGAGTATCTTTGACAGATGAATAACCCAAAATTATTGATTTTAATAGGGGATTAAGGGTAAAAAAACAAGTTTTTTCTAAAAATGTCTTAGACAAAAGTTATGTATTTTTTAACGTAGACAGGGCCGGTTCTAAGAATTTTTCAGAGTTAAGCGAACACCCGAATCAGCGCCACTTAGAATCCCCCTCCACCACCCCACCCACAACCCATGAACATTACTTAACTCTATTTGTGAATTTTTTCCCAAAGATTTTGGGAAGAACTTTTTTATAAGTTTAGGTTAGAAGAATACTTGCAATAAAAGACTGTTTATTATTCCCAGGAATTTAACATTTTTACACTTTTACTCATCATATAAACTTTAGCAAAACCAAGGCTACACTAAAAAAAACAGGCCGTAATGCTCGTCAAGCATGACGTCACGATAGAAGACGGCAATGACGTAATGTTTGCCGTTTGTGATCAGGTGCTTGTTTTAATCATTCCTTGGAAAATAAATAAATAAATACCTACATCATTGCCGTCTTCTATCGTGACGTCATGCTTGACGAGCATCACGGCCTAAGTTAACAATTTATTTCTAAATGTGAAAACAATTTTTACGCCACACTATTTTGACGAACTTCCTGCACAAGGATTTAGCCCAGAAAACAGCTGTTTGCCGCCAGCTTAATCAAATGGGGTTTCATTGCGTACTACTGTACTGTAAAGGTACGGTTACACCAGAGCGAACAGGAGCGAACGAGCAGTAACGAATGCGAAATTCACTTCGGTGTGACCGGTGCAGCGAACACCAATCGGCCGTGTTTGGCAGTGCTCGGTAGTCGCATATTCGCGTTCGCACCTGCTCCATTGTCGGTTTCAGCGCGAACGATCAAAGGAAATTCGCGTTCACTCGAGTTCGGTGCTCGCTTCAGTGTGACCACATCTGAGTGATCGGAGTGAGTCTGGTCCTGCCGGTGTCTGGATTACTGCTATCAACAAGTTGTTGATTTTTTAGTTGTACTACAATTAATTATTCCTATTTTGTTTAAATATTGAGTGGAGTGATGAGAACATGTTGGAGCTGATTGAAGAATACAAAGCAAGGCCAGTGTTATGGGATCCTATTGCCATGCAGTTCTTGTGGTGGTGGAGCACAAGCGAATGACGTTTCAATCAAGACACTTCGTATGTGTTGACTCTGGTGTGACTACTCCCATTCTCAGGTGTTCGCGAATGCTAGCGAACTACAGCGAACACCAGTGAACGCTCGGTTCGCTCCTGTTCGCTCTGGTGTAACCGTACCTTAATGAGTTTTACCGGACACCAATTTGCTTATTACACTGTATTTGGGTGACAATGAGTGGTTATAACCAAAAACATAACCTCTCTTAAAGGTTATGACTAGTGATTTTTAGTCCTTTAGTTGGGTGTAATATGTAAGGATTTGTACAGATTTAGTAGTGTGGCGTAAACTATCACGTAAACAGGAATAAAAATTTCAGCAGAAAATAAAAATAGGTTGCACCAAGAATCAAAATGGAATCGTAACCCTCAGTTTTTAATCTATTACAAAAACTACAGAAAGGTCTTTAAAAAAGTAGTTGCATTAGCAAAACTGAAAGCTAATGACGATTTTATTAAAAAATCTAAGAATAAAAGTAAAGCATCTTGGGTAGTAGTGAAAAATGAAACAGGACTTAATAAACAAATATCTGATACTCCAGTTGAGATTAAATTCAAACATGAAAGGGATATACAAAATTGTGCAGTATTGGTAGCAAATAAATTCAATAATTTTTTTATTAATGTTTCTCAGTATGCCAACAAATCAACAGATAAATTAAAAGCCACTCAGTTACTAATCGAAAATCATCCACGTTCCAAATTAACATTTAAATTTAGAAATGTTTCAATTGACGAGTTAAGAAAAGTTGTTACATCTCTCAGTAACACTAAGTCCTCAGGTTGGGATGAAATTCCTCTTTTTGTCATTAAAAGAGTTTTTAAATTTATAGAACATCCATTATGCCAAATAGTGAATCAGTCTCTTGAGAGGGGGGTTTTTCCTGATAAGCTAAAGTTGGCTGAGATTAAACCTCTGTTCAAAGAGGGCGATGTCAACGATCCCTCTAACTACCGCCCCATCGCCCTTCTGCCTTGTTTTTCAAAGATTTTTGAAAAAATTGTAAAGATTCAACTAACAGAATATTTAGAAAGCAATAATTTAATAAATCCTTCACAGTTTGGTTTCCGCCCAGAACTCAATACTGAAAAATCCATAACAAAAATGATTAACTACATTGCGGAAGCCTTGGATGGATCGCAGAAGACTGTGGGTGTGCTATGTGACCTATCCAAGGCTTTTGACTGTGTGAATCATGAGATACTCATAGAAAAATTAAGTATGCATGGAATAAAAAATACTGAATTAAAATGGTTCATATCATATTTAAAGACCCGAAAACAAAGACTTATTTTACAAAAAATGCAGAGAAATTATAAATCAGAGTGGAACATTAACCCCAATGGAGTTCCTCAGGGCTCCATTCTCGGCCCTTGTTTATTTATTATTTATGTTAATGATCTATGCAATGCTACTAAGATGTCCACCTTTCAATACGCAGATGATACCGCTTTAATATGCACAGGACAAAACAATGAGTTCATTCAAGCCTCAATAACTAAGGAATTTCAACTCCTTGGGGATTGGTTTGCAGTAAATGGCCTGTCCATGAATGTGGCAAAAACTCAACTAATTCAGTTTTCTGCATCCAATATTAACCAAGAAATAATTGTAAATACAAACTTAACTACAATTCATTCACAACAGTCAATAAATTATTTGGGAATAGAAATCGATTCACAACTAAATTGGCAAAAACACATTAAAAACCTATCAAAAAGACTACGCTCAGCAACATTTGTTCTCACAATAATTCGGGATACTACTAATCTAGAAACACAAATAGTAGTATATCACGCATATTTTTCATCGATTATGAATTATGGAATTACTGTATGGGGCTCATCAAGCCAGGCCAAAAAAATATTTATTCTCCAAAAAAGAGCTGTAAGATTAATGGCCAGAGTCTCCCGTAGAACACATTGTAAAGATTTATTTATTAATTTTAAAATTTTAACTTTTTTTAGCTCTTATATTTACAAATTGGCATTAATGGTTAAAAGTGATTTCGACACATTCATGGACTGTCAACAATCTCATCCACATAACACAAGATTCAAAAATATTATAAAACCAGTTCAACATAGGCTTAAAATCTTTCATTTATCCCCTCAGTATATGGGACCAAAAATTTACAATAAATTACCCGCTGGGATTAAAAGCATTGCCTCATTCTCTAAATTTAAACTATCTTTAAAAAATTTCCTTTTGGAGAGGGCATTTTACTCGTTAGAGGAATATCTGGAAAATGAGTATATTTGAAAGATATTGCTTCTCCCATAGGTTTTTAGCTTATTATATGCTTTATTTCTTTTGTAAGCTATTTTATTTTAAAATGTAGTATAGTATTAGTATTAGACTTTGTGACAAATCACCTGTCAAGAGAATTGATGTAATGTGATGATGTTTAATAAATAAAAAATAAATAAATAAATAAATATCGTACGTAACTTGTCCAAAATGTGTGTACCGGACTCGTATGGTAATCCCGTACTCGACCGTCTCGCACGGGAACGACCACACTCGTCCGGTAAACACTTATTTTCAGGACTAGTAACGTAATACTGTATACTATTACAGGATAGCTTGGATACGATATAAGTTAAAGCCTATTACAATGAAAAACAGGTGTAGATAGATGACAAGAGAGGAATTTTTAATTGAACACATTAAACATGAAGAAAACGTGAAAACCCAAATTTATTACCTTGACAAAAAGAATACCAAATTATCAATTTGAACAGTTCAAAAGCTCTTTTTTAGAGGTTAAAAATTTATTTTCCTAGCTTTGATCTTGGCATATTCTTTAATTGCAGAGTTGGTATCAATCTGGTTCAGAACATCAGAATGTGGTTCAGAACATGAGTCATGAACTGAAACCCACAGGCGCCGCGATGTAGTACGCTGCCGACTGCCGACTGCCGAGCGTCAGCTCACTACAAATCGAATGGCATTAAGTCCTTGAGTTGTAGTGCTGTACAAATATACGCATTTTTCATATGCTGTTGGTACAAACAGAATAAATTCCTTTATTGTGTTGCTTTGAATACTTGAACTCTGAGCGAAAATAAACAAAATTACGTTGTTCACTAAAAAAAACTGTTCCGTTGGCGCTACGGCGCCAATTTTTCGTGGCGCCATATGCGGCCGCTTAGTTTGCGTATGGGTTAAACCGGCCCTGAACGTAGAATCCGATTCTGTGATCAAAATTGGTAGTTTACATTTAAAAAAGTCCACTTCCGGTTTGAAAAAGCCACTTCCGGTGTGATTTTGGATTTGAAATTATCACCATTTGGTAGACCGTGACCAATTTATCTAGTTCTGTATTATTTTTTGTTTGTAAGAAAACGTTTCCCTCGTTTTTAAAGGGGTGTACGGGTGGTTTTGGACACCCGGTATAATTATCTGATGTACAATGTGTGTGTGTAGGGCAAGCAGCTGACTTGTCATCCATTCAACTCAACCCTTGTAGCTTGTAGTCTTGGCAACCCACTGTCCTCAGACCATCCTCCTGTACATCTGCAGCTCAGGTATATTGAAAATTCAATTGCTCTTAATAAACTGCTTCATAGTGTAGTGTAGTTGTGGACATTCCTTTCAGCATAGTCCACCATTTCATTAACTTAACACTTAAATATTTATTTTTTTAACCATAAAAATTGTATTTATTTAATCTGCATTGTACGTTTTTGGTACAGATATGTGTATAAATTGTGTCAATTACAGTGCTAGGGGGGATGTACTTGCACACAAGAACCCTCTCCCCACCACTATTTATATTTATATTTTGTCAATCAATATGTATTTTTTTAACTCTAGTGGCTAAAATTAATTTGGGAAACTTAGTATTTTTTTTATATTTTTCATTTTAAGTGTAAATCTTTTAGTATGATATTATTTCTGCTATAATTAAGCTGGAACTGTTATAAAGGCTATAAACCGTCATGATACCCAACTTAATAGCTCTGGATGCTACCTATTGTTGTGTTGTCAGGTTTGACCCCAAGGATCTGCCCGACTCACAGTCCAGGCTGGAGTTCATAGTGTTTGCCAACTCCACCAGTGTAGAGGAGGATCCCCAGGGCCCTCTCACTCTCGCAGCTACTGTGGTCAAGAGGGCGGAACTATCTCTCAAGGGGTGAGTTACACATCACAAACCATGTTTTATACAATTTGATTGTTTATTTTAATAATTCCCAGAAAAGTGACAGATAATGGGGATGTTGGGGATGGAAGGTGGTATTGCTTTTCCAATATGTTTTGATTTTCGTTCTTGGTCGCCGCACGCCCAATTTGCTTGAAGCGTCATTAATCCGTTACTGTAAGACCTAACCTAAAGACTTGTGCCCTGTTAGTACCCAAGTACCAGTTCTTTTATCAAGAAAGAGTGGTATAGTAGATAGCCTTCAGATACTAACTTATCACTGGACTGATTGGGGGGGAAAGACATAGTGCAGCTTGGTTAGTCTGTGGATAGATATTATTCCTACCATAACTTTTATCTTAGTCCATTGTTTTTTGCAGATTGGCCCGGCCAGAGCAGGTGCTGTATGGTGGCCAAGTGAAGGGAGAGTCTGCCATGGTGTACAAGGATGAGGTCGGCTCACGAGTGTTACACACATACCAGGTGTACAACCAGGGACCTTGGAGAGTGTCTAACTTGGAGATACACATAGAGTGGCCATATCAGGTGACTATAGACTGCTGTGTTGTTGTAATGTATGTTAGTCTGTAACGGATCTTGATATTAAACCTAAACAGCTGGAAAATAAAAAATACAAACATTGAAAACACGTTAAAAGCCGTTAAGTCAATAAGGTGTCTTGTCAAACTTATTCATGAGTTTGTCTTACATCAAAACCACTATCTTTCCATTTTAAAGCTACAGTAAAACCTCACTAACTCGGCAATAAGTGGACCCAGAGTTTGCCGAGTTACCCAGAACATTGTTGATTTGTTATTGGTTTTAAACAAACAAATATATAGAGAATGAATTTTTACATTTATATTTTTTACATATTAAGTAAAAAATCTTCAAAGAAATGTCAAATATTTAACATGTAAAGAATTTTTCTGAATTTTTTTTCATGGTTCATGGAGTTGGTGATGTTTTACTGTATCATAACAAGCTATTAAAAAAATTACACAGTGGCAAAAACACGACTTTGTAACTGTAAAATAGCAGATAAAGTGAATGATACCTGTATGCCACAAGTTTGCACAGCAACTAATATGAGAGCAGTGGCAGACAGCTATGCAGGTATGAGTTGACCAACCGTGTGGTATGCAGCACGCTAAAACAATCAGTAATAGGGATAGACTCAACGTACTTCCCTTGGTGTACAGTCATAGCTAAACGGCAATAGCACATGACTTTATGGTACTTGATCGTCCACAGGAATGGTCAGTTGAATCGGAAAGACGGATAATCAAGAATCAACTGTGTTTTAAAACTAAATTTGCACTATTTTACAAATGAGATTAGTAGTAATTTAAACTCATAAATCTATTTTCAATCTTGCAGTCTGAGAAAGCAAGTAAGTATTTTAATGTTTTTTGTTTTTTTTTGCATTTGGGCTACATATTCTTAGTCTATATTATAACTAGAAAATATGTCTACTTGCAAAACATACTTCACTGTTTTTATTTGCTATAAAGCTAACATCCATTACTCTGATTCAGGTAGCGAACAACAAACCACTGGGTAAATGGCTGCTATACATGGAAGAGGAGCCGTATATTGAAGGTGAGGGTTATAAAAAAATCATTACAACTGAATGCTCAATATAGGCAATAGATTTTTTATATAATGAACTGGAGTATATTCATCGTATTAAATGAACATATGAAGTATGTTTTGGAGGAGACAGAGAGGAAGATGAAGATAGAAGAGGTGAAGGAACTATGGAGGGATAGGACAGATGGAGAGGCTTAGTTGATGACTAGATCTGCTAATAACTGGTACAGTAGCAAATTTTTTAATATACTTAATTATTGTGCTACTCCAGCTAGTACCTACTTGGCCTCTACAGTAGGTTCAGTCTGCTGCATTCTCATTAAGCGGCAACTTTCATATCCCTCTGGACATGGTTCTACCATCTTGCTTTAGGCCTTATAGCTGGTTTTCTGCCTTCAAGAACATTTCTCATGATGGAGTTCTCTTCTTTTCTTAGCTTATAACATTATAATGTAAGAGTGTTGACTTGTATTTCAGCTCTGAGTGGAGGCCAGTGCTACATGGCTCCTAACCAAGTGAACCCTCTACAGCTAGTGTCTAGGCCCGGGCTGCTAGAGGCCCCTCTAGAGCCCCTCACCCCTACATCCGGGCCTCTGTACAACACTACTGAGGGTGGTACTGATGGCGCTATCAGGTGAGAATCCTTGCCAAGTAGGCCTACTAACAAATAGATGAGAACATCTTTAAATGTAATTCCTACCCATTTTGTGGTTTTTAGATAGGTTATTGGGTTCAGATAAAAGAATGTGGTAATTTTACCGTGATATTAAAAAGCATTTTTGGCAGTCTTAACTTTCTGTTGTATAGCGCAACATTGACTTTTGGATAGTGAAGCAGACAATCCATCTATACGGACCAAATGAAGGAAACTTTCTATTGAAATGAAACATATTTGAATAAGCTTACTTACACAATGCGGTGCTGTCAAATAAAATAGTGAATCACATATTTGGATAAAAGCCACTGATTTACATCAACACACTATGTCGGTTGCTCAGTTCAAATACGGTTATTTTTATTCTAAATTTGGTACAGCTCTAACATGGAAATGGGATGTCTATGTCTATGGGTAGTAAAAAAATACAATTATCTTCTAATTATCAATTATGATAACTATGTCCGTTGTGTGTGACAGGGTGCGGAGAAGGAGGGATGCTGAGATGGTCGTTCGCAGTGAAACTTACACAGACAAGGACGGCCGAAAACACAAAGTGGTCAATATGGTTAGTAGACTTAGACATAGTTACAGTGAAGTTATCATTCTGAATTCGGTAGCCAGCAAAATATTGACATTTGTCTGTGAAAAATATAACTTTACTCAATTCCACTTTCACTCCACAATAAATAAGCTTTATTATAAACATTGTGTTTGTAAGCCAAATGGTTCCTATTACCTTTTTACCCTTGTACTGTAATTATTATTAAAATATAGTAGTTTGTAATAAATTGCTTGTATTGTTGCTCCAAAGCACAATTTGTTACAAACGATTGATTTATAAATTTGTTTGTTTGTAGTAGTTTATAAAATTATTTCAATCATAATTAAATGGATGTTTATGTTTACGATTACAGTATACCCCCTCTTAATCAACCTTAATGGGACATAGGTCGGATAACTCAAAAGGTTGGTTAAAAGGGGCAATCCCAAAAACTTTAACAAACAAAGTGCTATTATTTGAAATTATATAATCATTATTATGAAAGCATGCACGCATTATTTACAAAATAAACTACTCTTATTTCCTTTTTATCAGTATTAAAGATTGAAAAGTTACAAATAACCCCAAACACGGTAAAGTCAAATACTTTCAGTGGAATAAATTATAGGCGTAGGCGAGAGTCAATAAAAATTCTTATTTTAATACATTTAGTAATATTAATGGATGCTTTCCAAATCTTATAGTAATACAGTACAGAACTTATTGTCAAAATCGAAGACACAAGCAACCTTTTTGTTATGAGACAGAATGTTTCTTTAGCCTGTAACATCCTCTAGGGTTAAGGGTATTGTTCCCATTACAGAGATTCATAGAAAGTGGCAGTTAAACCAAACTGCTCTCAAAACAAGGTAAATTAAAACAAACTATAATACTTTACGAGTGAGTGCGGATAATCTGATTATCGGTTAATGGACGAGGTTGGTTAAGAGGAGGTCTACTGTATCTGAATTTCTAATACCAATACACTTTTGACAGAATTTATAAGCTTAGCAAACAATTGTTTTCCATTAAATATATGTTGTTGTTTCCAAATTGAGTTATCGATAGAACATTTCAATTAGCTTCTAGCTATCAAAGATTAATGGCAACTTATTTTACAGAACTGCTTGCTGGGAACAGCCAAATGCTTCAAGTTCAGCTGTGTTGTTCACAGTTTGCAGCAGAATCAAGAAGCCACGATATTCATCAGAGCTAGGTAAATCAATGATTGCTCTCATTGAAAACAAAAATGATTCTAAACTCACTCAGTGCAAACGTGAGACTTGTACTAAAACTCTTTTTTATCTGACCAGATTATTTGGCATGATTGTATTTGCTATCTAAACTACATTATTTTGACAACATTCTATAATCTACACCCTGTAGTGTATAGGTGGCTCAATTCAATTATGTTAAATTAAATTATTTTCTAAAACTGTCTACAACATTGACTTAGGAATGGAACGTCCAGTTCCATCATTAGTCAAAGATAAGAGTTGATAAAGTAATTTATATATATATATAAACATTGCTTTATTTGTTAAATACAGTAATGTGTGAATTGATAAATTTGAAACGCTACTGGCTAAAACTACACAAGTTAAATTTTCTTAGTGTTAAAGGTAAATTTTTCAATATTCCTTTGCTTATGTTTTTTTTTTCAAATGGAGGAATATCAACCGAATTCAAGGCAAAGTTTGAAATGGAAACCTTTCAATTTTTTTAGGATATGCCAGGGCCACGTCCGTCCTTCTTGCATTGCAGACCAAGACGCCAAGCGCAAGGCATTTTAATATGGTTTTCAGTTACAACACTTGGATATCAGGAGTCAACTGTCCACCACTAAGTGTAGATGTGTTTTGTAGGTTGTGGAACTCCACCCTAGTGTCAGACTACCCTCGGGTGGATCAAGTCTCCATCTCATCTCGTGCCAAGATACACATTCCCCCCTCCCTTATCATACATCAGGACACAAGCGATGATGTGGCGACAGTGAGTACATCATTAAATAAGTTAAACATTGCAAGTAGAAGTATAGTAGACTCCCTCTTATCCGGGCACCTTTTAACCGGACATCGGTTTAACCGGACTACACTCGTCGGAAATGAAATCTCTTTAACCGAACAATTTTTATCAGCACATTGATTCAACCGGACTAGATCAGCAAGAAGTGGGCGGTACTGAAACGATTGTTCTCGTGGGAAAGATTTGAGACCAGTGATCACGTGTCTAAATGCAACGCTCTCCTAAATTTAAGTCGAATATCACCATAAACGGTCCGTTTTAAAGAGTTTTTGGGGACGTCGATATAACTGGAAAACCTGTTATCCGGACTGGCCTCGGTCCCGAGGAGTCCGGATAAGAGGGAGTCTACTGTAGCACATTGTTTGCATTAACATGCTCCTGGATTGTAAATCAATTAAAAATAAAGAGTTATGTTAAACCATAGACTAAGCAACACAAGAAATTTTGAAGCTTGTTTTTTGTGTCTAGTTCATGTACGTCCACACTGATCGCTAGTGTAGACAACATTTTGTTTCTATTATTTTACGGTTATTTTCATGATTTGTGCTTTACTATTTGGTTATATAACTAGGAGACCAGTTATTGTTTATGATTATATCGTTTTATTAGGTTAAACGAGGTTTTAAATGACTGCTATAACAAGAAACAAATTGTAAACAAAACATAACCTCTATAGTTGGACGTACAGAACTAACAATAAAATTGGCTTCAGCTGTTCCATTAGGATGACTAATCTACTAAGGGAGTATGTTTTATCTATGGTTAAACCTATTTGTCACCAATCCATAATAATAGTGTTTATGATGACTAATTTTTAGAATGCTTCATTCTGATTCCTCCAGGATGTATTATCAAGTAGCAGCATCAACTTCCTTCTACATACAGTCAGAAATTTAGAATTTTTGTACCGTCAACTGTGTTTTAACTCTCTTGGTGTTGGTTGATTTTTGAGCATTTAACAGCGATGATTATTAAAAATTATAGCTTGTAAACTTTTGAAAGGAACTATGCATATTTATATATTTCCGTGCAATTAAATACTCACACATTATAAATCAACGTAAATATTTTGATGTTATACCCATTTTTTTAATAGGTAGGACTACTTAGAAAAATATAAATTTGTAATGTTTTTACACCTCTTTTTTTTAATAAATAATAAAGTACATTAATAAATTAAATTTAATGTAACTAGAAGTAGCTATTTATTTCTTTATATTATTTAAAAAAATTACTTTGGTATGATTAACTTAACTTTTAGAATAGCCATAAATCATTGAAGAACAGTCACAAAATCACTCACAAGGCCTAGCTATGACCATGACTTTACTGCCTTAGTGGTAAGCTTCAAACATTACAGCAAACGCATAGTATTAACCAATACCCTATTGGTTATTTTGTACATTTTAGTCTAAAAAGATAAAAATCCATTTTCAATAGACAAAATACATCAACAAACAACTTTTAAACAACAACAATAATTTGTCTATCAAAATATTGACTTTGTCTCAAAGCATCTGGAGACAAACACACATGTAAGAACTTATAGAAAGTAAGCCACTTTTCTGCTGTTTAAAATGATTTAAATTATAAACGAGGTGTTAGCCAGTCCTACGTACGGGAATTCAGTAGTCAGTTAAAACCGTGTACAATTCAGATCTGCTAGTTTACACATATAAAGACAAAGTTTCTTGCAGTTTTAATGTGAAAAATCATCTTGTAAACAAATGTTGTGTGGCCAAATATGTTTTTATTCCATCATAGGCCTATACGATATGCATTTTAAATTCGATAATTTTACAATAAAACAGCAATTCTGCAATTTTTACGATGTGAAAAGCGTTGAAGTGAGATTCGCACAGACGCACACTGATTATAAGTAGCCTACAGTAGAGAGAGTAATAGTCAATTGAGAAGTGTATAGACTTAGTCAACGATACCACCTTCCATAGCATACCTGCCTCTTCCATAATTATTATCATCACAATACAACTACTATACACAATTTCCAGTAGGTCTGAATAGAAACGACCTAAAATAAAAAGATAATATCCAATAAAATTCACAGTACACATAAATCGTCACACCCATCCTTTATATCAATTTCACTGCATTAATTGCTAAATAAATAAGTGTAGACAAAGAAAAGTAAAAACAATAACAGTTTGTTTTGAAACAGCTGTTTGGTTCAAATAACATTCATTTGAAAAAAAAAGAACTCACGATTACTAAAAGAACTGGTCACATGTAGCAGGAATATAAAAAGTAAACACGCTAGTAAAGCTAATGACGTAATTGTCCATGTTTATTATCCATACCGTTATCAGTTCTATCCTTGATAATTACCCACCCTCATTAAATAAGTGTACATCGTAATTTCACATATTAGTTAATTTAAACTACAATATATTTATAGTTGAAATAAAAGTGATATTTTCACGTTTGGGGGCGCTGATATCAGCGCCCCCAAACGTAACCACACTGAACACGATTTCATAAAAGGATGGTTTGTCTAATTGCAGTATCCTAGGTCAATGTTGACGTTGTCTTCAATCTTTGTATAAAACTCGGCTGAGGTTGTGGTGGTAATTTAAAATCGTGATTCCTGATTATTCTTGATCTTCTTTTTATGACATCAATATTTCCGGGCCTAATCCAAACAAAGTTAAAGCAGACAAACATTAATTGTAAACAAAAAGCTACCATGAAGAATTAAAACATGTAAACTTTCTTATTTTTCTATTCTTTTCTCGAAAAGTGGAATAGTAAAATAATTTGCATTTATCCTTTTTATTAAGACTTGTGTACAGAGCCTCGATTTTTACTGTGGTTTAATTAATTTTGGTCTAAACTATTTTAAACTGTGGTCTAATTATCTCTACTAATCTTACTTATTTCCTATAACCAATGAAAAAATAAAAGTAAATAAAATAACCTCATAGTTCCATAGTTTATATTTAACCAGCTGTTAGTTAAAACAAATTATATTGCTCTAAAACAAATCGAAGATTACAAAGATTGCTTTAAAAAATAATTTGAACATCCTAGTATTTTACTATGTATAATTGAATTAATCTGTCATCCTCTTACAGAAGAATTGAACGTATCAATGATTTGCATTACACATAGTATAAATAAGTCAACCCTAAGTATGTCTTTACATTTTAATCCAAATGCTGAATTTGTGTCACAAAAGCTGAATGTTTGTAGGGATGGACGAGATTGGATTTTTAGTTCGAGACAAGACGAGACAAGATTTTTTATTTCTCATAAAATTTCGAGACGAGATCGAGACGGGATTTCCCTTCTCATACACAACGGGAAATGCACGTTCAAAATTTTTACCTGATTTTGTAACATTGTTAGATGACTGTTTAAATACAAAAATAATGACAATAGGCAAGAATATTTACAATCTTTTATTAAAAAACATCAGCATAGCATTTTTTTATTAATCACGCCTAACTTATTAAAAATGCCTACGATTAGGAAACATAGTGATATCAGTTAGGATAGAGTTCAACTTATCCTAAAATAAAATAAATCATAAAATAAAAGCAATATTAATTTTTATAAAATAGTTACTTGTTTTGACTTTTTATAGTAATAAAACATTCCTCACACTGCTTACACTTAACAAAACTTCTCAAATGTTATTAAAGTAATAGTATTAAAATAATTAAAGTAATATTTACATTTAAAGAATTAATTAAATAAGAACGCCTTCGAAAAGGAAACGCAACTACAACACGCGCCTGTATTGCGGGTATTGCATTGACTTTCTGCAGGCGTTTTTAATTATTTTTTTTTTATTTTTTTTTTATTCTCGTCTCGATAAAAATTTCGGCCAAAATGAAATCTCGTCTCGTGTAACGAGATTTAAAATTTCCCGAAAATTTCCCGAAATTTCGAGACTTGACCATCCCTAGTTTACAGCTGTTATGTTAAGCAAATTATTTTATGCCAAAAGCTAGTTTAGAATCTTAGCGTCGGCTGCTAGACTTTTTAAAAATTAAAACTAAATTTCTAAAAAACTGGGACCCTAAACTAAATTTATGGCTTCGACATTCCCTAGTTCTCAAAATTATCTTTCTTTCAACACAAAAATCATGAAAATCCGTCGAGTGGTTGATTCAGAATAGTGAAATAAAAAAACACTGTTTCATTTTAATATTATAGATATCCAGCCCAAACCAGACAAAAATTAACTGAACTAAAAGACAATATTTGCCATCAGCACTGTTTATGTATTGAAAGAGAGGGGGTGTTACCGATGTTGAATCAACGTTTGACACTGTGAGGGTTAAATGTTCTGTGTGTGTAAATGGTTATTTTGTACGTACGTGCATGTGTGTTCGGTTATTTTATCTATAGGGGTAACAAGTATTCAAAAAAGAAAAAAATAGCACTAATCAGTAAAACTAAATATTGACAATGGTAAAATGTAACATTTAAACTATTAATTTCGATATTTTGGATATTTTAGTATTGTTTTGCGACAGACTAGTTAATTATGCCATTAAAGATGCCAATTAAGGTTATTTTAATGGTTACATGAATGTGGTTATATTTCATCTAGATGTGACTCGTGACGTTTTTTTTACTTTTCTCCAAATGTTATAAATCTTGAATTTGAGAGAAAATTATTTCTTGCGCCAAATGTTGGCCCGGGATGACCCACAGACTTCTAATCATACAAACAGGCTAGTTCAAAAAAAATGTAAAACTCGTCTGTTCTTCAGGTGGAGACGGTGTGTAAGGTAGATCTGCTAGAGCAGCAAGCGGCAGAGCCTGTTCCTTGGTGGATTATCATTGTAGCCATCGTCGTCGGACTGCTTGTTCTTATTCTGCTCACTTTGTTGCTGTGGAAGCTCGGATTCTTCAAGCGGCGACGACCAGACCCAACATTATCTGGAAACCTGGAGAAACACCGAATTGACGATCACGACTATTAGAATTAGTTACAACTATTGTCCGACCAACTCGGTGACTGATAGCTTCTCGTATAAGTACCGAGTCAGAGTCAACGTAATGTCTCTTAGGCTAGCGAGGAATCATTCAGAGTTATCTACCTGACAGAGATTAGAATCTTAATTTTAAATAAGTACCTACTTTATGTATTTACTACCTTTAAATGTGATTTATTTCTGTACAAGCATTTTTATTAACTGACATTTTTTAGCCAAATTTAATGTAAGTTTAAGTTTGTTTTCTGTCCAATGTTTAAAATTGATTTGATTAGTGTTATTTTTTCATTGAGTAATGAAACTGAAGGACTGAAATTATCATATACCCTCCATGAATTCAGGGGCCTTGATGGTAATTGCTTATATCAATTTAATTAAAGTTTTTTTGCAAAGTTGTAGAACAACACGTTTATATAAAATTATATTTTTATTTTTATACTTAACAATGTCTCAAATTTTACTTGAAGCAGATTTGAAGTTAATTTGATGCATAACATGTTTGCCGAATTTATTTTGTTAATTTTAATATATACTTTTACATTACAAAAATGTATACCATTTAACTTTAGATCGTTTAGTAGATTTTATTTTAGTATTATTTGGAAATTTACAGAAAACACACACCTTATTACAAACTGAAACACAAGGTTTATGAAAATGACACTATTACAAGAATGGTGTGACGAAGCCTTATAATAGTAATGAACATTATTTTTGTAGGCCTACGCAATATTTTATTTTAAAATTTTTTGTTCAGCTTTAATCTAGGTATACTGATTGTATATTGCACAGTTAAAAAATAGTGTGCTAACATTTTTGGCTGAATCACGGTGCTATTGTAAAAATAACAGTCTATTTATAATAAAATATTCATATATTTTGGGTTCTTTACGCTGCTGGGTTTGGTTTAAAAAAGCTTAATTTTCTTCTCTGGTTTAGGAACATCTGTCGCTTAAATCATAATAATTTTAAATGATAGTCTAATTATTGTGTCTTTTAGAAGTGCTCTTGTCAAGTAGGTAGTAACTGATTTATATGTTTGACGTTGTAGATAAATTTATATTTGTTGAACATTTTATGTAAATATTGTTTATTTTTACTTATAGTTGGCACATTGTGTTATATCTTGATGAATGAACTGAATTTACAGGATTTTTTGTATTGTAAGAATCAAAGCTGTATATTGATACTTTTATTGTATTTTTAAGTAAGGTATTATTTAAGTTAAACTTAAGTCTAATAATGGTTGACTATGTACATGCCAGGAAGTTGCTCGACAATTTGTGGACCCAGAGGTTGTCAAGTTAACCAGAACGTGGAAATACCTAATTGGTTGTTTTAATAAATTAAAACACAACAGACAAATTTGTACATATAAATTTATTATTTATATGAGAATTTTTACATCTTGAGTAAACAATCTTCCTAAAAACAAGGGTCCTTGAAAAGGTCAAGACAAAGATTAAGACAAATCCAGCTAGTTGTGTGGACTGTCAGATGTTGATTGTCGAGTTAAACACTGTCAATTTAGTTACGTTTTACTCTACCTACCAGTCTTAAGTGGCAGCATACATGGTATTTTGCTATGAATTTACTTTCATAATTTGTTGTCCTCAATTCTGCTGCAAGGTAGTTTTGCAACCTTAAAAAGTACACATTTTGTAAAATTTTTACTTGAGTTGTGTACATAGTCAATGCTCGTGGTTTAGATTAATTAGTAGTTAAGTAAAATCCTGAAAGGTTTGAAACATTTATCGAGTATACTTCCAACAATAGTGATATCATAGATTTAAAAATATAATTCAGTGGTTAATTAATTCCTGTTTATTTCATTTTTAACAACAAACAAAATGTTGATATAGAGCAAGCTTTAAAGATATTATACATATTTTTAGTATAATTGTCAATTTCATGAATATTCCAAAATGTTAGGTTACTAATATAGTCAGTTACAAAATATGATGTTGTAAATCTTAAGACATTTTGTTTTTATTCAGAAAAAATCTGCAATTCATTAAACAAATCAAATATAAACTTTGTCACAAGTGTGAAGAATTTCTGTGATGGCAAAATATGAACACTGCCTTTTTAACTTAAGAATATTTCTCTGTAATACAGTTTATTTTCCTATACAATGTAAGTTTAGTTTTAGGGCCTACTGTACTTTTTGAGTATATGTATATTTTTAATAATGTTAACTGGTTAACTCTACTTTTTATGTTCAATTATTTTCATCTTTATAAATAAACAAAGTCAAATTTGTCAATCCCTTAAACAGTTTATGTTGATATAAATTATTTTTAGCGATGACTAGTCACCATTTACGAATAATGTTTAACACCTTGATTGTGGTGGTATAGTCAATTAAAATGTTTTTGAAATTACTTTGTTTTAAAGTATTAACTCATATTTATTCATTTTCTTTTACTTGTTCAGCTAGAACATTTTAAATATGATAGCCATATATCTGTATCAAATACAGAAATATACAAAGTTTTATAATTGTATTTTTTGAATGGCGTTTATAGTTAGGCTATTTCTACTGGTATTTATGAAATAAAAGTTACATTTGAGATAACTTAAGCATTTATTTAAATCACCTTTATAACTAAAATTAGAGAATGCATATGGGATTGTACCGTCCGCTGTGTTTGCTTTAGTCTATATAAATAAAATTAGAGTTTTGTCTGTATGTTGCTCAGAATTATAAAATTTTTGGTTATTTTTACGTTTTATACATAAAAGAATCCAAAAACAAGTCTTATCTCAATTTCTGTCTGTCACGGCCTAGGAGGATTAAACATTAAGGAGGGGACACGCTTGAGTTTCGTTGAAGCCAACCCGTACCGCGGGTAGATGGAGGAAGGCATTGTGTTCAGAAACATTTTAAGGCTAACGGAACCAGCAACCAATTAGTACATTAGAATGTCATATTAGAGATTTAAGTTACTGAAATAGCAGTCAAGTATTTAAAAGATTTCTTGAAGACTAAATCATGCTAACAAAGTTAAGAACTTAAATTAGAATCGCAATGTTTTTTAATTAAACATAACGGTTGAAGTATGAATGTTTTTATTTTTTGCCCAGTAAATATTGTGTTTTGATTATACCATTCACAAAAAAAATCAAATAAGTTTTAAAACTATAAAATAATTATATGTTCGCACTGTGGCGTCAGAGGATGCGAGAAATGAAAGATTTCACTTTTTACTCACAGTTTATTTGATACTAGCTGTGTACCCGTTCTACGCACGGGGATCTTATAATATTCAGTTGAAACCTTCTTATATAAAGAACAGCAGTTGGTTTGCATATTTTAAGATATGCTGGCCAAACTATTATACATAGCTTCATTTTATGTTGTTTTTTGTTGTTCCGGATCGGTATGACAATCAATAAAAGGTTAAATTACCTCTGTGTCTGCCGGTCGATCCTATAACGGTAGGCTTACTTTTATTTTTACTATCTGATCTCGTTTGCATGGCTCAATCACGTCCTGGTTGAAGTTCGTTCGCTACGCTCACTCACCTGTATGTTGGAGCTCGTTCGCTGCGCTCACTTTCCTTCAGGTTAGCTCGTTCGCTACGCTCACTTGCCTTCAGGTTAGCTCGTTCGCTACGCTCACTCGCCTCCAGGTTGCAAATTAGCTGTTGTCATAAATGTAAAAGAAATAATAGTGCTAGTGCTGCACCCTGTTGGTAATCCTTGTAACTTTAATGCTATTGAACATCACAGAACAGAACCAACTTGTTTAATTGAAACAGCTGTTAAGATTCAATAATTTCATTTCTCATAAGGTTAACATGGGCTTCCAGAAATTCCACGTCAAAAATCGACAAAAACTTGATTTTCAAGGGTTTACTGTTAAATATCTAACTGTCTCATATTCGATGAAATACGTCTAAAACCATCTCATATATGTATAGTATTTGGAAAATAAGTTTCAGGCGGGACAGTGCTATAGTTATTGAGGAGTAGTTGTAATAAAGTGCGTATTTTAGCGTTACCAAGAGAATGACAGATAGACAGACAGACAGACAGACAGACAGACAGACAGAAATTGAGATAAGGTTTGATTCGGTTTCTCTGACCTATGAAATGTAAAAATAACCAAAAAGTTCATTATTCTAAGCAATGTACAGACAAAACTCTAATTTTATTTATATAGATTTCTTAAGATTCAACATTCAAAAAGTCTTAATTCACACAGTACGAATTTTTATACAAGAATAGTGTGATAACTTTCAAACTCCTAACAATTGACTTGAAACTTGGTACGTACGTAGTAAAAAAGTAAGTCTATTCTTTGTCTAATTTTATCAGATTCATAAGTTCTACCATTGACTATTGGATACTAAAGGTTGTATGAATCCAAAATGGTGGCCATTTAAAATTATCCATCTTAAATATATGATGATACAACAAAATATTAAGAACTAGCCGAGTACCCGAACTTCGTACGGGGTTGGCATAGAAGTATAAAATGCTTATTGCAGTTATGGGAGAGGACACGGTTTAAGGAAATTTGGTCTTTAAATTTATACGGTATCCTATAGTGTAGCACACATCTACCATAGCCCTAATTTTCTACAACTGCACCTAAACCATGGAAAAAGTAAAGTTTCCATTGTGTACCACAACTTTTTGTTGCTAGTTGGTTCAAATTAGCTGTTGTAATAAATGCAAAAAACATAATAGTGCTGCACCCTGTTGGTAAGCCTTACTTTTAATGCTATTTAATATCATAGAACCGACTTGTACAGTTAAAATGGCTGACAAAATTCTTTTATTCCCTTAATATGAATACTCATAAGGCTAACATGAGAAAATCCAGAGCCACTGGGGCGGATCCTGAAAGTGTTTTGAGGTAAGAATATGTCTATATATTAATCGGGAATGTCAGCTATCATCACACCAAATTTCAACCTTATCGGTTTAGTATTTACTTAAGTATGTATCTGTCACATGCAAAAGAGACAATGTTGGTTCTTTGAAAATGCCAAATGGTATCACTCCTACCATTTAATTCAGAAACAAAATATAACTGTATAACTTAACTCGATAATAGTACGTTTTGGTTAACTAATACCGTTCATACTTATTTAGGCTACCTACGATACAAAACCAGTGATAGATTTTAAGGTACAGTAAAAGAACGTGTTTAATGGTTTGCACTGTAAACAAAAAAACTATCACAACAGTTACAAACCGAAAAATAGAAAAAATAGGAAAATATAAATAAATATGGAAAATAGGGTAATTTTCTACAACAATATTTTAGTGAAATTATAATCCGGAAAATAGAAATTTACTCAGTCTATAGACTTGCTTGCGGCAGGGGGATTATATTGCTGTTTACACAGAAATAAATCAAAAAAATAAACCTCAAACTCAGGATAATGGCCTGGCAATGATTATAGGATCTTAATTATTTCTTATATCCATGAATGATTTATTTTACAACGAATTGTTCCCTGTAAAATATTATTACAGCATTTCACAAATATTAGTACAAACTCAGTATAATAGATCATAAACATAAACAAATGAAGTAACTGAAAGAATCATACACTAATGAAATTACATTAACATATGGTTTGACAGCTCCATTTAAGTGAGGTTAAATAATGTTTACATTCGGGCTAGTGACATCATTATTTTAAATTTATAATCCTTACCCTCTCTGTTCTAATATTCGTGCAGTATTTAATATGTTTCAACCAGCTGTGTGGAATTGTGAAATCAAAATTCATTTTCCTACAGTCACCCGACAAAGTTGGCTTCCTTGTACTGTTTATAGTACAGAAAGCGGCTAATTGCTGCATATTTATACTTTGCCGTACGGTTTATACTTTGCCGTACGGTTTATACTTTGCCGCACATCAGGATTCCAACGAAACAACACCAAACAGCGTGGTTCTATATTATGCACGTAATCCGTGTACGCTTGGAAATAGGTTGGCAACACTTAAAGATAATAATACTATGAGCAGCTGATTGACTATTATAACTTCGATTTAACCTGTCATTTCGTGTTTATAGTTTCGGTAGACCTATTTCTGAACTTCCTGGACTTTTCTTTTAAACGTTTTTAAAACATTCCTACGATCTTAATAAACAAAAAAATACATTTAAAGCATTTTTTTAGGCGCGGAAACCACTTCAAATTACAAAAACATACGGAACTATATTCTCAAAACGCGGAGCACATTTCTTGCCGAGGAAAAATAGCGGAGTGATACGGACCGCGGGTACTACTTTCTCTAAGGGCACCATTTGTGTTGCCAGCTGAACCTAAAAACGTGTTGTATAGTGTTTGAAAGACTAATTATTTATATGATTTATAGTGACTGTAGGAAAAATATAATGTGTAACACGAGTGAAAAAGGCCTTTGCTGCACTCGAGATCATTCCGCACTCGCCTGCGGCTCGTGCGTAAACATTGCTCTCGTGTGCAGCAAAGTGCCACTTTCACCACTAGTTACACAAATAACTATTTCCAGTTAGTTCTGCTTGTTTACATTTTTAAACTTTGTAGGTTTGTTCTTTGTTACCATGGATACTATCAATTAATATTTACTTTTAAATCTCTCACCTCAAATTTTTGAATGCCCACGGGGCAGAGCCCTAGGACAATATCGAAGCGGGAATAGTTTTATATGTATCCTCGGAACTGTAGCTTCATTTGTGTGCAATTTGAGCCCACTAGGTTCAGTAGTTTTTGAGATTAGCTCATACAAACACACAGACACCACCTCTTCTTTATAATAGTATAGATAAGTATTTTAAGGAAATTTAATGACAAATCCTTTAAAGTTTTAAAGATCAGTTAAAAAACAACCAAGCTATAACAATTTTTGTGAGACTGTATATATGCCAGGGACGGGATCAGTTGCTGAAGGTCTAATTAGACCTTCGACACACATTTTGCAGTTTGTACTTGTTGCTGAGGGTCTAATCTGGTAGTATGTCGAAGGTCTAAGTCCCGGAAGGTCTAAGAGTACAGTCAATGCAAAAAAACTCATCCACTGATACTGTTTTAGACCTTGGGCACACAATGTAACTTTTTTAAATAAATGTTTAACTTATGTTTTCAGTAAGATTGCTGAATAAAGGCGGAGGATCAATTTGAGCATGAGCTAGAGCGCATATGTTTAGTGGTGATTTATGTCCTCCAAAATCCATCTGAATTTGTGAGTGATGTTTTAACAAATCGTGACCTATCACAACGTCAGCACATAGATCCTTCAAAACCGCCACTCTTGCTTTGGTGTATGAATGTTCCAAAAGCCTTACATTTACTATGCAATACCATAGATAATGGCAATACCCAACAATGAAAGTAAACCCCAGATTAATTGTAATCAGAATAAAGGGTTTTATTCATCTGAAAACTGAACTATGAACAATAATGGAATATAAACAAAGCTGAGTATTTATACACTATATATATATTATAAAAATAATAATAGCTTTATCAGAAAGTGACACATTGGAAAATGGAGCTTAGCATCATCCGTAAACCTCTGTTACAATCACCCTCTGCAGTTGTGATTTTTTACTTCACACTTTACACAACCACCATTGAAGAGCCGTCAATGAGTGGAACCTTGTTTCTAAGCTATTGGTGACGATCATTAGTAAATTTAAGTTTCCCAGCCGTATACAACACTGATTCAATGTCTTCTTTCTGGTTATCAAAACTCCAGAACAATTTTATACACAAAGAATCTCTGGTTCCTGACCTGGATGATGCCTAGTTATTTAATTTACGATTACACTATATTATTCCACTTGCAATTTATTAAATCCTTTATGTAAGAAAAACGTTTTTAATCTCGCTTGGATGGGATTTGCCTTCAAAACGTGATCGGAAATGGTTGCGGTGTTTGTAAACAACATTTGTAAACATTTCAGTGACAGCTAGGAAAAATAATCTTGATCCGAACAGCTGTTCGTTATTTCATAGATGATTATGTGATAAAAATTGGACGAAAACTTGACAAAAATCGCACAAAACTGCATTTTTGAAAGTCCGTAATTTTAATTACAAAGTAGTGAGGCCATATTTTAATGGCTAAAGACACTCTCGCCAATCCAGTGAATACATTAAAATGACTTGGGTCTTGATAGGTACTCTCGTTTTCCTGGAGAAGATTGCGTAAAATGCCATCTTGAGTGTTGCAGAAAGACAAATACTTTTTAATTTAAATACTTTCTAAGTTAAATACTACCTAGCTGTGTGCCCGTTCTACGCACGGGGATCTTATCATAGTCAGTTAAAACCTTCTTATATAAAGCACAGCAGTTGGTTTGCATACTTTCAGATATGCTGACAAAACTATTCCTTCGCAAATACAGTATCTGACAGTTTCAATAATTATTATAATAATTACTGCGTAAATAATTATGGCATTAACAAAGATTTCAAGTACTAATTTTATATGTACTTTTTTATGCTTAAAGCGTAGCAGATTCCCTAATTAAGTTCGGTATTTTTGTGTGTATGTATGATGGTAACGCATTAATGTCCTTGTTTCTCAATGTTTCACGGAAAGGACAAGAGCGCCTTGATAATGAAAATGTCAACCCGAATAAAGTGTTAAATTAAGAGGTTGAGTTAGTACCCTAAATACTTTTAACCAATGGTTAATAACCATTATGTTATAGTCCTTTATATTCTGAACAAAATTGTACAAATCCCATTTCCGTATATTTACTCTCACCGCTTACACATGATAAAGGTTGTTGACAAACTTATGGGAGAAAGTATGTGTCAGAATGCTGATACCGTTTATTTAGTTTAATCATTGGATATAACATATGGACCAACAAGATCCGGGTGACATTTAATTGCGAAGCATTAATTTTACCTTGAAACTGTCAGATACCTACTGTATTTGCGAAGGAATATTAGTTTTGTCAGCATATCTGAAAGTATGCAAACCAACTGCTGTGCTTTAAATAAGAAGGTTTTAACTGACTATGATAAGATTCCCGTGCGTAGAACGGGCACACGGCTAGTATTTGTCTTTATTTATTTATATTTTATATTATTTATTTATAGTATACAATAAATATAAATATATGTATACATAAGAATACAAAGTAGTGAGACCATATTTTAATGGCTAAAGACACTCTCGCCAATCCAGTGAATACATTAAAATGACTTGGGTCTTGATAGGTACTCTCGTTTTCCTGGAGAAGATTGCGTAAAATGCCATCTTGAGTGTGTCAGACAGACAGACAGACAGAAATTTAGATGAGACTTGTTTCGGCTTCTTTAATGAATAAAACGTAAAAAGTAACCTAAAAATGTATGATTCTGAGCAATGTACAGACAAAACTCTAATTTAATTGATGTGTTCAGATAGCATTTCCACAGAATTTCGAGTCATCTCCGGTCCAAGCAAATATAAATTGTTATGATCAAATTTTATGGCATTAACAAAGATTTCAAGTACTAATTTTATATGTACCTTTTTATGCTTAAAGCGTAGCAGATTCCCTAATTAAGTTCGGTATTTTTGTGTGTATGTATGATGGTAACGCATTATAATGTCCTTGTTTCTCAATGTTTCACGGAAAGGACAAGAGCGCCTTGATAATGAAAATGTCAACCCGAATAAAGTGTTAAATTTAGAGGTTGAGGTAGTACCTTAAATACTTTTAACCATTATGTTATAGTCCTTTAAATTCTGAACAAAATTGTACAAATCCCATTTCCGTATATTTACTCTCACCGCTTACACATGATAAAGGTTGTTGACAAACTTATGGGAGAAAGTATGTGTCAGAATGCTGAACCCGTTTATTTAGTTTAATCATTGGATATAACATATGGACCAACAAGATCCGGGTGACATTTAATTGCGAAGCATTAGTTTTGGCTTGAAACTGTCAGATACTGCATTTGCGAAGGAATAGTTTTGTCAGCATATCTGAAAGTATGCAAACCAACTGCTGTGCTTTATATAAGAAGGTTTTAACTGACTATGATAAGATCCCCGTGCGTAGAACGGGCACACAGCTAGTACATTATCCTACTTTATATATTATAGCTTTATAATAAATACTTATTTATATTTATACTTTATATTCTGATAAAGTAGACTGATCAATGATCTTATACAATGAAAATCACCCGAGTTGAAAACAGAAAACCTTGAGAATATAAATAAAAGTTACACTCTTGCCACTTGCTAGCCAATAAATATTTTACCACCACACAATAGAGTTTGGGTGCACATTGTTCATCCTGCCATTCCAACCTGACTGTGGTGTTATGCACACATACTGTGAGGAATATCACCTTTGTGTAGTTCTAGCCAATTCCCTATATAGGGAATACAATTTTGCAATTTCTTCCAAACCACTTTGTATAGCTTTATATTGATGTGTTGTCATGCACTAAATGGTTAAGGAGAAGATTCCAAAAATATGTGAATTTAAAATTCCCTTGTTATTCTTATGGAGAAAAAGCAAAATGTTGTACTTTACTTGTTTATAATCATATTTTGATCAAATTTGGAAAATGGTTTTTTATTTCTAACTATACTATTAACCTTCAACCTTAAAACACTTTATTACCTTCCCTGTAGCAGCAAACTTAAGTTCTTGTTCCAGGATGACATGGGGTTGTAATATTAATAGGCATGCATGTTTCTTGAAAAATTTTTTTCTCAGCTTGTGTGCATTGCAGGGAAAATCTCTAAGCATTCTGTTAGAAGGATATTTTCCTGTAGATGTGCAGAATGCCTTATAAATTTAAATAAGCACTTAAAATTAATTTAAAATGTAAAAAGAATTAACACGGGAGTTAATATGAAAATATTAACAGAAAATAAAAACAAATTGAAGAAATTCTAATCACATTGAAAAAAGAGAAGTCTGTATATTACATATTTTTGGCCGAGATCTCAACCACTGGACGACCTCTGGTACTTATAATACAACTCCATGCCATCCAGGTGGTTTTCATCACTCTACTTGTAAAACTGACTGCCACTAAACATAATTTTTGGGGTGTAAAAAATTACAGCCTAACATAAATTACACACCAACCCTGCAATAAATTGTTAACAACATTGAGATAGGCCTAATCACACTCCTGATGATTAGTCTTATCAAATGAAGAACAGGTAAAAATAAAAAACAAAATAGTTGAACAGTTTTCTTTTTTTTTAATAAAACAAATTCAAACTGCCTATTTGTTGGGGGCGCTTGCGGCGGATGACTTGGAGTCCCTCATGGATGCAGAGCGACGACGCTTGATCTCCTCTTGCCTCCTCACCTTGGCCTCCTTCTGTCTCTGGGCCAGCAGCTTGGCGTACTCGGCTGCTTGCTCCTTGCGCTTCAGACAACGCTGCTTCTTCAGTGCCAGTCGGTGTCTCTTGCGCTACAACCATCAACACTTGATGTATTTTATTATGCAACTAATATTAAATTAAAGTTGGAATGGATTTGGCTTTGATTAAGAGGATGGAGTTTTGGATAAATTCTGTTATTTGAGATACTGAAGTTGTCTTACACATCACATTTAAATTTATCAGCTGAAGCCAATTTTTAAATTAAAAAATTAAATAGTTAGTTAAATGTGCCTGATCACAAAAGAGTGCTACAACCTAAAATTTGATTTTGTTCTACTATGCAGGTTATTGATGCTATGCAAGTTTAATTCGGCTTGTCAATTCAGTGAGAACAAGCCAAACTGACCATGTGTATGTAATTGCTGCATATGAATGTGTACTTACTGTAGGATCCTGTGTTATTTAGAATTGACGATTCAAACTTACAAGCCAAATTGAAAGTGTGTAAGCAGACTTGGGGAAACTAGTTGATATGACATCATGTTTTCTTTTCAGTTAAGTTACGCTTTGTTAAAAGTTGGCTTACTTTGACAGAGATCAGTAATTGAGATGAGCGGACCCTGTCTGTATCTAGGAAACTTAACTATTTTATTAACACGAGAATAGAATGTTCCATACCATCACAGGTTGTTGCAAATTAAAACATTCAATTGGTACAAAGCAATACATCAATATTGAATAATATTAAAACCCCAATCAATGCCATATTAAATGAGAGGTTTAACTTTTAAATGAAGTGTGTTCTCAGATTTTCTCTCCACATATGTATTCAGGTAATACATGCAAACATAAGTAAATCAGTCATCATTTAAACACACTCTCAAAATATAAATTTTACAGTACCGGTACCTAATAGAATTGAAACATAAATGAGTTTAATTGGAATTAAAACAACTGCAATTCTTTGTCTAAAAACCAATCCTATTATTTAATAATTACACAATTAACTGATTGTTTTGGCAATATAACCAATATTCCTTGTATACCTATTTACTAATGTTTAACCATACTGCCACGAGGCCTACCTGGAGGGTGACTGGTGTGATGAGACGTTGTATCTTGGGTGCTCGGTGTCGAGGCTTCTTACCCTCCTTGACGGGGAGAGGACGTTTGATGACAAACTGCCTCACATCATCCTGCTTTGTCAGGTTGAATAGTTTCCTGATCTTGGAGGCACGCTTGGGGCCCAATCGTCGTGGAATGGTGTTGTCTGTCAGGCCAGGAATTTCCTACAGAATAAAAAAAACATGCAAAAATATTACATTTTTGTTTTCACTTTAGAATGAAGCTGCAAATTTTTCCTTTTGAAAAACAATACAAAACCTAAAGGCTTTTGAATTTAAATACTGTCACATGTTAGCTTATGATATAATCCAGCAGCTACTTGGAAAAGTTACCTTATTCTTAACTCCACAGAACTGTAACTAACTTGCAGAGTGAGGAGCATCTTTCCCTACCAATTTTTTTCACACATATTTACAAGAATGGAAAAGACAATAGGCCTAGCTAACATATTTCTTATTTAATTTATAACTTAACAAATCTAATACGTACACATGGAAAGTTCAAGGACTTGATTGGTTCAGGACTCTTAAATACATATTTTGTAGCACCTTTAGATTGCCCCAAGCAACAAAAGTACTTACTGTAAATGGACTTTGTGAAAGAAACTATAACACTAAAAGGAAAAACTGTACCAAAAGTTTACTAAGCAAAGACAAAAATATCCATGCTTAAATCCTCTGTTGGTTTTTTTGCTATTCCACTCTCCCAGTGTCACTTGGTTTACAGTAACACACAAGTAACTGTAGTGGGATGTGGTTGAAATAAAGCAAAAATGTAAAAATTAACTCACATTTTCTCCTTTCTTGACAATAACAAGAGCGAGCACACTGAGGTTAGAGTCGACGATGCATCCGCGGACGGACTTACGTTTCCTCTCCCCGCTTCGCCTCGGTCGGTAGCAAGAGTGACCCTTGGAGAGTAGCAGACGAACTCGGACTAGAAATGAGTAAAACATATTAAATTGTATTAATTGAATTCTTCATGACAGAAATAGTTATAGAATAATTTCATATCAAGGCACATGTGCAAAACATACAATGCTAATATCTACTCCTGAAAAGAAAATTAAATATCTAGACTTCTATGTTAGAATGTACACTGTCGATCCTCTATAAATTCCCACGAGCATAATAGAAGATTCAAGTGGTATGGTCATGATGTCCCCAACAATATAATTTTTTTAGTTACTCGGGGATTAAATGTTACAAAAGAATAAAACTTAACTACCAAGTAAGATATTGTATCATAAAAATTAACATCAAAGAGATAGCTTACTTAAATAAATAGCCTATTATTGGCTCCATAGTACCATAGACAAATAGATAAATATAGACTGTCAAAGAAAGGTTTCGGCGCCCACCGCTAGGTTTGCCGTGTAGTTACAGCGCACACCGCTGCAGGCGAGGAGTGCAGGAGCCGTATGCGACCAGCAGACGCGCCATAACTACACGGCAAACCTAGCGGTGGACGCCGGAACTTATGCTTACCGCAGCACAACCCACTGCACAACTGACGGTCTATATTTATTCTATTTGTCTATGATAGTACCTTCCCTGATATTTTGGTCCCTTCTCTGGCTCAAAAAATTCCATATGTTTGGAGTATTATATTAAGAGATATTGTTCAAATTAAATAGTTATATGAAACTTGAATAAGGCAAGTAAATGTACTTCAACCAGTCTAATCCAACGTAGTACACGGAATTTGTAATCTAAAAACTGTTATTAACTACCACAACAAAATAAAAATAAGATTGAATTATATTAAATAAAAGTGCCAAAATGTTCCACACTCTGACCAATCACTAAGAATTACCTTAGCAATTACCTGAATGTGGGTTTCTGTAGCACAAACCGAACATACACATGATTTGTCATCAGTGTACTGCCTGGAATGGTTGTGCAGTTAGCAATGCAACTAATTTAAAACATCCATGTATAAATCCCAAAGTACCCATGAACTTTTGAGAAACCTACAAGTCACACCCCCATAAACCATATACTTAAAATGTTCGTCATGACGAGAAACCTTGCGTAGCAAAAAATGCAATATTTCATGAGGACATAGCCTAAGAGCATACTCATGTTCCACACTCTGACCAATTGCTAAGAATTACCTTAGCTATTACCTGAATGTGGGTTTCTGTAGCACAAACCGAACATACACATGATTTGTCATCAGTGTACTGCCTGGAATGGTTGTGCGAGTAATAAATTGTCTTACAGCTTGGTCATATGCTATTATTGATTGTTCCAAATGCGAAACAAACAGACTTTTCTGGCCTATCAAAATTTAAGTTTATTTCATCGGCTGGACGCCACACTCTTTGAAGCCACATTTACTTTCTTGTAAGGAAAATTATGAAAAATGCTAGGGTGGACCTACATCTACCACAAAACTCCAAACGTCCACTGCCTAACCTAACCAAAACCAACAAAAAAACCCATGAAAACTCGTTTTCATAGTCCGATCAAGCTGGTTCACGAACTTGTTTCTAATAAACGTATAGGCACTAGTTTGTACCAAATTTCACCAAAATCAGAACATTTTTGGTCGAGTTATTGCACTAACAGACACATAATACTTCGCCTCTTAAATAAAGACATTTTTCATTTCATTTCATTACGTATAATAAATATGAATTTGGACGAAGGGTGTTTTTGACCTCTTGGGAACCTCATATAATAAAAGTAACACCTGCAGTAATACCTTATTCCGCAAATGGGAAATTTGCTTAAAAATTATTAACACTAATACCGAAACCCTAGCCAGGCTGAAGCTAACCGAAACCCCCGGTCTATGGAATACCCCAAGTAAACAGTGTTGCCAACATGCATTTGTGAAAATTCCCGAGGGCCTGTCAGACTGGGGTTTTAGTAAAAGTGTTAAGTTAGTGTACAGCAAAGAATATAAACTAGCCATGTATAAAGAATATAAGCTTGGCTAAGCTTACACAGCCATGTTCCACACTCTGACGAATCACTAAGAATTACCTTAGCAATAACCTGAATGTGAGTTTCTGTAGCACAAACCGAACATACACATGATTTGTCATCAGTGTACTGCCTGGAATGGTTGTGCAGTTAGCAATGCAACTAAGTTAAAACATCCATATATAAATCCCAAAGTACCCATGAACTTTTGAGAAACCTACAAGTCACACCCCCATAAACCATATACTTAAAATGTTCATGACGAGAAACCTTGCGTAAAACTATCCATTATTTCATAAATTGCCTTTTAAGGTCGTAATTTCTTTCTAAAGGGAACTTTCCATAAACATAATGTTAAAAATACCTCAGCTGTACTTACCAATCAATAGTTTTATTCATTTTAATATTTAAAAAGTCAAACGGGGTGAAGCCTATGGGTAACAGCTAGTTGTTGTAAATATAAAATTGTTTTCAATGAGGAAACTTACTTGAGTGGCCTAAACTATTTAGACAAATTCAATAATAATGTCAACAGATTATTAAAAATGAACTAGGCCTATTAAACTCAACCCAAGTTAACCTAATGATTATAATTTTGATGCCAGACAAGCCTACCTTAAGTAAATTTCTAGTTAAACCTATTTTTATAATAAAAAAAGTTTGTACCGTGCCTTTTTTTACAATATTGACAATTTTAATCTTCTATATATATAAAAGATTATGTTGGTTTGTTTGTATATTTGGCAGTGATAATCTCAGACACCTGCAACAAACAAGGTTAGTACAAGATAGGCCTAACCTAGCCTAATTCCCACAGAGTCCGAATTTATTAAATGAAAAGAAAACAAGTTGGCTTCAGTTGTTCAAGTGAGAAACTAACGAGAAAACTGAAATTAAAAATAAAACTGCTCCTTGAGCCAAAAAACGAAAAATTAAAACTTCTACCTTTTCACGTGTTCAACTTGAACCAACTTCGACAGAACTTGTCCAGCTGAAACCTGTCTGCTGGAACAAGTTTTGGGACGTTAAGGGAACTATAAAAGGTTTAAGAATTAAAAGAGAAAGTTCCAAGACAGATGATGAAACGTTAATCGAAAATATATTTCACCAACTGCACTACTTTACCAAATTAGTTGGTTAAAATGTATGACTAGATCGGAGAGTCAGGCCTAGCCTACGAACTTCGACAAAGTTCTGCCGAAACACAACTGACGGAGAAGTATTCGAAAGAAAAACCTAAGTTGTTTAAGTTTATTACACAACTTACCAAATGAAGTAATAATTCTCTAAAACGATTTTTTCGCGCACTCGATACACCACAAAACTTAAGATGTCCACTTCTCAACTTTCAGAGCTTGCGAAACGTAACTTTTAAACAGCGAAGTTGAATGAAATCTCCTCAAATCGAAGACGAACGAACGAATGCCAAAAGCCGGGAATACGAAAATGACAATCCTTATTTTTCTCCCTTCCTGATTGGTCAGCACAAACAGAGTCAGCTGAGTCCCATGCCGGGAAAGGCCAAGGCTATTTAAAAGAAAAAGAGGTTGCCTCAGTCGCGCGTATGACGTCACCCGCCGACCCGGACGGTGCTGCTTTTAATTCACACAGCTGTCACCTGTCAAGTACTTTGTTATTGTTGTTTGTTTTTCATTTATTTATTAGTAAACAGATCCGGGTCGGCGGGTGACGTCATACTCGCGACTGAGGCAACCTATTTTTCTTTTAAATAGCCTTGGGGAAAGGCAGGCGCATGACAGCTAGCTTCAACATGCTTACAGCCGCGTACCACTCAAAAGGTGGCTCCGCTGCTCTTCTTTTCTCCCGTAGCCCGCCCTCAGACGCAGTCGAACAACCAAACTGACACCAACGTCGTCTGCGATCTTGGAATTTGAGGTTAGGTGCGATGTCAGTTTAGCGTCGCGACTAGGGCACAACAACAGCTTACATTCAGCTGTTTAAGTTTCGTGGTTTAGCCGTTATTTTACCCCCTACACATTTGACCCGTTACAAATTTGATTCTGTGATGTTCAATAGCATTAAGCAGTTACGAGGTTCACCAACAGGGCGCAGCACTAAATTTATGACAACAGCTAATTTGTACCAAGCAGCAACAAAAAGCTGTGATACAAAATGAGAACTGTCAAAGCATGACTTTTTACAGTTATGTTTATGTAGCCAATTAATACTAATAGTAAATGATTAAAAGTCTATCTACGTTACATACAGCAGATCGAGGGAATATAATAATTATTGTACTCTTTAGCTTTATCAAGCTGCTAGCCATTATTTTCAAGGAACCAAAATTGTCTCTTCGGCATCTAGACTCCGTTGCAAGGCACGGGTATAGCAGCTAGTTATCTATAGGCATACCTTCTATCACCAGCAACCAGGTTCTATCACTTGCCTCACTTAATAGTTGTAAGGCTCTGTAGTTTGAAACTTGTATTTATTTATTTTTGTCATCATTTCTACTGCTTCATTAAGAATAAGGCCAGGATCACGAAGTATACATTTGTGGAGGTACACTTTCAGTTTAATTTTTCATTATCCCTAGCTGCCAAAAGGCAAATTAGGGGTGGTAAACTATCAATTATCTTCAGGCACGTGTAAGAGGTGCAATGTCCCAGTTTGTTAAGCACAGTGATGAGTAATTTAGATCAAATGATGTGATGTATGTATTGTTCTAAAGAAACATATTTTGGAGGTAAATACCCATCGGTTGTAACGTAAAAAATGTAAAAACAATTTAAAAAATTTTTATATTGCATTTTATGTTTTGTATAGGCCTAATTAAAAACTGGTTTTGCCTAATCTATTTAATATTTTACAAAAATCTTTATAACTAAAAAACTATTTATGATACGGATTTGAACATAGGCTAATAAATATTTTTAAAGCTCATAATTTTATGAGTTAACTGGCACTTGTTGCACTGGTCTATCTCAAATGGTTCTCAAGTTATGTAGTAAGTAGCTTCTCAGTAAGTATGTAGGAAGTAGTATGTAGTAAGTAGTTAAGTAGCTTCTCACCATTAGTAAGGACTCCCTGCTTCATGGGAAATCCTTGCTTGTCGTTGCCTCCTGATACTCTGACAACATAACCTTTCCATTCATCGCCAAGGGAGTCAGCCTCTACCTCAGCTCCCATACGCTTCTCATAGAATATGCGGAGCTTGTGTTCATCGACAATCTCAAACAATTTCTGGGTTCCATTTGGTGGATATGACACGTTCAGCTAAAACATATAAACTGCAATATAAGGCATCATTGTAAGCCAAACTCAATTAAAACCATAATAGCAAATAGCAAGAAGATTTTATACATGTCTCTAGGCATAATCCAGAAAAGAAAAAAAAGGCATGGTTCACAGAGAACCTGTAAAATAGGCTTGTGTGTGTGTACTGTATTTATATACAGGGTGATCAACTCAAGGAGGCCACCATTGGGATATCGGAAACGGTAAGAATTAGAGAAAACTTTAAATGGGGGACATTCCTTTAGTTTTTGTGGCAGTTAAAAATATGATTTTATTTTTTTGAAATTCAGCCGCCATTTTCCATGTATATAAATGTATACATATATATCAAATTAAATATTTTATCAATGTTGTATTGATTTTTTTGCATCTTTTGAAGAAGAGGGCCCCGCCTGCCACTAATTTTCAGTGTTCTGTGGCGTAAAGGTTAAGTTAGTCTAGATCAGTAGCCTATAGGCAAGTATATAATTACTTAACCACATATATAATATATATAATATTTAAGCTACCAAATTTGACCTTTTTATATAGGTAGACTAAGAGGACTATAATCGCCTACAAATAGTCGTATTCGTAAACTTAACTCCTTAAGAACTGACTTAAACTAACTTAATCCAAACCAAACTGAACTTGGAATTAACTTAAACTAACCAAATCAAATCAAAATCTCCTGAAATTTTATTCCTGAATAAAAGTTAGGCCTACATGTTTGTTACAAATTGTGTATGTACAGGAAAATAATTCCCTAGTAGACTAAGTTATTCGTCTGTGTTTGGGAATGAGTTGCTAATATCAAATCATATGGTTCATATCATGTTGTTTTTATACACAGGTCCATAAACATTCAGGAGTACTTAGACACTAATGATGATAGCAAATAAAAAAATATTAACAAGATGAAGAAAAAAAACCTAACTGCATCGAAACATCCAAAACTCAAATTTAGTGATTGTAAGTGGTATACGTGGAGCAATGAAGGAAAAAAGTGATTTGGTGATGCATGAAACTGCACAGAATTGTGAGTACGATTCGAGTAATCCTTCTGATTGCTCCCTGTCGAGATTTAAGAGCCAGCTCATGACTCTACTCTTAAACACAGCAACGCTGTCACTCTCCGCCTCTCAAATATGTGAAGGCAAGTTCCTATACAATGTATGACAAACGAAAAACGGTATAGTTACCAACACAGAATTAACATTTAAGATTCATCTCAAAGAGACAATTTAGCTTAAATGTTCATATTCAATACATACGTAATTGGTATTTTATCACATTAAAACAATGTTCAATATATTTCAAACTAATCTGATAAAAAGATAGGACATTTGGTAAGCCTGCTTTCCTGTCAATTTCTTATTTTTCAAAATAAGTAATAGGCCTACATTCTATCCGAAATATGCTGGGATTTTAAACGGTCGTTGCTAAGTTAAATATTCAAGATAACTAGGTACCGGTAGTATTTATGCATATTACGCTTGGTAAGTATTATTATTTATGTCAAAATTTGTGTTATTGAAATAGTGATTGTTTAAGCCTATAAGCTAGGCCTAAATCCTAACCTAGCCTACAATCATGTGTCTCACGCCAGAATAATGCTTCTGGAACCTTTATTTGTTTATATTTCTGTACATACACCATTTCTTGTTATCTGATATTTCCTACTTAAATGCATGCAGTGCCGGATTTAGGGTACTTGCCGCCCTAGGCCAAATTACTTGAGCGGCCCTCCCCCTGTGGTGGCAACTCCTTGCGATTGCGGAAGTAATCGTGAATATATTCTTTGCATCAAGGGGACATTATCATCGACACCCGTGATCTTGCCGCGGCAAAATCGTAAACATCCCCCGCGGGCTGCAACAAAGGGACATCATCCTCGACACTCGTGACCGTGGCGAAATCGTGATCATATCTTGTGAGCTGTTACCTTGAGGACATCATCACCGTCACCCGCAACCGACGTAAAATTGCGAGCATCTCCCGCGGGCCGCAATCACAAGGACATCATCATTGACACTCGTGACCGTGGCAAAATCGTAAACATCTCCTGCGAAGCAGGAATCACGGGGACATCATCATCGACACTCGTGACCGTGGCAAAATCGTAAACATCTCCTGCGAAGCAGAAATCACGGGGACATCATCATCGACACTTGCGATTGCGGAAACAGGGTGTCTACCAGATTTCTCAAATGGAATTCCCGACTTTTTCCCGACTATTCATTACCATTTTTATATAAATCCCGACCAAAAACTCGGTCCATTCTCCATGTTACTACACCTTTTTCCGTCTCGCGGTCACGGTACCTTCGTCAACATATGTTGTCACTTACGACCCAGCGAAATCACTGACGATCGAAACGTATCACATGCCAAGAAAATCCCATATTAAATGTAGGGGTGTGTGAAGCAGCAAAACATTTCAACTCAAAGCAACGATTCGATTTTAAAAAAAATGTTGATGTAACTCGATTCGAAGCAACATGGAATTTTTCTATTCATACTTCTCAGTGGAGTGAAATATCTGTTTTCAATCATACATTAGAAGAACCAGTATTTCTGGAAATATCAGTGAGCTTCTTGCCCATTTCATAATTTTTACTTGCAGCATCATGTTGTTAAGTATGTTACCTATTTTATTTTATTCATTTTATAAATAAAGATATGTTTGGGTGTAAACAAATAAAAACCTTTGTAAGATTTAAATACTGAATCTTTCAATTGGTTTACATTGATAAAATAAGAGGATAGAATCAGAACTACAAGGTATACAAATATAACTTCTTGTATGGCGAAGCAATGTCTCAGTGTATGCCATGTACTTGGATGGCAATAACCTGTATGGTCAAGCAATGTCTCAGTGTATGCCATGTACTTGGATGGCAATAACCTGTATGGCTAAGCGTCTCAGTGTATGCCATGTACTTGGATGGCAATAACCTGTATGGCTAAGCAATGTCTCAGTGTATGCTATGTACTTGGATGGCAATAACCTGTATGGCTAAGCAATGTCTCAGTGTATGCCATGTACTTGGATGGCAATAACCTGTATGTCTAAGCAATGTCTCAGTGTATACCATGTACTTGGATGGTAATAACTTGTATGGCTAAGCAATGTTTCGGTGTATGCCATGTACTTGGATGGTAATAACTTGTATGGCTAAGCAATGTCTCGGTGTATGCCATGTACTTGGATGGTAATAACTTGTATGGCTAAGCAATGTCTCAGTGTATACCATGTACTTGGATGGTAATAACTTGTATGGCTAAGCAATGTCTCAGTGTATGCCATTGTATGGCTAAGCAATGTCACAGTGTATGCCATGTACTTGGATGGCAATAACCTGTATGGCTAAGCAATTTCTCAGTGTATTCCATGTACTTGGATGGTAATAACTTGTATGGCTAAGCAATGTCTCAGTGTATGCCATGTACTTGGATGGTAATAACTTGTATGTCTAAGCAATGTCTCAGTGTATGCCATGTACTTGGATGGCAATAACCTGTATGGCTAAGCAATGTCTCAGTGTATGCCATGTACTTGGATGGTAATAACTTGTATGGCTAAGCAATGTCTCATCTCAATGAATAGCTTATATAATTAATGTCAATCATTTGAATAATGTCAATAAGTTATATATGGATACTGATAGTCAAAGTAACAGTATCAATGTAACAGTCAACTACGTATATGGATACTGATTCAATGACGTATAGACACTGATTCAAAAAGTTATTTGGATAATTATTCAATAACGTATATGGATACTGATTCAATACCGTATATAGATACTGATTCCATAACGTATGGATGCTGATTCAAAAACGTATATTATGGACACTGAATTCCCATGATTCAAATCGTTATTTTGATCATCACTGAATCGAATTGGAATTCCGATGCATTTTCGTTTCATCCCCCACCCCTCAAATGTAATCCCGTCCCAATGATCAGGAATATAAGATCCAGAACATTTTTTTAATGTTTTGAGACCCGTTCATCCCTAATTTTGAAAGGTTAGATTATTCCCGACTTTCGGCCGAAATTCATGACTTTTTCACGACTTTTCCCGACCTTTCAAAATCCCCGACTTTTTCCCGAATTTCCCGGAATTCCCGACTGGTAGACACCCTGGGAAAAGTCGTGTTAAAAACATCTCCCATGCACCGCGATCAAGAGGACATTTTCATTGTCACCCGCGGCCGTGCCGAAATCGTAAACATCCCCCTCGGGAAGCCATCATGGGGACATCCTCAATGACACCCCCAGCCGCGGTAAAATTGTTAACATCTACCGTGAGCCGCAATCATCATCGACACTCGTGGCAGCAGCTAATTCTTAAACGTCTCCCGCGGGCTTCGATCGCGAGGATACATCAACGTCACGTGCGGCCACGGCTAAATTGTTAACATCTCCCGTGAGCCGCAATCACGGTGACATCATCATCGACACTCGTGACAGCGGATAATTCTTGTACGTCTCCCGCGGGCTTTGATCATGAGGATACCGTACATCAACGCCACCCGCGGCCACGGCTAAATCATGAACGTCTCCCACAGGCCGCAATCACAGGGACATCATCACCGGCACCCGCGGAAAAATCGTGAACATCTCCCTCGGTCCGCGGAGACATCATTATGGTCACCTGTGATCGCAGCAAACTGGTGGTTTAAAGTAAATAATTTGTTTATCTAAATAAATGTTTTTCTCAATCCTCTGCGGCCCCTTTTGCTTGCTGCCCTAGGCCGCGGCCTAATCGGCCTAGTGGTAAATCCGGCACTGATTGCATGTAATATTTATCATACTAAGTATAGTAAAGCAGAAAAATTAGATCTAGGCTAACTTTAAACAACTAATTTTTGTTAGCCTAGAATATTTCAGAAAAACTAAAATTTTGTTTTTCAAGTCATAAAAAAGTTATAACTTTGTACAATATGACATTATTCTGAATCAATGTACTTATTGTTACTTTTAGTAATATAATAACTTTTGTATATAAATTGAATAGGCCTACTTCTGATTATATTCTTATGTTTAAAATGATCGGCGCAAATTTGTTGATTTTCCCCAATTTGCGTATTTTCCCCTCCTTGCCAGTGGACTGAGCATTATAGCATAAATCAGGTCAGGGCAGTCCTTGGGTTAAGAGTTATTTAATTTAACCGACAATAACTGTGTGTAACATTCAACGGGAAAAGACGTAACGCTAATTGTCAAATTATGTCACCCGCCACTCCAGCACACATTTTAAAATCAACATTGTTTGACGATTCGCCACTCTTAGGGTTAAGTAGTGTTTTAAAGTCAGGCCTAGGTTAGGCCTAGCCTAGTTGAGGAAGGTAAAGTTAGGTTAACTTAAGTATAATTAATTGATTTATTGGTTCATGTTACCTAGAGACTGTTATTGTAGGTTAAAAAAAACCCCGAAAACACTGGAAAGTAAGTTAGGCCCTACTATTTCAAAAATGCTTGCAGGCTGGCCTCCTGTAGGAATTTTCTAAGTTTCCAGCATTAGTCACAAAGGATGATTTTATGCAGATAGTCTATAGTAATGGACTGGTTTTTTTTTATGTAACCTAGTATAAGACCTTATCTATTGAGTTAGGTACCTACAATCTAAAAAAAGATATGTAAAGTTACAATGGTCAGTAACTTAAGTTTATATCGTAGTTTACAGGTAAAGGCAGTCTAGAGAGCGTTTGGTGCTTTTATTTATCATGAATGATTAGGCCTATGCATTTTAACCCAATGATCGCGTTTCGAATGGAAAGATAATAATACTCGACACGACAAAAACCCTCAATGTTGACGTTAAACAAAAAGCTCACCAGAAACTAAGGCATCGAAATCATTGGGTAGGCCTTCCACGTCCTAATCCGACTTCATCGCATTTCATAAGAAATAAACTATTATAGCATCTGACTATTTATATAAATATGGACCCTATAAACATTAAGAGCATAACATGATTGTTTTAATTTAAATATAAATTGTAAATTACTCACCTTCATGTCGGGCAGATTTTAATAACCTCCCTAAAAGAACAAGAAGCGAACGAAAAGATTGAAGCCGGAAACTTTACAGCTTTTTCAAGAGAAGAAGAAGAAGAAGCAGTATTTTCATTCAGTGCCATGGAAATACTACGAGAGAAGAGAAGTTATGAAAGTATACTACAATAGATTTAATAATTTTTAATTACCACAGTTTTTTAAAAATTAATTATTGTTAATCAGAGTATGGTGTAATATATTATTCAGTATCTAACCAACAAAACGTTGGTCGTGTTGCTAGCATAGTGGTTAGTGTCTCAGACTTCGCTACGGAAGGGATGGGTTCAATTCCTGGCACCCACAAGACTTTAACGGGTTTGTACCGCTTTCCATTAAAAGCGGTAAAACTAACTTCGGATTCGGGTGCCAGACCAACAGAATGAAACTTAACATCAAGAAGTGTCCCCATAACTCGAGTTCAGGAGGTAAAGGACCTAGGCGTTATTTTGACACCCTCACTACACCCTGAGTCCCACGTAATTCACATCTGTAACAGAGCGAATAGAATGCTTGGATTTGTTTTCTGCTTTTCGAGGCACTTCAGCGATATGATGGCTCTGAAGACCTTGTATTGCGCATTGGTGCGCCAGATTCTTGAGTATGCCTCACCAGTCTGGGACCCTCACCAAAAATATCTGATTGAAGAACTAGAGAGCATTTAAAGAAGATTCACTAGAATGGTCGGGGTCAGGACCGGAATTCCTTACCGGCACGTCCCAATTGAAGACATTCCTCGGGATCTGGGTCTCTTGCGAGTCGCCTTGACTGTCCTGACATCCTGCGTTTAATCTTATTCAAAACACCATCAGCCACCCGATCCGGCGACCTGTTCGTGACTCGTGAGGCAATACACCCGCACCAACTCCTCTGCGGGCGCAGGGGCGTCATTTGGGGGGGGGGCAGGGGGGCATTTGCCCCCCCTGGATCCCGGACTAGAGAAAAAATACACTGTACTAGCCAATATACAAATATTTTCTCCTGTCAAATCCTAAAAAGCGCAGCAGACAAAAATCTGTATTCTTGTACAGTAATTTGAAACAAAAATTATTATTGTTTTATTGTCTTAGATAGCACATTTTGAGTTTACATAAATTAGTAGTTTTGTTATTCATTTACTTTATCTGTTTGGTGCTGTACGATAAACCACTTACTTCTAGTTTATATATATATATACATAAAAATTCAGATTTTTTAGAAGCATTGTTTTGTCATTTACTTTTATGAATTATTCAAGCATTAAAATTATACATGTGTATAAATTTTACGTAATTTATTTTGAACATTGTAGACTACCAATTTAATATAGGTAAATAGAACATTTTGTACTTTTGTGTCAAATTATTTTATTGGTGATAAAATTTGATTTGCTTTTAAGTTCTTAAATACTTGTATTTTATTTTAAAACCAAAATAAACTGTTATAAACTATAGGCTATGAACAACCGTTCATTGCTAAATGTTGTACAAGAGAAATTGGTCATGAATCTAATAACAAACATAATATTAATACATCATGGAACTATTGATCACGTTTCTTAGATGACTAACTTACCAACATAAAATTATTGTGTTTCTGTCTGTTGTCAATAATTCTTAGTTTCATTAACTTTCTGCCTAAATTTAAATAAATTTTACTCATAATTTTTTTTATTTGAAGTGCTTTTGACAATTTAAATAAGCTTAAACCATTAAACCCCTCTTTTTTTTGTTTCAAAACTGCCAAATTTTCCGGGGGGGGGACCCACGGACCCTACTTGCTTGCTGGGGTCCCATACCCCCCGGTATTTGCCCCCCCCCAAGGATTTGGTGAAATGACGCCACTGCAACTACGCAGCAAATTGCACGATGTGTCGCCTTCAAAGGTCTGGCAACAGCATCGCTGGATCTGTTGATTTCTTCCGATTAACAATTTTATTGTTTTATTTCCCACAAATTTATTGTAAACTGCTTCAGCTCTAATAATATGAGAGGCCTTTTAGTACGTTTGAATTATCGACTGTTGATTGAAGAACTTTGTATAGTACTCTCGATAATACAGCATAGTAACACACTAAAAAGTTGTTTATACTAGTTAGCAGTGCTTTGGGTTGTCTGTGTTTCCCGCGCTGACCGAGTGACCAATAATGTTTTTTTCGTTCGAGACAAGTTTATTATTATTAAAATTAATGCACTGCAGGAATTTTACCACTCAAGTCATTTTAGCTAAGTTTCTTTAGTTTTTTGAAGTCTTGGTTGCACTTTAATCAGATTTGTCGTTACAAAGTTTCTACACAACATTAAATCTTACCACAATAAGTTATCACATTTTGTTACTAGCTAAGTAAGTTATCCCATGGTTGAAATTGCTTTATGTTGTGGATTGCAGAACTTGGTTTTACAGTGTTGCACAAAGAAGCTAAACAATAACTTTGCAAACCCTCTGAATACAACTCGCCGTAAGTAGGCTATGTGTCAATAAAAATATTTCCTATATAGGCTAGGTCTAGGACTTACTTGAATACTTACTTGAATACTTGATTCCTTCATCTTTGACCAACAAAAGTTGGATAGATTGCGTAAAAAAAAAGAGTAAACTTATAAAACACTATAAACATTACAATTTAATCTGAACTGACGGATGTGACTCGGATTTTTGGAAATGCGAGTGGTTCGTCAATCAGTTCCTTGATCGAGTCAGTACAGGGGCCTACTGACTAGGCTCTGGCGAAGTGCAGACTTAAACTGTTTTGGTTCTAGGGTCCGGATGGTTGTCGGTAGCGTATTGAATAATTTTATCGCTAGAGATGGGTATGAATTAAGCGTGTGGCTAAGTGGATAACGGGGTGCATCCAGGTCATAAGCTCTGCGGGTCCCATAGTTGTGCTGCATGTTTCTGGTTGAGAAGTTGTTTATATTTTCTCTCAAAAGGACTAGGGTGTTTAACGTATATTGGCTGTAAACTGATAGAATGCCAAGTTCTTTAAAAAGAGGCCTACAGTGGTCGGTAGGGCCGGAGGATGTTATTAGCCTTAGCGCCTTCTTCTGAAGCAACAGCACACTCTGGGTCGCGTGGCTATGGCCCCATACCACCAGTCCATAATTTCTGTGGCTATGGAATAATGCATGGTAGGTACATTATGACTAGGTAGGGACGTGTGATCTCATGCTTAAGTTTCCTGATCAGATATAATATTCTACTTAGCCTTAACTTACGCATACTTTTCCACATGGAGGTTCCAGTTGAGTTTGGAATCGATCCAGAAACCTAGCAGTTGGACCGCCTCGTCTTCGAAGCCCTGTTTGAGGGTGCACGTGACGGATTGTGTTTCTTATCGTCATTGATTTTGAGACGATTCAAAACAAACCATTCCTTGGCTTCATCCAGCAGAATTGCTGCCTCGGTTCTCAGGTCGTTCAGGTTGCTGTGCCTGGTCAGCAGTGTTGTGTCGTCTGCAGAGAGTAGCGTTCGCCTGTTTAAGGACAGATCATTGATCATTATGACAAACAGGACAGGGCCCAGAATCGATCCTTGGGGCACGCCGTGGTGTATTTGCCTGATACTAGAGGAGGCTCCCTCCAATTCGTTTCCTGTTTTCTAAGTAGCTGACTAACGATTTGTGGACTACTCCAGTGACGCCATATTTGCCAAGCTTGGTAAGAAGGATATCATGAGAGACCACGTCGAATGCCTTGCTAAGATCACAAAAACTAAGATGGAGGGAGTAGGCTAATTTGATTCAGAGGCATCAGAGATGTTCATGACTAGGCTAAGGAGTGCTGAGGTTGTGGATCGTCCGGCCCTAAACCCATTTTGGGAATCGTTGAACAGGTTGTTGTTCTCGAAATAGGCCACCAGTTGCGGTTTCATTACTGACTCCAGAACCTTAGAGAAAACAGGAAGAATTGATATCGGCCGAAAGTTAGCGGGCTGTGCCGGGTCACCCTTCTTGTGGATAGGGATGGTTTTAGCTATCTTCAGGTTTTCGGGAAAAACACCTTCGGCCAAACAGCTGTTGACTAAATAAGCAAGAGGGGCAGCAATCGATTTAAATACAGATTTAAGAATATGACTAGAAACTCCATTTTTATATCTTGACTAAATGAATCCTTAAAATTGTGTGTTGTGACTACTAATAAGCAGCTTTTTAATTTATTTACCCCCGTAGTTTATGCCATTTGATGAATGCTTAACTTAGGTACAGTTTCCCATTTGGACAAATGAAAGCATCTGATTATAGTAAGCCTAGCTATAAAACCAAATAAAATATTTAATTAATTTATAATCTCATAAAGGGATTTAAAAGTGTTGGTGCCCTAACTATAAGTCCTTTCATGCTTGTTAGGTTAGAGGCTATAATTTATTTGATTTATACATAGTAAGTAAGTTCTATTGAGCGCACCCCCTCTGCAGTAGGCCTACATATGGTTTCTCCCCCTTCACCAAAACATCACTTAACGTGTAAGTTACTTAGAATGCTTCCAAGTAATTTACATTAGGACCTTTTAATATATCAAAGCTAAGGTAACTTAAGGGTCAAAATTAGAGCTATGGTACAAGATTTTGGAATTAGTGAGGTTTGAGTTGTCAAGGTGTAAGTTAGGTCGAAAATTCAAGATAAGTTAGTCTTACTGAGGTGTTGAATAGTGATTACTCTTATGATGTTATCTCACGACCTTCATAGGCCCTAAAGCCGCGTTTACACCGGAGTTTCAAACAAAAAGTTGCAAACTTTTATTGCAAACAGCAGTTGCAAACAGTAGTTTCAAATAAATGTTTGCAATTTTTATTTCATGATTTGTTTCCACGTTTCATGAAAATGTTTGAAATAATTTCGACCTTGATTATGACTCGCCTCGTTCTGGTTCTGATTATTCCGAGGATGTCAAGTGTCGAGGATAGCCGCGGCGGCGTGTGTCGTGTTGTCATATCAACGTAGGCCGAGACGATGCTGGGTGAACATTGGTGATTGTATGAATCATCAAATTAAAATTATTATTAATTTTAAAGATTACAAGGACTTAATTATAAGTCTTTTAATCCACATGAGACGTTATTGTTATTTTTAAATTAGACGACCTTGTCATTTGAGGTTAGTGTTAATTCATTGACAGTCAAACAGCATTTTTCCGATTAATTTAACACTGAGTCGAGACACAGGGTGGTGCGAGTGATCACGTCGTGAGTGAGAGTGGAGGATGTAGGGAAGGGGATGGCGGAGAAATGTTTCTGTTTCGTGTTTCAACGGCTCATAGTGACCGAAACTAGTGTTGCAAACAAAGAGTTTGCAACTCCCTTTGATCTTTACCGACTTCAAGTGGAAACAAAAATTTCTGTTGCAAACACTGAAAAACCGTTTGCAACAGCAAAATGTTTCGTCTAAAAATGTGCGTTTTTAGAGATGTTTGCAATTTCTGTTTGCAACTCGTGTTTCAAACTCCGGTGTAAACGCGGCTTAACTCAATTTTACACGCCATACCTTTAACTTAACCTCAAAGCTATTTGTACGAAGAGAAAACTGAAGAACCAAAATACCGGTAAACAATTTATTGTTAACTAAGTTACACAGTAACTTATCTTAAGGTAGGTACGGTGAGTTAAGATACGGTAGGCCTATGTGGAGCGATTAAATTAATATAAAAGTAAATATAACTTTTTAAGTTATAACTTTTTCCAGGAAACCTTTTGGTGACCTAACTTAGTTCATATTGTTTAAAATATAAACAACAATTAACTTAAGTTAGCCTATTTTGGCATTTAACCTGCTGTATTTGATCTTTAACTTTATCAACAGTAATTTAGGCTATGTTAAATGTGAGACAAAGTTTTGTAGGCTACTTGCTGTGAGTTACGTCTGCAAACATGTCTTAACAATCCTCATACTTTTTTTGGTTTTTCAAAATTGCCAATATTAATATTTTCAAAAGATTTTGACTTTCTCTATTTACATAACTTACAGCAGTGTCATCAACTGTGTAAGTAAATTTTTTTAACAATGAAATAAAGTCCGATGAACACAAATTCTTACATCTTCCATGAGATCTATAGTAATAGCTATTCCTTATGGAGAATTCGCTAAAAACAGCTGACGTACACAGTAAGCTATGGCATAAAATCTTGGAGTAATTGACGCACATCATGATACCAATTAAAGGTTTACTGGTAACTTACCTACTTCAAGTAGGCCTAATTGAGACTCGTGGACGAGAACTGTTGAGTAATAGAGCTTAAGTATTACAGATCGAACATAAATTAAAAATTTGATTTATGTAGGCTATCAATGTTTAATAATTTAAACCTTTAACTTATCAAGGTATTTTTAACATGTGATCCAAACCAGAGTTTCAAGGGGACTATGACAAAAGGTACTTTGGTATTATCCGGAGACCGCACTTGTACAGCGCGCTGCTGCGGCGGTTATATTAGGTTGGAATATCATAAATGGAAAGAACGTACTTTAATCGACTTATTGTCCAAATTTGTCATGATTACAATTAGCGGCCTTTGAGTTCTGCCTCCCAGAAAGCAGCGATGTCGGCGAGGATTGAGTTGAATACGTCGCCGTCTCTAGCTCCCACACCAGATACAGGCGATGATAGGTGATTCTGAAAATGATCTTTGTACCTACCCGTTACTGTATATGCTGTCATTGAAATGTAATATGAAGCAAGCAGAATGACTTAGTTTATCTTTTGGTCTAGACATAATTTGCACTTAATTTGAAATAAAATAGCAAGGTCACACTAAAAAAACAGGCCGTAGTGCTCGTCAAGCATGACGTCACGACAGAAGACAGCAATAACGTAATGTTTTCCGTTTGTGATCAGCTGCTTGTTTAAATCTTTCTTGGAAAATAAATAAATAAATACCTACATCATTGCCGTCTTCTATCGTGACGTCATGCTTGGCAAGCATTACGGCCTGTTTTTTTAGTGTGGCCTTGCCTATAGCCAACTAAAATTACTTTCAGGTTGAAACTTAATCAAACAATTAAATATGTCCAGAAGAAACCGTGGGAATTGAGGAATTGGTCTAAGTTAGACCATTCAGCATAGTGAATCAATCCAGAGTGCATCATAAGATGTAGACTATTCATCGGTAAAGCATAGTTTAATGGTGAAGAAATGCCATTATTTAATTAGGCCTATTTGTTTTTCAGATTAAAATTTTTTGAAGAGAATTAGAAAGAGAAAAGCCTTTGCTATCACTAGAAATGAAAGATAGTCCAACCGAGCCACCTCTAAAGAAGCTTAAACAAGGTAAAAGATTCTTATGGTTTAACATTGCAGGTTTGCAGCGTGCTCCAGCTATCTATTTATTTAAGTCAATGCTGCTTCATCTGGGTTGGGGAGACAAGCCAACCTCGCAGTCGTTTACTATAATTTAATGTCTGAGTTTCAGTTCTATCATCTGAGTCCCATGTCTAATGAACCCCAGTCATCATTAGGGGATATATCTCTCACATTACTGATTGCCAATAAAGAAATCCCTCTCTTTGTGAAGAAGGTGAATTCCAGCTGATGATGTTGTTATTTGGTATTTAAGGACTTGTGTTTGCAAAACTTTGAAATCCGACTCCATTGTTCCAGCTGTTGCAAATCGATATAGATGTTTAGTTTTTTGTTTATAATACTGTATAATTTTGATTATCAATAATTAGGTCTAAATTTATACATTTTTTTGTTTGATAATACGATGGAGTCGGATATCAAATTTTTCACACTTATTCCGAGATATTGCTCAGTGTCTTCTTAGGTGAGAATTTATTCCTCATTAGTTTGCAAGCAGTCTGTAGATCGGTGAATGCAATTGCAATTGCAATTGCTTGAAACAATTCTGTCCATAGCACACACCCAAACACTCTAGTAACTTATGCACACAGGTTAGTATGATATTCAGCTGAGAGAAAACGAAAGACACGGCTGACACATGCAGATCTTTTGCATTGAGTCCTCAAGACAATCCAGCCTTTATATTGCACAATTGCTTGGATTCTAAATACAAGTTAGGTTCGCAAATTCACACTAGGTCCCTTTTGATGGCTTTTAAAGTATAGCATGTGTTCTAGAATAACTTTCAATATGTGGTAAGTGTGCAATCTACTTTTAATTTGTAGTTAAAGTAGTTGGTCTACTATTAGGTGAAAGCATTTCACGTCTTATGATTACAATCGAGCTTGCAATTATAAAAATAAATCTCCAACCTTGCACAGTCTTTCTTTAGAGACGTCAGAGCAATATCATCTGCAAGAATGAACAACATTAGAATTATTTTCACTGCTGTCATGATTGTGTCAACAAAGAATCTGGTTTACCCAAAAAAATGCAGATAGGCTATGCTGTTTTATTTGAGCAGTTAAAACTTATCTACAATTCTTTAGGATACCGTACTTAATAAATTTGCAACTATTTTAGTACCAGAATAAATGAACTATTAAATTAATGATTTAATGATCCATTGATAATATAATGAATTAGCCTAATTATAAAAGTGACTACTATTACAAACTATTTTGGGAAGTTACCTTGATTTATAATATAGGTACACCTGATGTTTAAGCTTTATTATTTTTTGCAGCAAGATTACCGTTCCAAATTTTGAGCCCCCCAGTGGTCAAGAACGTTGAAAGTCCTCCATCTCAGTGTAAGAGAAAAGCTTGTGAAGCGACTTCAGACGATGAGGTCGTTATCAGTGAAATCAATGAGAATAAAATCAAGCCTGTTGAGAAAAAGGCAAAAACTGCAACCGAGGATGAAAGTCACAAAAAGAATGAAAGCAGTGATGTTTGCACGGAAGTTGAAAAAGGGAAAAATGGAAAAAAGGTTTCAGAGAAGAAACGACAAAACAAAAAAGATAGTAATCCTAATAAACTTACCAGCACACCCAAGAATAGTAGAAAATCTGCTGGAAAGGGGTTGAATAAGGCCAAAGGAAATAAAAATAAGCCGGACAATTCACCAAAAACACCAGCAGTTGTGGATTTTGTATGTATTCTTTTCTTATGTAGATTTATATTATAATCACAGTACGAGATGTCCATAACACTTAATACTAACTTGGTAGATGCATTTAAGTTTGTTGTATTTAACTTTGAGATCATTATTACTTACAGGCCTCGGTTATTATTGAGTAATTACAGTGCTATCCCAACAATGAGAAGTTTTGGTTTGACTGTGAGAATATTCAGTAGCTTGGACCCTGGTATCGTTGATCTTCGGGGTTTTAATATGAGTGGTAATGGTCGTGGTCAGTTGATGTTTGAAACAGCTAATCGTAGTCGGTACCTAACAAAGCAACATATGTTCTTACACATTCGAGTGTGGGATCCACACTGTTAGTCTGGATGTTAGCCAACTTGTTTATAGAAATACAAGCAATCTTCCAATTTAACTATCAATGTAACCCAGTCGCCATGTGTTGTACCTTTTGGCATATCACTCATCTTCCATTCTTATTTATACTAAAATATATCCTTGATGCGTCCCCATTTCTGTAATAGTGATAGTGGTAAAGTAGTTCATTTTGGTGATCTGCCAAGTCAAGGGGCTAGGTTATGTAGAGGATTCTCGGAAAGAGGTACATATTTTGATTTTTTACTTTATTAATAGGGAACTGAATAGGGTTATCATTAACCAGAAATAGTAAGTAACTATGAGGGCTGTGACTTAAAACTAAATTTATGAAATTGGGTAAATAAAAAATAAAGTTTTATTAGTACTCGCAATACTAATTTATATAAAAATCTACAAGATTAATTAATTACTAGGGGCATGTAGGGACATAAGTCCCTAAAATGCTCAAAATGTAAAAGAACTTATTTTAATATTCAAACAAACTAAGAATCTAATTATTTATTTGTCAAGATGGATATGCCTTTACACCATATCTTTGTCTAAGCTGTGTCAATGTGCTGTCTGTTTTTGTAATATTGTTTAAAAAGTGTGTTGTGGTTGAAACACGCTGGTTGTAAGGTGTATTCTGTAATATGGGTTTTGTTGGCCACAGACTTAAATAAAATCAGTAGATTTATCATGAAGTATGTGAAGTGTACTGAAACCACATACTAAAATTAAAGTTATATCTGGAAATAATGCATTAAGTTTCAAAATCACCTAACTAAACTTGCTGTCCAAGATTATTTTTGGCAAATCATACTAAAGATCTCTCGTTATTCGTCCAAATGGGTGGTTTATACTTTACCGTCGTACAGTCCTTATCTTGCTCCAAGTGACTTCCATTTGTTTCCCAAAATCAGGCTTGGTTAGCAGCACAGTGCTTTGATTACTAAAGGCAATAGTTTTAAAAATCTTTTTATTTGCAAATTAATTTTTTATCTTAATTTCATTTGATATATTATTTCAGATTGACTTGAGTGATTCACCAGTTAAAGCCCCATCTAAAGAGAAGGAACCAAAAAGTGTTTCTAATGATGAAGTCAACATATCAGCAGACCTATCAGATGACAAAGGAAACCAATCAGAGGATTGCGCAACCAGTCAATCTGATTCCTCAGTTACTCATGCAGCGTCAGATGATCAACTGCAAGAAGTTGACAGTAAGTCGTCTGATGAAAACAAAACTAATAATGACAAGAAGATAGAATCAACAGAAACTAAGATAGAAGAATCAGAAAAAGACAAATCCATAGAGAAATCCTCTAGTACTGATCTGGTGGAGGAATCTGCTCCGCAGTCTAAGTCCACTAGTTCGAATGATCAGACGTCCAGCATAGTCAGTTCCCCTAAACAGTCATCAATAGAAAAATTAGTTACGTCACTGAACTCCAAAAGTAATAGCACACCTGATTCTCTTGATATTAGTAAAAATAAATCTGATGAAGAATGTGATATTAAAACAGATGAGGAGGTACAGGAAAACAAATCACACGACTCTCAAGCTTTAGATGATCAACAAAAGAGTCCATCAACCAAGTCAACAGATTCTTTGAAAATAGAAACAAATTTAAAAACTCCATCAACAGCGAATGATTCACTCATGAGTGATGTAAGTTCTCCGTCGTCAGAATGCAATACTTCGTCATTGTCAACCCCTGGGTCCGATTCTATAAAGAAAATCTCAAAAACACCCCGGAGAATGACTCCTAAGCAGCTATTAAAAGTAAAAGAATTGGAAGAAAAGAGAAAAGAAAGAGAACGAATGAAGGAGGTAAGAATCTAAAAATACTAACATGTATAACACATGACTAAAAATACATTTATACCTGTTAGATCTCTTTAACTTATGATGTGTAAACTTTTAGTGGTTGATTAGTGGTTGATTTCCTGAACCATGTAATTTAAAACATTGAAGTACATTCGTTTTTACATTTTTTAGGGAATTTTCCATATAAGGAATATTAGCAAATATTATACCTATGAATATTAATACCTATTAACGTAGGTAGGCCTCATGGTAAGATATCCTCAAATACACCTACATAGTTATACGTATATTGGTCCCTGGGATCGATTTACTATTTAGTTTTAATGTCCCCAAAGGCAAAAAACACCATCCGTGTTCAGATTCCCACATATGATATATCTATATTTATATGTGTCTGTTTGCACGTTAACACAATAATCATACAAAATGATACTATTTTGATAAAATTTGGTACAAAAGTGAAAATTTGAACAAGTTAGCAAACCAGCATGGTTGGACTTTGGGACCGGGGTTTTATGGGATAAGAAAAGGGTTTTCCTATTTTGTGACCATCAAAACGCAAAACTTTGCAGTTTCCTTTTTTACAGCTTACAAAACAAATATATAATTTAGTAGCATACATTAGTATAAAGCTTTGGTGTACACATAATAGTTAAGAAAAAAGTTTAAAATCTATAAATTTAAAATTCTTATGTTATTCTTAATGAGTAAACTGTTGTACTTTTCTTGATTATGGATATATTTTGATCAAATTTTGTACATTTTTATTTATTTAGTTTGTCCTATACTATTAACTTTGCCATTGGTCAAAACATACTTTTTACCTTCCCCTTAGCAGCACACCCAATTATTCTCTTACAATAATTAATTTTATTTTAAAAGGGAATACTTATAATATTTTAAGGAAATATATTTGAGGGAAATAATCAGGCAAATGGAAATTTGCTTAGTCAGCTGGTTTGCTGCAAGTATTGTCTAGGAGTAAGACATTGTACGAATTTTCTGAAAATAGCTCATATAGAAAATCTAGACTGTGATAAGCTTTTAGCTAGGACATTGGAATTAAAACCTTTTCTCATCACGCACAATCAAAATTATGCTCCTCTCAATTATTTATAAGTTTCATTGCTGTAGGCTACCTTTTCCAATTTGACAACCCCCATTGATGTAACAATATAATTAAAATTATAAGGCATGTGTAGCTAAATGACTGTTGTATACTGCAAAAAAATACTGTGTTATACTGGTCAATTTTTCATCAGGAAAAAGAGAAGAAAAGAGCTGAAGAAAGGGAAGAAAAACTCAAGTTAAAAAGGGAAAAAGAAGAAGAAAGGTTAAAACTAAAACAAGAAAAGGAAGATGAAAAACGGAAAGAAAAAGAGGAAAAAGAAAAGAAAAGACAAGCAGAACTTGAGTAAGTAGGCCTATGTAATGTTAGTCAATAAGCATTTTAATTTATCTATTGGAAATCAATAACTATGTTTTGCATAACAGATAAGATACAGTCACTATGCCTTTAGTAAACAAAATCCATAAAGGCTATAATAATTTAATGACTCAATTTCCTTAGAATTTGAAGGTAAAAATTGGTGGTAAAAATAGTTTAAAAGTATTCTGCAACTTTTTTTGATTGACATTGAATGTCTTGCAAACATTTGTTTATTTTTAGCCAAAAGAATGAAGAAAAACGCTTAAAGGAGGAAGAAAAACGTCAAAAAGAGGAAGAGAAGCGAGTTAAAGATGAAGAAAAGAGGAAAAGAGAAGAAGAGGAAAGGAAAAAGAAAGAAGAAAAGCGGCTGAAGGAAGAACAAAAGGAAGCAGAGAAAAGAAAATCAGCACAAGCATTTGCCAGTTTTTTTGTAAAGGCAGAATCTAAACCTGTCTGTGTTGAGGAGGCTAAAGAAAATACCCCTTTAGATTCAAACTTTCAGCCTTTTGAGGTATGCCTTTGATGTCAAAACTGTTAGTGTACATTTTCTTTTCAAACACATATCCTGTTATAGTCTACTGTTTTGGAAGCTTTACTCCTACAGTAAACTGATCTGCTTATCATTAAAAACTAAAAAGCCATCCTAGCAATGAAAAACTGTGTGATTCAAATTATCATTAACTTACTGCAATCACAATACAAGTCTTAAAGTAATAAAGTGATCAATGTCAAAAAAACAAGAGACATTTTCATTCTTTCTATTGTAACGCCTCACTCTTAATGACAACAATGTTACATCTAATTGGCCTATCATCTAAAATTCATTCACAACGAATAATACTACATTATCCTTTTTTACTTTGAGAGAAATACTCTAGTTGCAGAAAATCTGCAGACAAACCAGATTTACAGTTATGTTAATTCAAATCAAACATCTCTCTAATGTGTATTTTAGATTGTGTTGCTAAAAATGTCCTTAGTTAAAATATTTTAGTCAGCAGTGAAATTAATAAGTTTGCCTGGTTTCTCGACAAATTATAATGAAACAAGCAAAATGCTAAACACACAGAAATTAATTTATCCTCCTTAAGGATACTGTTAATACTGTTCAATGAAATGGCGACCTTACATAGTAGGTATTTTAAACCAAGTATGAATGGAGATGAGTGGCGCGATCATGTAGTCTTGTTAGTGACTAAGGCCTTAGACACAGCTGTTAATTAATAGCCCATACAGCTAATGGCAACTAAGGGACCTAAAGTTTATAGGGGATTCCGAACCACATTTTTCCTTGGTAAATACAAATTGGTCTAATGATCAGGATAGTACTGCGGATAGTCGTAGTACTCACTCGTGCGGACGTAAATCCACACCAGGGAGTACCGCACCCACAGTGCATACCTATAAATATCCACAATTCGTGACCTCCTAGTAGCTGGATTACAGGACGACGCCACTAGTCCCACTCTTCTGCTTTATCTGTTTGTTTACGTTGTACTGTGTTCACCAATCAGGCGAGTAGTGAATAATAATAAATAGTTGATCATTTCTATTGCAGTTAATACAGTACAGAATATTATGCACATTTATAATACGGAATAGGAATAGTTGACTAGCGATGATGATTTGGAAAACAAGTACCTTGATGGACATAGGCCTACCATGCAAATTGTTAGAGTATGAAAGAAAACAAACAAAAACAGATAGATCAGACTATGCCACTTTGAAGAAGATAAAATGAGCCATAATTACAATATAATTTTAGATTAAGTAAAAAAAAAACACTTTTATTTATGAATACAAATTAAATTCATATATAAATTTAGATTAAAAAATAACTTGTATTTTGGATTTTTGGTAAATTGTCCTCCTCCTGTTTTTTTTTTTTTGCCCTATTCAGCCCGTTTCCATTTCACCAGATTTGGTAGTACTCTTGGGTGTACATTTAAGCAAGTTTAAGATCCTCTTCTCAATGTTGAAACGGCAGTTTATTGTGAGTAATTTTTACCTTTGTTATTATTTAATACTTTTGTAGCCATATGAAATCTAATAAAAAAAATAAAAAAGTACTTATTTACCTTAAAAATGAATCTTATGTTGAATTTATAAACATTTATTCATATTTCAAAATATAAATACAGTAATCCCAAAAGCGACTTAAACACTACTTTTGACTGCATTAATATCTTACGCATTATTAGGTATAAAAAACAGGTTATATAGGCTAATCGTGTGTTTTATTTGGCCAGGGGCTCGGTCCCATGGTCACCGATATGAGGGGTTCTACTGTATAACTAATTCATTTTATAGAATACTGACAAACTCCCATCTGTAGGTGAAGAATGACATGCGACTAGCTCCACTGGTTCGTACCCAACTGCTAGAAGATCGACGTCAGTTACTAGACTCTGCCATAGAGAGCCCCAAGGTAGATGACTCACAGAGATTGTACTTAGAACTGATCCGCAGTCCAAGCTATGTGTGTGGCTCAGCCTCCAGGACATACCCCCCCCCTGATGATAATGAGGATGATGTCATTATTATTGGTAAGTTAGACTGTAGATCCTCAGATCAACAATGGGTTTAACCATCATTGCAAGGAAAAAATAAGTAGTTGGTTTAACCCTCTAGAATTCCAAATCTGGCTCGTTCAACCAAAGTGTTGAGGTTGTATCTTTATACTTTATTTAATTAATAAGACTTTACTTAACCCTCCGCGCGTCAGCCGCCCGATTTCGGGCGGGTCCGTCTGGGCCAGCAGCGTCACCCGCCCGAAAACGGGCGGGTCTGCAAACTCTTCGTTTCGTTGATTTTAAAGCCGTTCAAGCGCTAGAATCGGGTCGCTATCTTTACTCTACGTTTAGGGGGATTGCTAGGCTTCATGACAAAACCATATGACGGCCGTTTACTACTGGTCTGTGACTAAAAATCAGAGCATCTGTTAGTTTGTGATGTCGTCATTTGTTGTGGTTACGGTTACGTGAGTTGTTGTGAGTTTGTTTTGGTTTATGTTTACAAAATGTGTGATGATTTGAGATCTAGTGAAATTAGGGAATTGTTGAATGAAGAAATAAGTGATATTGACGATGATAATGTTGAAGATGACTTCGATTTAGGTTTACCGCCTCAGAATATTGATTCAGACTCAGAATCGTTACTGGACTTTTCAAGTGGAAGTGGGGAGGAATACATTCCTGATTACGATGATTTGGACACTAGTGATAGGGAGCAAGATGTTGATGATCCAGGGGAGCCTGAAGTACCTGTAAGTGTGCCTAGTAATGATGTACCTAGCAGTAGTAGGCCTAGGCCTAAGAAGAAAAAAGGTCCTCCAAATTTGCTCTGGATTCGAGTTTATCCACCAGAACCTGAAAAGGAGATCGAATCAAAATTTACTAGGAGGAACACTGGCATACAAAATCTCCCACCTAGAAATAGTAGTTGTATTGAATACTTCTATCTTTTCTTTACCCAGGCTATCTGGAACATAATTTGTCAGTGTACAAATGCGTCGGCAAGGAAAGCGCTTCAAAGACAAAACTTGTCCCCACAATCAAGAATAAAAAGATGGACTGACTGTACTGTTGCAGACATAAAGAGGTTTTTTGGGTTGTTCATAAACATGGGGATTTGGAAACTCAAGAACATAACAGGCTACTGGGATACGAGAGAATCTCAGTCACACCCATTTTTTGCTAAGACGATGAGCTACAACAAGTTCGCATTAATTTTGTGGAACCTCCAACTTACCAACAACAATGGACATCCAAGAGGCCATCCAGAATTCGACCACTGGTTCAAAGTAAGATATCTGTTAGACCATTTAAACAGAGCTTTCAAAAAGTATTTTGTCCCCGGACAGAATGTATGCCTGGACGAGAGCCTTATAGGCATGAAAAACCGTTGTTCTTACATACAATACCTCCCGAAAAAAAAACACAAGCAGTTTGGAATAAAAAAATTTGAGACCTGTGATTCTGCCACTAACTATGTCTTGCACCTTGAAATGTACAGTGGAGCAGATTTCTTGATCGATAAACCAGGGCCATTTGTACAAAAATGTGTGTTAGAGGTAATGGAGAAAAGTGGTCTCCTCGACAAAGGCCATCATCTGTTCACCGATCAATTTTACACTAAAGTACCTCTAGCATTAAAGTTACATGAAAGAAACACCTACCTTACTGGAACTATAAATAAGAATTCTCAGTATCTTGCAACAACACTGAAGAATACTGAATTGGAAGCTGGACAAACTCTGTACTTCAGGCATAAAGATGTCCTTCTCGTTTCGTTCAAGCAGAACGCGTCAAGAAAATCGGTTTTTGCCCTGACCACTGCTTGCCACGCCGAGGACAAACTTGTCCAGAGCAAAAAAGGGCAACAAGCAGTAAAACCTGTTCTTATCCATAGATACAACCAATACATGGGTGGGGTAGATGTAAGTGATAAAAGTATCTACCACACCTCATGCACTCGCCCGACGAAGAAATATTGGAAGAGAATCTTCTATAATTTACTGGATATTGCGCTTTTCAACTCATATGTGTTGTATTCGTTGAATACTGACAAGCCAAAGAGTAGAAAGGATTATTTAGTTGATATTGTGGAAACCCTGGCTAATACAAGAGACATAGGTCCGACTGCAGGACCATCAGGAGACACCGCGCACCAAATGCAGCAAGTGCCTAACAAATCAAACAGAGTATGTGCTGTATGCTGCAGAAAGGCTACATACTGGTGTCCAGGCTGCAATGTAGGCATCCACAAAGAGTGTTTTCATCTACTTCAGCACTATTGGAGGCCTTTACAAGCCAAAAAGAAGAAGAAAGTGTCGGAACTCCAGTAGGTCTAAACGAACCCCAGGCAGTGCGGTTTTTAGTCTTGTATATAGTTGTTTAATTTTTATTTTTTTCCGTAATTTGTGATGTAACCCCTATCAAAGTGTATATTTTTTTGTTTGCAAGTGAACTATGAACAAAATGCATATCTTGAATTTTTGAGTTAGTGTATATAGAGTTTTTTACATAGGGGGAAACCAAGTGTTTATATACATTTTTTGACAACTTTCGGATTCGGACCTATACCAGAGACCTGATAAATAAGGTAAGGATATCAAATATGTATTTTTTAGATAGGCCAGTTTGTCTAGTTTTAGAAAATGTGTAACCTTTTACCTGCCAGTCATTATTTATATATTTTATTTTGTTTGAACTAAAACCTTGCATAATCACTGAAAATCGCTGCGTTTTTTTATCGTGTATATAGTTGATTAATTTTTAGTTTTTTCTATAATTTGTGAATTAACCCCTAACAAAGTATATATTTTCTTGTTTGCAAGAAAATTTGGAACAAAATGTATATCTTGGATTTTTGAGTAAGTACACCTTGAGGTTTTTACATAGGGGGTCAACAAGTATATATATAATTTTTTTTTGCAACTTTCGGATTCGGACCCATACCAGAGACCTGATAAATAAGGTAGGGATATCAAAAATGTATTTTTTAGATAGGCCAGTTTGTCTAGTTTTAGAAAATGTACAACATTATACCTGTTAGTTAATTTTTATTTATTTTATTTTATTTTAACTAAAACTTTGCTATATCACTGAAAACCGCTTGACCTTTTGAGGTCATATAATGGACCCTTGGAGGGTTAACAAACAAACTTTACTTTATTTTTATAACTTTAAAATTCAACACATATCAAACATTACAACTCAAAGCATATTTGATTAGACTCCAACTAGGAAGTTGCTATGCCAACATAACAATAAATTATAAACATAAAACGGTCTTATATAGAAACATAAGTAACAATACATAGAGTAACACATAATTGAGTTAGGGCTTATTTGGACATTTATGATAAATACATTATATTTTTATATTGCTTCAACACAAAGTTTTCTAACAAGTTTTTCATTCCCTTATTTATCGCAGTAATGAAACAGATTTGTGTCTATGCACGTTATTGTTATTTTCTGTGATATTCGACCTTGCAGCGGCTGGTTTCAGCGTACAATCAATACTATACAGTATCAGGAAAAATTACTTCTGTTTTTCAGTTTAAATTGATTTTTACAGAGTCTGAAATGCCGAACGAAGAATTGGAGGTGGATGAAAACAAAATTGGGAAAAAAACGGAGAAAAGGCGTAGACGAGCCAAACTGCTGCAGTTTCATGAGAACAGAAGACCTCCGTACTGGGGAACCTGGCGCAAGAAGAGTAAACACATCCGGCCTCGTGCTCCTCTCAACCAAGACAAGGTATTGTTAAGTATTATAAAAAGGTTGTCGGTCACCTTTATTCTTTCATTTACTTGCTCTCAATTGCCTTGGTCTGTACGTTGAACCTATCCAACAAAGCGAGTGGTGAGTTGGTTTATTCATCTTAATGTCCTCATAGATTTTCTTTAATGGTCACCCATAATGTTATATGAAGTAACAATATATGAAGTATGAGGACAATGATATGTTGCAAGTTATAGTGTGTTAGTTACTCTAATGTGTGTTTATGTCACAGACAATATTGGAGTATGAGGTGGATTCTGATGATGAGTGGGAGGAGCCTGAGGAAGGTGAGAGTCTACGAGGCTCCGATGAAGAGGAGGAACAAGATGACCAGTATGAGGAGGACAATGATATGTTCGTGCCTCATGGTTATCTGAGTGACGGTGAAGGGGATGAAGATGAACTAGATGATAATGTAAGTCTTAGATTTACGTCATTCATCATACTATAGACCATAGGTGTGCGAGCCAGAGTTTTTCGATAGAGCCACCTCTCTTTATATTAGAAATTTTATATATTGCCATGCAGGCCTAGTAAATTAATTTGTCAACAATTTTCTTTTCAATATACTTAAATATTTTAATATATTTAGTTGTACTATTACATCTAGTAGTAATATGGATTCATCACAATGTCACAATGCTATCTCGGTAATATCAATATAGTTAATCTTGGTCATGAAGACATCATTACTGTCTCCCGGGATTGCGGTAACATTTTAACATCTGTTGTGTAGACATTACCCTAATATCTCCGGGATTGTGGACAAATCCTACGTCCATGGAAAAATCATCTACGCCTTTTGCGATCACGGCATAATCATGAACTTCACCCGTGGTCACGGTAACATCAACATCGTCTTCTGCCACTTTGGAAAATCGTGAACATTCCCAGCAGTTGTATGGACATGACTATTGTCTCCCCCAATGCGGCATAATAATGAACTTCACCTGTGGTCTGCAATGATGGAAACTTTACTGTCTAGATCTTTGTGGGAATGTTGCAGACGCATTCTGCAATGGGGATTATGCTCAGCTTGAGCTCAGTTTTCTGACTTTGCGTTTGATCTCTTGGGCTCGTGGGCTTGGCTTGGCTCAGTTTGAAACTAAAGGCTCTCGCACATCACAACTAAGCCCATAGCTCTAATTGATTTCCAGAAATGCTTAATTCTCTCAAGCTGTGGCTTTCATGGTTTTTTTTTATTTCTTGGATTCTTTTTCTTTCTTGATTGAATTAAAGATCTTTAGTCAACTACTGTAAATGCATTGTAAACCCCAAAAAGCATTGATTTTAGTAACCAAATAAAAAACTATGTTAATTTAGACTAATTGAATAACTACTGATGAGGAATATACCCATTCATAAAATATTCTGTGTGCAGTCTCCAGAATCTATGAAGGCGAAGTTGAAAGTGCTTCAATTGGAATTTGAAACGGAACGAAAACAAAAGCAAGAGAAACTGAAACCTCGACTCATTGGTTGTATTTGGTTCTGCAACTCTGAAACCGTCCCTTCAAATGGTGATTACTCTCAGAATATTGCTAGGGTAGAAATTACAAAATAATTTCATAATAAAATTTAAAAGAATGTCAGGGGAGGCCTTTGATGTCAAATTAAATATTGGTGATGTTTTAAATTTAAATTCTATTCATTCCAATTTGACCAGCTCTTCTTGAGTATAGCATAAATTATATCTATAACATATTACTCCAACCTAAGAAACACATTCAGGAATTTCTGACGTAGACTCATCTCTTTGCAAATCTCTCGTCAGACTCGTAAAAAGATAAATTATTACTGGCAGCTTTGAATTTGAGTACAACTTATTACATTCCCATGTTATTAGTTTTAGAATATAAATGAAGGCGGCTGAATCATATACTGGCAGAGTATACTGTTATGAAATTATATACTGTCAAATTCACTAACTTTTTAACCAAACCAAACTGAAAGGACAATATATTATACAATCTATAGTTGCTTTTATGTCACTTTAACTACCACAGTACACAAAATTAAGAGAGAAAATCTTAGTTTGTAGTACACTCAAAGTGGCTCATTCAACTATGTTATTTTATACAAATTGGCCACAGCTGGTCCATGAAGATATGATGTGTACACTTTTTCCAAAAGGCAACAAGTTTTTGACGTCAAGTTTTTTAAGGGGTTTGTTAGATGAATCTCAGCATGGTTTCCGCAAAGGGAGATGAACTGAGACTGCAACAGCAGAGTTTGTGGAGACCATTCTAAATTCAATAGATAAAGGTGAAACATGTATTGGGATTTATGAACCTAAAAACATAGGTACCTAATTTGATAGTGTTTGCCTCAGTAAGTTGTTGGCAATTCTAAAGAATGTCAGAATTAACAATATCGTTTATAATTGGTTTCAATCATATATAAAAACAGAGCTCAATATGTAGAAATAACACATTCTCACAAAACAGTACAAAAAGAATAACAAAACTAAAAAAAAGGTTTACCTCAAGGGTCAATTTTGAGACCCTTATTGTTCATAATCTACATCAACTGTTTGAACCAAACTCTAGTAAATCAAAGGGAGAGCAAAATAATTCTTTACGAAAATAATTCAATAGTTCAAACTTAGAGATATCAAAACAATTGCTTTCCCCAACATAAAAATTGATAATACACCTATAGAACCAGTTCGACAAAGAACCTTTTTAGGCATAAATGTAGACAGCAGTCTCAGTTGGAACTCTCACGTGGAAAAAGTACTGGCTAAAATGAATTCGGGTCTGTCTGCTCTCAGGAAGTTGAGTAATATGTGATCTGACAACGCTCAAAATTGTCTATTATGGTATGATTCATTCTCGTTTAGGCTACAATATACATGTCTATGGAGCAACCACTATTAATAATCTTAATGAGATATTAAAACTAAAAAAAAAATCAATCAGAATAATGCTAAATTGGAACAAACTGACCATGTTAAGGAAAAATTTAAAGAATTAAGAATTATGACAGTATTTAGTCTTAATGTATATGAAACTATTGTTTACATTAACATAATCAAGAGCAATTTGAGACTGGTCAGTTAATCCACCATTATAATACAAGAAACAATAAAAAAATTTGGTTGCAAAGTCACCGATTAAATTTGAGAAAAAGACAAATTATATCGGATCTAAATAAAAAAATTCTCTCATAATAGACACAAATCAAGAGTTTTCAAAATTTAAAGGAAAATAATAAAAAAAAACCTAGTTGAGAGAGCATTATACTCACTAGATGAGTTTTAAAATAACGAATGGCCTAAAACTTAACATTATCAAGATAACAGAAATGATGGTGTTTTTAACATTGTTGTACGACTATTAACAGAAATTATCTTAGGTAGTTATAAGAATTAGTTTTTAGAAATGATGCATTCAATGTAATAACGCTATGTACAAAGCAATGAATAAAGAATGTTTTGACTTTGAATGCTAGTGGTTTGTCTAATATATGTTTGATGGATCCAGACTCATCTGTGTGTGTTCTAATTACAGATAGCAACATAGCGGCATTATTCCTAGCAAGAAGAGCAGTTTGGGAAGGATCTCTCCCTATCACAGTGGCTCCCTCCGTCCCCTCCTCCCCTTCTACGTCTGTCTCAAGGGTGGCAGAAAACACTGAACCAAAGAGTGGTGTAAAGAAGAAACTTGTCAACGAGTCATGTATGTGTTGCCGATTATACTTTTTGTTTGTTATTTGTGAAAAGATTGTGATGATAGGATGTATAGAGAAAAGGAAACTGAATTTATATTTGGTGTACATAAACCTTATTTGCTTTGAACATGCGAGTTGGCAAAAATTCTAAATCTGGGCATTTTACAAAAGTTATTATGGCTGAAGGTACGCACATTTTTATGCAAACAATTAAAATTGAACACTATTTTTTGCTTTCAAAGGCCTTGAGTAACTAGTAAATTTGTGACTTTTAAGAACTATAACTAAAATAGCCTTTAAATGCTGCACAGCTAAAATAGTATTGTGGATACTTGTTTGTAAACATTTAAAAGGACTAGTTCCAAAAGTGAATTATTTTATCGCTTGTTCTTTGTTTAAAACAGTAATCCCAAACATCATCAGAAAAATACATGGAAGTCGCAAGAAGCTGTCCAAGTTGCTGCTGGAATTGATGGAAGAGTGGGAGAAGGATAAAATTGAGCCTCTGCCGTCCAAGAACTGCCTGGTCAAGAGAATTAGAGAGCTGGCTGTGTGGGAGAAACCACCTGGCACAGGCACACCCTGCTGGTAAATATTATATTCTCACCCTACTGCAGTTTACCTGTAGATGGTTCAGGATGTCCACTTCAAGTTATACTAACATATTATTTGCCTTGAAATAGCTATTTTAGCCTGTTGGTTATAGCTGTGTAGCTGAGCGGGTAAAGTGCTCACCCTGTAATCAGGAGGTTGCCGGTTTGATCCTAAGCAAGTGTCATAAGTTTTATGATAGTTCAAAACCATACCTAGCTGTCCTTGATCATTAGGCTTTTAATAAATGGTCCAGGATATAGAACCAGCTGATCTTAGTCAGTAACAAATTTTCATTCAGTCAACAGGCAACACTCATCGTCTCCTAAAATTAAATTACAAACTCTTGTGTTTTGATGTCGTATTAATATAACTTTTTTAATCCAACCACTTGACTTATATGCTTTTAATATACATATATACACTTATAATACAAATGCAATATGCTTCTGGCGTAGAAATTAAACATCACAGTAGAAAAATACTTAAAAAAAATTGTTTTGTACTGTTCTTAACACAAATGTGGTATATGATATATACAATGGTCATGCTTAAAGAAAACACTGATCTTAGCTTTGACTAATAATGTCTTATGCTGTAATAAAGTTATACATCCACTGTGTTTAGCCTATTGCTTATTAATTGGTTGAACTAAATGATAGGGCAACTGATTTTGGGTTAAAATTCAAATTTGTAATTACTTTCTAATAAAGTATTCCTATTTTCCAATAACCATCTGGATTGCTCTGCTGTGGGCTACCTTCCTGTGCTCTACAGAAGTGCCATGACCTCCTACGCTGAACAAGTATATACTTTTTATCCGTAAATCTTTTTTTAAAAAATATTGTTCAAATGTACTATAATGTTCTATTTGAAATACAGTACTATCAAATAAATAATGTGTAGGCTAGTCACTTTTTATTCCTCAACTACAACCTGTTGTTATATTTGTGAAGACCTGTTTGCAGATATATCCATCTTTTTTTTAGATACTTCCAGATGTGAAGAGAATTTATCCGCACCTTTTTCTGGAGTAAACAGTATTACTTATGAACTAAGAGGTTTTTTATTCTGATTATTTAAAGTGAGAATGTACCTATAAAATATACGTCAGATATTAAATGGAATTTTTTTCATTTTACAAAAGTTTTCCATTTGGAAGGGTTTATTTTCATGTAAGAATAACAATAACTTCTTGCAGTCTTTTATCGTTACTTGAACAACCAAGTATTATTGAACAAACTCTTCATTCACATCAATATAACATTAATTCCTACAGTATTTCACATAATTGCCCCTTTAATTAACCTTTTAGGTTATCCTCGGCCTGGTCCTTTGAGGGTTTACGATATGCAAATAGTTTATTGACTGTTTACAGGTTTGTCAATGAGGAGGTGAGAGCTGCCTATGGACTGGTAGATCTGGCACTTCCCTCTCCCCCCACACCTACCCTCTCCATGCCCAGTCCTGCCGCCAACATAACCAAGTTCACCAAAGTGTTGACGACAGACGAGCGACTCAAACTGCTCAGGTACTCTTGAATATTCATCGTTCTAACGAGGGTTATTGTTGCAAACTCGTCTTGCTCGCTGCGGCAACTAGTCGCTGATAGAATTTTATTAAAACTTCATTTCGAGTTAACGCTAATGATTTGTTTGTATTCCTGCAGAGTTTCCTCTGGAAAATTCAGTCTGGTTAGTAAAGTAGCCTACCGGGATTTGTTTGGGATGGTTTTAATTTGTATTTGTTCGTAATATTAGTTGAGTAATATGGTGGGATAAAAATGGCAAAAAAATTTCTATCTTATCACTAATTAATTCAAGGTCTGACAAAGGCAAATTCTTTGCATGGAGAATACCAGTTGGTCCATTATAACCAGTTAAAACTTAAATCAATTTTTAATTTCCGAGGTAAAACATAGCTCTTTTGGTACTGATGACATTGTGATGTTTTCGTTTGAGAGCTTTTTTCCTCTGACAAAAAGTTCAACCACATTTATTGATGTATAGAGTAGTCAGAATTATACCCTCACAGTTAATTAAAATGATATAAGCTTTTTCTGTCTTTGTCAACTTGTAAATAGGTGAACCGGTTTGTAAGCAAGATTACAAATTAAGAACTTATTATTCCAACAACTAGTTTCAACTTCAACATAAATGCCAAATTAATGTTCAATTTATTAATATGTGTTTATTGTAAAAAAGTTGTTGTAGTTAGTGACAACAATAATAAAAAAAAAAAAAAAATTTACGTAGATTTTATAAGGGATGTATTATTTTTGACATTACCCTATAAGAGTGATTGATAAATAATTACCAATACCTTATGGAATAAGAAATGGTTATACTACTACATTAACTTACCATACTACTATTAACCCAAGTAAAAAGTTCCAGCGAGTTGATATACAAAAAGTTCCCTGTCCTAAATGATACTTGATACTTGATACTTGGTGATCTCCCACTGGTAGCGCAGCTGCGCCGTGGTCGTCAGTTTTTTTGGCCTATTTTTCTTTTAGGTATTCTTCAACAGAATAATATGGCCTCTTCAATAAATATTCTTTAAATTTCCTCTTGAATTCATCTTGATCTTCAATGCTTTTTATATTTAGAGGGATCAAGTTGTATATTAAGCTTGATAAAAACTTTGGTCCGTCCTTTACTAAACTTGAGTTGACTTGATTTAGATGAATGTTGTTTTTTTGCCTTGTTGAGTAGTTGTGGATTGTATTGTTTTGTGGAAACGTGTTCTGAACCAAAATAAATATTCTCCAAAATAAATATTGCTGGCACCGTAAGGACTTTTGCTTCAACAAAAAGGGTTTTACAATGGGCAAGGTATGGAGCATTATAAATTATTCTTATTATTCTTTTTTGAAGAAGTAGTATTCTGCTTGCGAGAGGACTGTTTCCCCAGAATAAGATTCCGTAGTTGACAATACTTTGAAAGCATACTTTGAAATACGTAATGTTGTAAAATAACGTTATGAAACCCTTATAACAAAAATAGAACATTAGAATCACACACTTAACATAAGAAACACACTTTAAACACAAATACAAATTGTTAACAACAATATTTAAACAAAGAAAAATCAATAAAATAACAATATAACAATAAGCTGTTAAATTATTAACTAATTTTTCGTATGATTAGATTATGCATACTGGTAAATCAATTATTGTCATCTATAAAAATAATTGGTTTTTCTTTTCCGAGTCGGGTTAGCTCTTCTACGAGACCGATTTTCATAATTTTGACCTTAAGCCGGGTTTACACTACATATGTAGCTAAACCTGCTACATAGCACATTTGTGTAACATCTAGCAATGTTATATAACAACATTTGCTTGAAGTAGAAAAAGTAACTTTACAAAAGTGCTATATAACACTGCTATATGTATCCTGCTATATATATAAATTGTGGATATTTATAGCCTAGGCATGCACTGTGGATGCGATACTCCCTGGTGTGGATTAACGTCCGCACGAGTGAGTACTACGACTATCCGCAGTACTATCCTGATAATTCACATTAAAGAACTCCTTCTTGAACCTTTTAAAGTCAAACTAAAACAATGGCTGAGTAGGAAGTGTTTTTATTCCATTGAGGAATACTTTACTACTGCAATGGACTTTTGAGTATGAATCCGGCCGCCATGGAGTGTAAATATTGTAAATATTAGTTTATTAATTCTTAAAAGTAAATTTTATCTGACAAGATCAATCCAGACATCTGGTCAACGATCGCCAGTTGGTAATGGTAATTAGACCAATTCGTATATACCAGACGAAAAATGTGGTTCGGATTCCACTATAAACTGTAGGTCCCTTAGTTGCCATTAGCTGTCTGGGCTATTAATTAACATCTGTGTCTAAGGTATGTCAGCCTTAGTCACTAACAAGACTACAAGATCGCGCCACTCATCCCCATTCATACTTGGCTTAAAATACCTACTATGTATGGTCGCCATTTCATTAAAAATTATTAAAGTATTAAGTAAAGTATATAGCTAAAATTGTGCTATCCATCGGGAGTCGGTAAATATCAAAAGAAATACGTGCTACATCTAACCTTGCCATATGTAGCAATGATATACATATATTTTTCGTCTAGCATCTGCTATATGTAGCATTTAGTGAACACAGTTCACAGTTGTAGCCTCCTGGGTGCGAACGGTTTTGCTCAGCGATCTTTGTTTACAATGGACTGGAAACAGAAAATGTGACAGTGCCTAAGATCGGGATGATATTATAAACTTAATTGAACTGTTCCGTGGACAATAGGCGTTGTGATCATACGTAAAACGTTTTTGAAGTTACCGTCGCCTCTTTTAGCGTTTTAATTATGGATTGTCAGCGTATTCATCATCATTAAGGTCCCGTAATAAATCTGCTACACTGTACTTATTTCTCGAAGCAAGAAGCGGTCAAACCTAAAACTTGCTAAAATCTTCGCTCCCGTCTGTCTCTCTCTCTGACTTCCAAGATCACCACGATAGCTGCCACGAACAATGTCTCTTCAGCGCACATTTCTATACGGAATCAATTAAGACAAATGGAAATTCGTTTAGTCTGCAGGTTTGGTGCGGCGGGGGTATTTTGTACTACGATCGTATTTCTAAATAGTGCTTATAACCACTATTATAACATTTTTCAGCATTAAATTTCCTATAATTTGATACCCAAAAAGTTATTTTTACAAATATTAAAATTTTGACACTTTTTTTAAAGATGGTACAACGTATTTTGCGCCACAGTACGGATGTATATTTTTAGTATGTTGATTAGAAGCATACTACCTACCATTCACAGCAAAAATCATTTGTGTTGCAATTAGTTCCACCTTAAGCTATATTTTCGATTATTTCTACTGCACTACATCACCGAAAATGAACTTCAAACAAAGAAATCAAACCCTAAGTAGTCTTTTTCTTTATTTTTACATCTGCACTTCACATATAAACAATAAAATAATTCAAATGTAATTTTTTGTTTTAGTTGTTTAATTAGATTAATTAAGTTGTTTTAAATTTGATTCATGCAGTTGTTTGCGCAACAAAATGTTCATACATACTGTTTTTTTTTTTGGCAGGGAATCACCTGCTAGCAGCAAGGAGCCACCCAAGGAACCCCCCAAAACTCCTTCAACTCCGGCAGAGAACTTGAAAACTCCGAACAAGACTGTGAAAACTCCAACAGTCAAACTTGCAACTGCTAGTCCTGTGGTCAAAAAACGAGCTCACCTCATCACAATTGGGCCTAAGGAATCGCCCAAGCAAAGTGCAACGACTTCCATGATGAACTTTGTCACTAAATCAGCGAAGAGTGATGAAACTGAAAGTCCTAAGCAGGAGAAGAAGGTGGAAGAAAAAGTGAAAAAGAGAATTACTCCTATTACTTTGACATCATCTGTTCATAAACTCGTCACTCCTGTTTCCCCTAGTTCCGATGATTGTATTGTCATAGATGACTAATTAGGCGGCCTCTAGCTCGATGCCTTTAAGAGTAATATTTAGCTGTATAATATTTGTATAGTTTTCTTTTTCCTTATATATTTTATACCTAGTATATTTATAACAAAATAAATCTTTAACTGATCGATTTGAAGAAGTTTTTAACACAAAAACCTCTTTTTGCTTATTTTATATCATTTAAGTTATTTATTTGTTTTGTCTTTATTGTTTGGATTTTGTTTGGTAGAATATAATACTACATAACTATTAACTACTCATAAGTATCTAGATGCAATTTTATATAAATAAATAAATTCAGTTATTTTCAGTAAAATATGCAGTTGGAATTGATAAAAATCTTTGTAATTTGAAATAGCATTATAATAATTAAAGTCAGTTTTATGTTTTTCGGTCTATTTCACCTGGGCTTTGGGCGACCAGTGTGTGTTGTAGATCACAAGTTAGTAGTTGTAGTCAGACCAGTGGCTGAACTAGCCAAAAGAGGTTGTTTTCCAAGCCAGGGAGGATACAACACAATAGATTGAGGGGTTGGATTCTGTGGTAGATTTGGTGTGAGAGGCCCAACTAAAATAATCAGCTAATGGCCTGGTGAAAGTTTTCGGGGTAGGGAAATTCTTTTTAAGCACTTTTTACTTTTACTTATCCTTGTACTGTACTTCGTATGTGTCTACCAACTGAAGGGGTAGCGAGCTGGTCTGTTAAAGCGCGGGACTTGTGTCCCTGAGGCCCTGGGTTCAAATCCCGCCAGATCACCAAGGGATTTTGTCTAAGTGAATGCCGCAACCCCTAGGCCTAGCCTGAAGTAATGTGAAAAACACCAGGCTCAATTCTAGCGTCCTAGGGGAAAAAATGTGTCTACTTTTATAAAACTTTTGTTTTCTATGTTTAATATGAAAGAGTTTACAATGAAAGTAAGTGTAATAAAGACAATGAAAAATCCAGGAACTCAAAGGGCTTAAGGTAACTTGACCAATTTGAAACACTCTGTAGATTTACAAAGTATTTTATTTACATTTGGCTTTCATTTGACTTTCTGCCAAAAAATAGTGGATAATCTAATATATACATAAAATACTTGGTAACAGAAGAGGACTGCAACTAATATCAGTAAACAATCATACATTGAAATATTATAAAAAATATTTTACATACTAAACATTCTATTAACAATTGATAAAATATTAAAAATTGTTATTTTTGATATTGTGATTACAATAGTTTTTCCACAAATAGATGATGGCACATAAAAAAATACAGCGAAACACCTTGTAATACTGATAGTGTTTTGTCACTACAAAATCAGCTAAACTGTTGTCTAACATAAATAAACACCATTAAGCAGGCAAACGGTGATACCTTGTTGTATATTAACTTCAATGGTTACAAATTTAAATTTTAGGGTATTGTTGTAAGTAAAGATAATCCCTCAGTTTATAACACTATCTTAACAAAATATTTGTAAAAACAATAGATTTCTGAGGTAGATGTGATTTGAATAATTTGAAATATTTATGAAGTAATAGAAAGCAGACATTTTTATTTGCAAATAAAATTTATTTAAAAAACTACGTTGAGTTCACTAAATGACTGATTAAAATGTCTTTGTATAATATATATTTTATTTTAATAATGTAGTGAAATTTACAAATGGCACTTAAGTTTATAAATCTAAATAAATAAGCGTAAATATACTATAAATATGTATTTATGTAGTAGAATAAAAACTGAAACTAAAAAAACATAAGCATTTACTTGAACGCTTTGTTTGTTTTTCTTGTTAGCAAAACTAGGCAGATTAATGAGGTTCTATACAATTTAAAATATGATGAAAATAATTTGTTTTGCTGCCTGGCTTAGACCTGGGGGATGTTTAGTAATTTAATCTTTCCTTTTTTCAGACTAGATATACTTTGCTTAACATATTCATCATTCTATGTTCACAGTCTTCAACACTCAATTACCACAATACACTTTGTGACTAACATTAAAAAAATTTATTTTACCAACAAAATGTTGTTCACACTAGAAACATGTAGAAAATACTCGATCGAATGAAACTAAAGTTTTACAACCAAAGTATTGTTTTGTTGTTGACTTTTGAACATTTTGTTATCAAACTAGTCAACTGATTGATGGAAATGACAAAAAAACTGAAAACAGTAAGTCATTTATGTCTGTGACACTATATTGAGAATTTTAAAAATCAAAGAAACTAGCCAAAAGAGTAAATATCATAAATTGCTGCTTCTTAGATCAGCTTATACAATGGAGGTCATTTTGACGAACATTGTCATTTTCTCTGCCATTTTTCGGTATATATTCTTATTTCTGTGGTTAGTCTCAACCACAAAATTTAACTAAAAGCTACAATTTTTTTATAAAAATACTTGATCCTAGATGCAAAGTCCCTATGGATTCATACATTTTTATTATGCTATTCTTTTGGCATTGAAATTCATACCAATAAATACCAATTGGAAGCAATTGTATCAGTTGTAGTTAAATGAAACCAATAAAAAATTGTCACAAAAAAGGTTCTTAGCTGTACATTTTCAGCATAAGATGAATAGTAAATCTGTGATGTTCCACAAATTCCAAGAAGTAAGCACTTTTAGAAGATGAAGAACTGACCACTTTCACATCGTTATCCTCACAAAAGAAAAGTTCATTAGAGTTAGAATTAAAGCTCACAAGAGACAGGCTTACACAAGTCCTGCACTCATTCTTCCTCACTAATCTCAGTTCGTTTGTTCTTCCCTCGTTTGTTTTTCGCCCGTCTTCTTTTGACCCGAGGAGACACTTCGCAGCTACATCCACTTCGGACCCGGATGTAGTCCAGCATCCAGTTGGATCCTCCGGAAGGGAAGGAGGGAAAGTGGTGTAATCTGTGGTTGGTGTGGGTAGAAGGTGATGGTTCTCTCACGATAGCGTACGTGTACGAGTACTTCTGTACACATCGGGACTGGTTGTGGAGTCTGCGATCCATAAAGCGGCATGGTTTGCCCTCTACACCGGCTCGACAGGAGAGCTCGTAAAACCTTTGCCTGTTTTCTGCTTCGGAAAAGAGTTCTACCAACAAGCCTGTAATAGAGAAGATAATGTAGCGTGGGTGCACTTTGTTTAGGAATAAGTCTAAATTCACAATAAATATATAATATATGTTGTTCAAAGGTTTGTTCTTGACATTGGTCATCACTGATTTGTAAAAGGTTTTAGGGTTTGGAATTTTACTTCTTTAAGAGTGAAACAACATAGAACATGACAAGATCAGTTAAAAACAGAGCATTGCCAGGTGACCCCACTTCTATTCAGAGTGAGTCAGATTCCAGATCAGCAACATTGTGACACTCAGGTGTTTTACTACAGTCGGGACCACATAAGTTTGCAGTTCAGGGAGGAGCCTATTTACCATATGGTTTGGAATGAACCAATGAGAACGGTGCGGTGTTGCCAAATCTAATAATACCAGCTGATTTGAAAATATTGCTTTGTATATTTTAATTAGTGTTGTCAATGGGCGATGTGGCAACGTCACACTTTGTCTTTTGATTGGCTGCCACCAACTGCAAAATTTCGTGGTCCCAACTTTAGTCAGTGATGAAAATATCCATTATAATTCTTTGAGCAACATAAAAACACCATCACCAACAATGAACTTTTTTAAGCCCATGCTTGTATGATAATAAATAAGTATAGCTGCATAGACTATAGCTCGGCCGCTTAGAAAGCGACCTCCTCTAGCATTGGTTTAGCATTAGCGTGCAGGTCGCTTTCTAAGCGGCCGAACTATAGTGGATATAGTTAAGCTGAGTGATAATTAGTAGGTTGCTGTTTCAATCCTGTAAAAGCCAGTCACTTCTGGTTTGTTTAAAACTGGACTTGTGTGCTCTTGATCATTGGGCTTATTCAAAAAGGTGACGTGCTAAAGAAAGAACTGATTTTATCTTTGACTATTATCCAATAGTCAATGATTTTATTCAGTAAAAAACTGTACACACTTTCTCAATTTCACACTAATCCTTCACTGTATCAGGTTAAATATGTAGCAACGTGTCTCTGTAAGCATAGTGATGTAATGGTAACAAAATACTTCCTTGATATAGATGGACTAGTTGCTTAAGCTTGGGCTACACTACACGGGAAAGGATGTGGGCAAGACAAGGAAAGGAAATGGAGAGGAAAGTTTTTGAGCAATGCTTTCTGGGTAATCAAATTGAAACTGCTACACTAGACAGGACACAAAACAACATTTTCAGAATCTGTTGAGTCCTCAAAAGAGCATTCAATTGACATTTTCGCTGCCTGCCGCATACAGTCACTTGAGCGACACTAGGCAGGAAAGGAAACAGAAAAGAACTAGGCAGGAACTTTCTGGCTGTATGTAGTGGTCTGTCGGAAAATGTACAGCAGCTCGCAAACGTACATTATTGAAATTGTTCCTGGCAGTTTCCTTTTTGAGTCCCATATGTAGTGTAGCCCAAGCGCCAGAATTTGTGTTGGTTTCTTTTCGTTTCTAAGGCCCAGGGGCAGTTGTTAGGGAGGCTGCACTGGCTCACCAAATGTTACTTACATTGTCATTTGAACAGTTTACTGTGATTTATGTTTGGAAGATATATGGATTAATAAATCTACCTACCATCTTGGTTAATTCCTCCTTGAGGCTCCACCATCTCCAGTGTAGAGGGACAACAGTCTACTGGGAGACCCTTCTCTCCTCCCTCCCTCCTCAGCACCACCTGAGCCTCTTTATGTGACAACCACCTGCTGCCTGCCTCCACCGACATCAGCTCTTCTCCTTCCTGTGACCTGTCACAATACAATGAATGTTAACAATAATATCTTTCCTCCCTCCCTCCTCAGCACCACCTGGGCCTCTCTATGTGATAACCACCTGCTGCCTGCCTCCACTGACATCAGCTCTTCTCCTTCCTGTGACCTGTCACAATACAAGGAATGTTAACAATGTCTTTCCTCCATCCCTCCCAAACAACAACACCTGGGCCTCTCTATATGATAACCACCTGATGCCTCCCTCCACCGACATCAGCTCTTCTCCTTCCTATGACCAGCCACAATATAACGAATGTTAACAATAATATCTTTCCTCCCTCCCTCCTCAACACCACCTGGGCCTCTCTATGTGATAACCACCTGCTGCCTGCCTCCACCGACATCAGCTCTTCTCCTTCCTATGACCAGCCACAATATAACGAATGTTAACAATAATATCTTTCCTCCCTCCCTCCTCAACACCACCTGGGCCTCTCTATGTGATAACCACCTGATGCCTCCCTCCACCGACATCAGCTCTTCTCCTTCCTATGACCAGCCACAATATAACGAATGTTAACAATAATATCTTTCCTCCCTCCCTCCTCAACACCACCTGGGCCTCTCTATATGATAACCACCTGATGCCTCCCTCCACCGACATCAGCTCTTCTCCTTCCTATGACCAGCCACAATATAACGAATGTTAACAATAATATCTTTCCTCCATCCCTCCCAAACAACTACACCTGGGCCTCTCTATATGATAACCACCTGATGCCTCCCTCCACCGACATCAGCTCTTCTCCTTCCTATGACCAGCCACAATATAACGAATGTTAACAATAATATCTTTCCTCCCTCCCTCCTCAACACCACCTGGGCCTCTCTATATGATAACCACCTGATGCCTCCCTCCACCGACATCAGCTCTTCTCCTTCCTATGACCAGCCACAATATAACGAATGTTAACAATAATATCTTTCCTCCCTCCCTCCTCAACACCACCTGGGCCTCTCTATGTGATAACCACCTGCTGCCTGCCTCCACCGACATCAGCTCTTCTCCTTCCTGTGACCTGTCACAATACAACGAATGTTAACAACGTCTTTCCTCCCTCCCTCCTCAACAACACCACCTGGGCCTCTCTATATGATAACCACCTGCTGCCTGCCTCCACTGACATCAACTCTTCTCCTTCCTGTGACCTGTCACAATATAACGAATGTTAACAATAATATCTTTCCTCCCTCCCTCCTCAACACCACCTGGGCCTCTCTATATGATAACCACCTGATGCCTGCCTCCACCGACATCAGCTCTTCTCCTTCCTATGACCAGCCACAATATAACGAATGTTAAAAATAATATCTTTCCTCCCTCCCTCCTCAACACCACCTGGGCCTCTCTATGTGATAACCACCTGCTGCCTGCCTCCACCGACATCAGCTCTTCTCCTTCCTGTGACCTGTCACAATACAACGAATGTTAACAACGTCTTTCCTCCCTCCCTCCCAAACAACAACACCTGGGCCTCTCTATATGATAACCACCTGATGCCTCCCTCCACCGACATCAGCTCTTCTCCTTCCTATGACCAGCCACAATATAACGAATGTTAACAATAATATCTTTCCTCCCTCCCTCCTCAACACCACCTGGGCCTCTCTATATGATAACCACCTGATGCCTGCCTCCACCGACATCAGCTCTTCTCCTTCCTATGACCAGCCACAATATAACGAATGTTAACAATAATATCTTTCCTCCCTCCCTCCTCAACACCACCTGGGCCTCTCTATGTGATAACCACCTGCTGCCTGCCTCCACCGACATCAGCTCTTCTCCTTCCTGTGACCTGTCACAATACAACGAATGTTAACAACGTCTTTCCTCCCTCCCTCCTCAACAACACCACCTGGGCCTCTCTATATGATAACCACCTGCTGCCTGCCTCCACTGACATCAACTCTTCTCCTTCCTGTGACCTGTCACAATACAAGCAATGTTAACAACGTCTTTCCTCCCTCCCTCCTCAACAACACCACCTGGGCCTCTCTATATGATAACCACCTGCTGCCTGCCTCCACTGACATCAACTCTTCTCCTTCCTGTGACCTGTCACAATATAACGAATGTTAACAATAATATCTTTCCTCCCTCCCTCCTCAACACCACCTGGGCCTCTCTATATGATAACCACCTGATGCCTGCCTCCACCGACATCAGCTCTTCTCCTTCCTATGACCAGCCACAATATAACGAATGTTAACAATAATATCTTTCCTCCCTCCCTCCTCAACACCACCTGGGCCTCTCTATGTGATAACCACCTGCTGCCTGCCTCCACCGACATCAGCTCTTCTCCTTCCTGTGACCTGTCACAATACAACGAATGTTAACAACGTCTTTCCTCCCTCCCTCCCAAACAACAACACCTGGGCCTCTCTATATGATAACCACCTGATGCCTCCCTCCACCGACATCAGCTCTTCTCCTTCCTATGACCAGCCACAATATAACGAATGTTAACAATAATATCTTTCCTCCCTCCCTCCTCAACACCACCTGGGCCTCTCTATATGATAACCACCTGATGCCTGCCTCCACCGACATCAGCTCTTCTCCTTCCTATGACCAGCCACAATATAACGAATGTTAACAATAATATCTTTCCTCCCTCCCTCCTCAACACCACCTGGGCCTCTCTATGTGATAACCACCTGCTGCCTGCCTCCACCGACATCAGCTCTTCTCCTTCCTGTGACCTGTCACAATACAACGAATGTTAACAACGTCTTTCCTCCCTCCCTCCTCAACAACACCACCTGGGCCTCTCTATATGATAACCACCTGCTGCCTGCCTCCACTGACATCAACTCTTCTCCTTCCTGTGACCTGTCACAATACAAGCAATGTTAACAATGTCTTTCCTCCCTCCTTCCTCAACAACACCACCTGGGCCTCTCTATATGACAACCACCTGCTCCTGCTGCTTGCCTCCACCGTCCTCTCAAAAACACCGAATTTTTTCAAGTTGGTTTACAGTATTCCCAAGTTATCCACATCAAAATTTGACGGATTTAGTTACTTTATATTTCTTCATTAACGCCTGACAGATTTGATTATGACTTGGCACAAGCGAAGACCCAGGTAATCCACGACAAGGGTAAAATCTGGGATCTAGGTGCATTCATCTGTTTGTCCAACAAAACTGTTGGATCATTAATAAAGATTAAATGAAAGGGCTCTGATATAGGATACTGTCCTGTAAATGGTAACATGTTTTGTGTAACAATTTTATAATTTAGTATAGTATACATAAAGTTGATAGTTTTCGAGATATAATCGAAAAACCCAAAATGCGTACCTTTAACCCCCCCCCCTTTTCCCCCCACCCCCTGGCTCACCACCTAGGAATCAGGACTTTTGGTATGTTTAATCATTTCGAAAAACTATCTGTGTTCAAGCTCAATTTGTATATGCCAACACTATAATTAGTTTAGTTTTAGTACTGTAAACATGTTTTTACCAATTATCAACCATTAAGACGTGGACGCAAATTGAAACCAACTAAAATAATGTTGCATGTGTCAAAACCTACTAATTGAAACGTCGTAACTTCAACCTGAATTAAAAAATGATGGCAAAATTCTTGCCAGAGAGCAGTGAAAGAACGAAGTAATTTTTCAGACAGGGCGTCTAATAACGACTTATTCAACGCAATACTTCTACTCCCGTCTCTTTTCACTCGCCATAATTTCTTTTTAAATGTTTCCTGTTTTTATTTCAAGAAATAGTCGTAAATGTACGGATGGAAAGAAAAGTAATAAAATAGCGAATCCCAAGTTGCCATCCTCCTCTTCTATCCGAGTGTCTTACGTAAGGTGTTATTTATTTAAATACATTTACAATCTGGAATGTTACAAGAAAACTACTTATCTTGGGCGACAGAGGGGGGAGCATTAGACCAATGTCGTAACAGCTGAGTTAGATAGCTCTGTCGCTTGGTTTACGATGCGATTTAGCATTCAGCCAAGGCGGGAACTGGAACTAGAGATGGTCATTCGGTTGTAAAGTCGATCAGTCATGTGCTACTATCGATATAAGTAATGGTAGTTATATCGGGTCCTCCAATTTTGTTAACCATTGGCAAAATTTACATCTACAGGGTTAGGCAAAAGTCTGGAACCCCCCCCCCCCCCCAGTTAACTTTTTAACGCATTGCAGTAGGATAACCAAACTCGGCACAAATTTACAACATATGAGTGACCTCTCATTTTAAAGGTTTTATCAAGAGAAATTGAATGGCGCAATCCAGAGGTCAATATCGCACCCCTAATCAAAATGGCAGCCATTTTAATTTAAGATGAGTAAGCAAGATAAAGTCTGGACACCCCCAGTTAACTTTATAACGTGTGACAGTGGGAAAACTGAACTCGGCACATGTTTACAACATAAGAAAATTCACTTTTTCATTAAAATTAGAACTTGTACCCGGCCCCCAAAAAGGGGTATTTTGGGGACAGCCCCAAATTTTCAAAGCAAACACCTATCATGTGACCCCTAATTTTAAAGGATTTCTCAAGACAAATTAAATGGCGCAAACTAAAGGTCAATATCGCACCCCTAATCAAAATGGCAATCATTTGGAAATATCCCCTATTATCTTTTTAACAGGTTATAGGAGGAAAACTAAACTCAACATACCTTAATAAAAAAAGAGAATTCACCTTTTGGTCAGTATTAAAATATTAAATTTTTAAAGTTAACTGGGGGTGTCCAGACTTTATCTTGCTTGCTCATCTTAAATAACTAAAATGGCTGCCATTTTGATTAGGGGTGATATATTGACCTCTGGTTTGCACCATTCAATTTCTCTTGATAAACCCTGTAAAATGAGGGGTCATATGATAGGTGTTTACATTTGAAAATTTGGGGCTGCCCCCGTAACAGATAACCTTTCTTTTGGTACAATTCGCTTGGTCCAGTAGTATGTTCAGGCTAGCCTTCATAAGTTTTGCAAAAGTGTTTAAATATATAAGGTTGTTTAAATTAGATAGGTAACAAATCAACCAAAACATTGCCCGTATAAACCCCACTTTAGTTTGTACAGTACTGTACTTCATAATTCTTCCGGCACACATTCGATTATTGTTTTTTCACTTGCATAGATAGAGTTAACAAGTTATATTATATATCGTTATTCATCCGATAATATATCATAGGTTCTCTGCGGAAGTCTCCCCGTTATTTTATAAAGAACACATTATGAAGTTACTAGACTAGACTAGACACATTAGTATTAATTGTATAACCTAACATTGGTTTTAATGGTACGGTTTTTGAGGGATTGCTTCTTTATTTTGTTATCGTGATAATACATTTTTGGTTATACATGCATACTAAACTAATTAGGCCTATGCCAAAACCTGTGTCGTGGACAACTGTTACCACAACCACTGTACTGTAAATATTAGTTTATTTTTTTTGTAAATTGTAAATATTGACGCAGCCTATCCAGCTTATGCTGGTATCAAGCCAAGGAGGAGGTAATAAGGTAATAAGGTACCATATAACCATTGTAATAGGTCTGTATCCACGGGAGAGGTAAGTTTTATAGGCCTATGGTTTTATACATTCATCATTGACTAATTGTATTGAAGTAGCCATGCACGGCCACCTTTAATTCCCCATGGACCAGCTGCGTTACTGTCAAAATTATATTTTCTCTCTCATTTTTTGTTACTTAGATAATTGATGTGACATAGAAGATACTTAGTTGTTCTTTCAGTTTGGTCTGGTTAAAGTATCGCGTAATATATAGAAAAATCAACATCAATGTAGGCCATAGGCCTTTTATGTCTGTGGATCAATTCTAGTACATTTTAATTGAATCAAATAATTGGTTACATCTGGTACAAATAGATGGAATGTCTACCTCAGTATCGAAAAAGTCAATGACAAAACAAACTATTCTTCATGCAAAAGTAGTCTTAATAGTCTTATTAGTAAACATGAATTTAAAATACGATCCAGGAAACAAGCATGAGAAGTACATCCAAGAGTGGGTGGAGCTTGCATACTCACCAATCAAGATTGAGTTCTGTATTGTTGTTGCCAGGGTGACGTGGCGTCCTAGTCTGTGATTGGCTGGTCGAGTACACTTCTGAGAATCGCGGAAATAAGCAAGCGGCCAGGAACAGCACCTACAACATGCGACAGAGATTAGAGCGACATAATGAGCCTGTTGTGCGACATGTTGATGTTGGATCGGCTCCAGAGATCACAGGAATGCTGATTTTATACGCGTCATAACGTACAAGAGTTGTTTTTCTCTAAAGTGATATTTTGCGCTGATCAGATAGCAACTGAAAGGGAGTTTGTTTTTGTCTTGGCAAGTGTGCACAGGAGTTATCTAGGAGCCATTGGAATGTTGTGATTTAAATCAGTTAAGATTGTTAATTTGTACTCGAAGGATGGATGACCTTATCTTTGGGTGTCCAGGGAACCCTTCTAAAGTTATTTGAGGGAATTCATCCTTTCGGTGCGAGTTTTACGAACATTGGACTGACATGGGTCCAAAATGTAATTTGCAAGCCACCGTAGACTGCTGATCTGTACAGTTATCTTAAGACAGTAATGTAATTTTACGGTATAGTTATGTCAGATGAGCAAGCTGGTGGTGCAAAACAAGGTCTTGAACCAGCAAAGCAAAACATTCCAAGAATTACAATGTGCATGAATAAGATCAACAAATCCTTCTTTCCGAGTTTTGGAGAGTCCATGTTCCATTTTTATGTTCAATAACAAATTGTCAAATGCCTAAGACATGATAGAAGAGGTAATCTTCCGAACAGCACTCGGCTCCTTTTATCTTATTCAACACTTGGTAAACAAGAACACGAGATGTCTTAATGGGCTGAAATGAATTGGACATTAAAACTGTTAACCACAGCTCACATACTATTACTAAAACTATTATTACCAGTTAAGATGGGGACACTACCGGGCGTACTAAAATGAATGGGGAGGGAGTGTAAAACGGGATGAGATGACATTGGTAGCTTTGTGACTGACTTCAATCAGCGGTTTATTTAGCAAGGACCATTTATCAGGGACAATTGGGTCCAGTTTTAAACCATGGACAAGTAACTGACTTTTACTTTGATCGTGCTGGAGACCAAAGATTGATCATGAGGTGAGCACTATTACCACTCGACCGTCCACGTGTATAGGTACTTGGTACACTTGGTGAACAAGATCACGAGAAATCTTCGTGGACTAAAGGAAATATGCTTTTTATACAATTATCACTATTGAGATGTGTACGCCACCTAGGTGCATATTTTAACCCAAATATGAGTGAAGGATGTGTGTACAATGGTGTGAGATGATCTGTGTAGCTTTGTTACTGACCAAGATTAGCTGTTTCATCAGTCAGGGTCATTTATTTATAGCCCGATGATCAGGGACAGCTGGGTCCAGTTTCGGACCATGAAAAATGTACTGACTTTTCTCAGTATCGACCGGCGATTTTTTGATTGTAAGGCCAGTACTTAAACCACTCAGCTACCTACCAGTTCAGGTATAACCAATAAATCGGTAGAAGTAAATCAAGATAATTAATTAAGTGCTTATCGTTAAACATGTGTCTTAGCACATTCTTGTGCACCACAAAAGCTAGAAGGTTTCAAGACCAGTGGGTGGTCCTATGCGTGATCTAACAACACCGTATTTGTAAATGAATAGTCCAGACTGACTCACGCACACGCACTAATGTCTGTGTGATTGCTACTCTGTCACGCACACAAACACGCTCGCGCGCGCGGCAGCCAACTCGTGTGTGATAGACTGATAAACTTCATGTTCAATTACTTGAAATAAAAACCAGGATAGCAACACCTGATAGTACTGCTACAACAAAGTCTTCAGTATTTGCATCTGATTGCGTTTAAGATAAGGGCGGTACAGAGGAGGAGACGTACCTGGCTTGGTAGACCTCCACTTATCATATTGTTTATTGTTTACTGTGTCCGATGTAATGTAAATATCACCGTATCCTAGCCGTCCCCCATATTTTACGACTCTCACCTATGGCAATGCACGCGTAGTTTAAGGCTAAGATGAATTAAGCCTGAGTAGAGAGTGCATGGCGTGAAAGCTGTGTTATTGTTTCCCATCGTCCTTCACGATTTTGCAAAACTAAATTTACTTCAGTAAGAGAAATCAATAGCGTAGCATATAATAATTATGATGTTCAGAAAGCAATATCTACATTATGTTCGTTTAACTACGACTTTGAAAATAAAAGTTGTTGGACATATTAATTTAAGCGAATCAACAATCTTATTTGTAATTCGTAATAAAAAAATACATTTACAGGTGCTGTATCTTCAGGTTAATGAGTTAGATTACGTAGAATAATCTATAATGTATAATCGTAATGTTTCATCGAGCTAATATACTGAGTCTCAAAATCATCCAAAACATTAATCACTTTTTATTTTTTTATGATTGCGTCTTATACTAATGTTGTTGTTGAGTGATAGTCTAACATCAGTAGGATCAATCAATTTATAACATTATCAAATAACAGTAACATGATTACTAGGCTCTTTACAGAAACATTAAAACGAATTCAATGCAGTTGTGTATTTTGTTTGGTTACATTAACTTACTGAGCTGCATTGTGACACGGTCACAGGATGTTTTCAACCAATTATTTGAATTAGTCTATACACGATATTTTCATAGCTAATTAAACACCGCTTAAAACAAGTATTAATTCCTAGAACTATTTCACACCCAATTAGTTACGGTTATTTTATCAGGTCATCAATTAAAAAATGTGCAAGTGCAAAAAAGACAAATAAAACTCATCCTACTTGATGAAGCCCACTGGGTTCGCACTAATAAACTAATTGCATTTATTCAGACAAACGCGCGGTGTGGTTTGTTCATTCAATTAATTTGTGTTCCATTTCGCGAGTCATTTCGGATCTACCGAGCACGTTTCTTGCATGGAATAACTCCAGCCTCGTCGTGGGCAATCACGCCAAGCGTGACGTCATACATAAAACCTTGGTTTATATTTACAACAGTATTCCAAATTTGCAATAAACCTGGTTGTTAGTTTAAAAATCTGTTGTGTGCAATAGTTTTACAGCTACAGAGACTAGAAAACAATTTCGCTAAACTAAATTCATTTTGTGTAAACTAGTTGGTTTACCTATGCCACTTACCATTGGATAATGAAGTAGACGTACATATATATGTACCAACTGTCACAAATGTTTTCACCCAGTCACATCAAAACAGGCTACGACTTTAACTTGGGTATGCAATACCTATTATAATTTAAAATAAAAAAATATAACTTATATAAAAGTCTATGTATTCAAGTATCTAAATTTGTGGTTAATGCTTAATCCACTGAAATAATTAATGATCATACAGCATAATTTTCGAATTAATTACGAGTTGTACCTAATTTATTTTTAACAAGATCATGTAACACACCAACGAAACTTTCAAACTTAAATTGACAATCAAAGCCTGATTGTAAGACCGTATTTACATAAAAAAAAAGTTAGTCTAAAAGTTAGTTTTAGTAGTTAGTTTTAAAAGTTAGTCTTAACTACACTTCCAAAGAATGTCTTTGTAACATTTTGCAAACACAATAAACTTAGTTATTCTCTATTAACAGTGTAAAGCGCACTAGGCGAGTCGACCGTGCATGCAGTGAAACATAGCAGAGCTGGAGTACTTTATAGCAGCCATTACACCAGGAGGCCAGTAAATATGTAAAGTAAATACCTCTGGGCTCAGCCGGCCGTACAACACATACCGATACGTTTTATAGATAATGAGTTAATTTTAAATTCCATTTTGATATCTTAAAGCATAAATACAAGCAGTATCAACAGTTTATTTGGGCGTTAACCAGGTAACCAGATGGGTTGGGGAGGGGTGTAAGCCCCGAACTATGAAATTGTTTGAGGTAAAAGTAATATTCCAGTCCAGAGGTAAAAGTAATAAATGCAGTCTAAATTACAAAAAAAGGTATAAGCCTTTTTTTAAAGGGGTTTTTATAGTTTCAGACTTAATGTATGCTATACAGTTTAATGTTAATAATTGACGTTGGTAAGTACTTTAGACGGTTTTCATTTAATGTTGTGTAAAACTTTTTTTATACAAGTTTAAACTAAACGTGCTGTTAAACAAACATGGAGATTGATGGCAAATTGTTGTCAACAAGGATTTGAATTTCCTTTGCAAAGAACATTTTCTGAACGAATACAATAGGAGCCTATTCCATAATTAACCGTGTCTTTAGTTATGTTGAAATACTTGATAATGAAACATTCACTTAAACAAACATTGACTCGTTATATTTAGGCAGTTAATTATTTGAAAGGCTTACAGGTAACTTTAGTATTTATTTAGCATAAAGATCACATTATTTATAAGTAACTCTGGAAATAACTAATTCCACGTAGAGTACTTCAAGTGAACTTCAACCCCATTGTAAAATCTGAAGCCCGTTTTACGTATTTCATGCCTGGGCGCGCTTGAGTACACTGACGTCGACCAAATGTTTTCTCTTATTTTTGGGTGGATTTTACAGTTTGATTTTCTCTTTGGTTTATTCGATAAACTAGTTTTAGTGTTGGTGAATACTAAGAAATAAATAGTTAAAATTAATACCAAAACACTCTACATATACAGGAAAGAAACACAACTAAACTGGTCTACGTGTAATCCATACACGATGATATATAATGGACTATGTTACATCCATGTCAAAAACTTAATCGATGGTTTCCAAAGAAGACACGGAATCGCACTTAAATTTGTCACCCGAAAATCACGAGGTCGTAAAATTGCTTCACGGCTGTGAGGCTATGACCCAGTTACATCTGGTAAGCCTTGAAAAGTCTCCGTATATTTCCGAAGTCATGTCATAAACATACAAGAAGGAGAAGGTACAAACGAAATATTTGATAACTATTGTACATGATGATTCTAATGAACAGAATCTCTCGGATCATTCTAATGCCGAAAATTTGAAAGAAAGTCATGTAAACAGTCCGGAAACGCTTCGTTAGCTACTTAGGGTTATCAATGTTTACATTCTGTTGTTAAAAAAAAAAAAAAAAATGCCGTGTATTAGACATGATTATCAAACTATAGACATGAATTTAAC